CGTTGCACATACTCTGACGTCTCTGTCGTTATTGCTGAGACACCCCCTGTTGCTGAGACCGCTTCGGCGGCCTCGGTGCAGGCTCGTCAAGGTAGGGGACGTCGGGCCCCGTGGGGGGCGTGGCAGTGGGAGGGCTGGTGGGGGTGCCGAAGGTGGCGGAGGTGGCAGCGGTGGTGGAGGGGACGGTGGTGCAGACGAGGGGACCGGAGTCGATGCCTCGGTACAGCAGCAGGAGCAGGAGCAGCAGCCCTAACAGTAGCAGCAACCCTAGCAGCAGTAGCAGCAGCCGCCGTGGAGACCCCCGCCGCGTGGTGGCCCGGCGGTGCTGGTGGTGGTCGTTGTGGTAGTGGGCCACACAACTCGGTGTTGGGTGGCGGCTCCAATGTGGTCAGGTGCCAGTACCACCTTCACTACGGCCCCCGCCGCGGCACCGTTTGCGACCGTCCCGGTCACAACGCCGCCCGCTGCTATCGCCGCCTGGACGACCTCTTCCGTCTCCGCTTCGGCCCTGCGTCGGACCCCCCCTCCCCCCCGACTGATACAACCTGGTGCGTCACCGTGTGCCTATCTTTGAGCTGGATATGGACCACTTTAGGCTTGCTATGTATGTCATGTATGCTGATGACTCTACTGTGACTGGACCCTATTACCATGTATTGCCTAGTGTAGGTGTGTCCACCGTGTATAGCCTAGGTTCCCATCCTGCGTCAGGTGTAGGACCACCTGCATTGTTTAGCATCGGCTCCACTCTAGCTCCTCTGCCTTCGGACGCCACCACCGCGCTCTCTTTCACGCTAGACTCGGGTGCGGCTGCATGTTTCTTTTGCGACCATACTGTGCTCACGCCGCTTGCTGCCCCTACCGCTGTAGCGCTTGCTGACCGCTCCCCAGGTCCGGTAGTTGCACGTAGCTCCACTACCCTTCCCTGTCCGACGGTTCCCTCCGGCTCCCTTACAGGCTTGCACATCCCTTGGTCCTCTATGAACCTAGTTGGTGTCCACTGTCTTCAGGATCTCGGCGTCACCACTACGTTTCCTGGACACGAGCGGTACGTAGTCAGCACCGAGGCCACCACTGGTGCCCCTCTCACCACATTCCCCCGGGACCCAGTGTCTGACATGTTCACTCTAGACACCGCATCCCCTCCAGTGGGAGCGTCCCCTCAGGTGGTCGCGCCCTGCCAGGTCGCTTTGGCTTGCTTGTGTCGGATGCTCACCCACCCATCACTGCAATGACACCACCGCTTGGGTCACCCTGCATTCCCACGTCTGTGTCACATGTCCCAGCACGGTCTTGTCTGGGGGTGCTGGTTTTGGGGGTGCTTGTCCTGGGGGTAAAGCCGCGGCTTATCCCGGCGGTCGTGCGGGTGGCACGGGTGCTAGAGAGGTTTCTTGTTCTAGGGGTGTTGGCGTGGAGCATCTTGGAGGTAGCCGTGGTGCAGCTGGAGGTTCTGGTGTCGGCGTGGAGCTGCAGCAGCAGCAGGCGCCGCTGGTGTCCGCCATTCACCTCCTCGGTCTTCCTTTCCCCAACCGCCCACCTGCGCCTCCTTCGCCGCCGCCTCCCTCACCTGTCTACGACCCTGTGTTTCCTCCTCCGAACTCGTCCCCGGCTCATTTCCCCCCTCGTCCTCCTACTGTTTCTCCTCCCTTATCTCCTGACCCAACCCCCCCCTCTCGCTCGTGGTCTAACCGTGCCTCTCGTGCTCGTTTTTTCTCTCCTGTTCAGCGCTCTCACCCTATGTTGCTCCGTTCTCACGCGTCTTGTGCTCTCCTTCTACCGTCGCCTCCTTAGTCATTGCTTGTTGTCTCTCGTCCAGTCTTGACGCACTTGTCGCTGCCGTCGCTGACTTTGCCTCTACCCGTCGCCTTGACTACGCCACTACTTTGGTTTTTGACCCTGCCCGTCCTCCGTCTGTCGGGGGTGCACCTGCCCTTGGCAGTGACGTTCTAGAGGACTGGTAGTACGAGCTCGCTTTCTTGGCCAAGTCCGCTACCCATCTCTGCTCCATGCTGCTAGTCATTGAGGGTGACCCAGACGCCCTTGACATCTCGACCCCTCGCACTTACGCTGAGACGACCTCGGGACCTTGGGCCTCTCAGTGGATAGCTGCCATGGATGCGGAGATGACATCTTGGAGATCCACCGGCACCTACGTCGGCGCAGTTCCCCCACTCGGTAGCTCTTCAAAGTGAAGCGCCTTCCTGGAGAGTTGCCGGTGTTAAAGGCGCGCTACGTTACTAGAGGCTTCAGTCAGCGCAAGTGTGTTCTTCTTTCATACCTTCGCCCCGACCCTGAAGATGAACACTATTCGGGTGCTGCAACACGTAGCTGGATAGCGTGACTACGAGCTGCACTCCCTCGACTTCTCCATAGCGTTTCTCCAGGGCAGCCTGCACGAGCAAGTCTACCTGCACAGTCTGCCCGGCTTCACCGGCACCTTCGCCCCTGGTACCGAGTGGCTCCTCCGGCGCCCATTTTACGGCCTGAGGCAGGCGCCCCGTGAGTGGCACGACATGATCCGTCCTACGTTAGGTGACCTGTAGTTCTTCCCGTCGTCTGCAGACCCCTCTCTCTTCGTTCGTGCTGGCCAGACCCCGTTCTACAGTGACCGAAATTATTCCCCGGATAATTGCCTTAAAAATATTCTCGTACTGTATTGGTGCCTGTTTTGTATAGTTACGATTCATATTTCGGCCTTGGCTGTAAAGTAGTACTGTAGTATATGTAACGGATATGGGTTTCAATTTTGTAGGGGTCGATTTTTTACCGTGGACGAGATTTGGTTGCGTGGGTGCATCTGGACAGTTCATGCCAAGCGGCGTACTATATCTATATCCTACCCTCCCTTATTCTACTTACTTGCCCTCGTGAATTTCGAGTAGTCAGGAGATAGGCCAGGACCGCTGCTACGATTAGGCCGTCATGAAACTGTTAGATGAGGCGCGTCGCGCACGGATCATTACCCTGTTGCAAAGAGGATATAGCACTCGTAGAATCGCAAAACAACTAGGCGTGGGGAAGAGTGCGGTCAATGATTATGGGCTCAAGGCGATTGCTGAGTCTAGCCGCGATGACGTGCGTCCTACGATGCCCTCAGCCGATCGCCCTCACTTAGTGACAGAGAGAGTTCGCAACGGCATAGTTCGGTCGATTACCAGCGGGGAGGCAAAAGCCTCTGCTCACGCGGCGAAGATCGTCAAGATGCATCACAGCATCACGCTGCATCCTAGAACGGTGCGTAACGCCTTGAATGACAGCGGACTTATCGCAATCCAACAGCCCAAGAAGCCGCGACTCTCTCAAAAAAACATACGCGATAGGCTAGAATGGGCCCGTGCCCACGCCGACAGGACGGTTGACGATTGAAAGCAAGTGATCTGGTCGGATAAGACCAAGATCAATAGTTTTGCTTCCGACGGACGCTCCAAAGCCACCAAATCAAGCAGACTGTCAAACACGGGGGGCGGTTGCTTGATGATTTGGGGCTGCATGTCGTATGAGGGAGCGGGTTTCATGTGCAAATAGACGGTAGGATGGACGGACCGCTCTATCGGAGTATACTGCAGGACGAGCTCAATAGTACGATCGAGTTTTACTAGCTTTCACCCTCGGAAGTTATCTTCCAGCACGACAACGACCCCAAGCACAAGTCGCGTATCGTACAAGAGTGGCTTCGAGAGCAGGAGTTTGGGGTGCTAGAGTGGCCGTCATCCTCACCCGACCTCAACCCAGTAGAGCATCTATGGGCTCATCTCAAGAGGGAGTTGGCCAAGCATGAGAGGCCTCCCACTGGTATGCTGGACCTTTGGGGGCGTATCCAAGAGGAATGGGAGAAGATCCCATCGGATGTGTGCACCCACCTGGTGGAAAGCATGCCCATGAGGGTGAGGACGGTGATTAAAGCGAAAGGGCGGTGGACTTGGTACTAGTTTGGGGTTGTTGAAATTTGTTGCTTGCGCCTGGCACAAATTGTCCGGATGTACCATGATTGTTAATTTCTGTTATTTGCTATAAACATCAGTATCTTCGGGAAATGTAAGGGACAGAGCAGCGCGCATCATCACTCTTACACAGTCACACTTTGTGCGCCAGGTCCTTTAGAAGTTCGGTCTTCAGGGTCATGATCCTCCTGTGTTAGGAGCCTCGACTTGAGGGCAGACTGAAGCACATCCATCTGCGGTACTTCCTCCTGCGTGAGCAACAGCAGCTCCGTCAGGCCCGCGTAGTTCACTTGGCCTCCGGTGCCAATACAGCTGATATCTTTACGAAGGCGCTTGCGCTTAAAGATCATTAGCGGCACTGTGTACAGCTTGGTCAAGTTCCTGTAGCTTCTCACTTGCTAGGACCTTGATTGTGTACTATATCTTATATTATCTTGACTGGCCTTGTGGCTCCTGTTCCAGTGGCTGGACTAGTAGTGCCGCCCTAGGTTACTCTTGTTTCCTTTGTACTCTTGCAGACTGGTCTTCAGACCCTTGCCTCAGAGGTTGGATTAGTAGTGCCACCCTGAGCTGCGCTTCTTTTGCTAATCGTTGCCCCTTGTCTAGCCTAGGGGGTGTGTCAACATATATTTGTATATGTTATAGGCTAGATAGGTGCATGCTCATAGAGAGTACAACTCGGGATAAAACCACCCTGTATCACTCATTCTTGTTCAATTGCATTATTCTGAGACTTCCTTCAACATTGTCATGTCATGTTTTGTATCAAATGTGAGATGATGTTACTCCAGGAAAGTACATGTTAAACGAAATAGAAAGGGCTTCTTACAAGCGAATAGAATTGTTATCGAAATAACCATCATCCTTCAAAATTTCCGTTTGCTCATCATCATTATTCTCTCATTATCACAAACACATTGCTTTCTTAATAAAAAAGATCCGCGCGGTGTACTAGCTCGTCCCACTAACGGTATCGCAACTACTGACGTGGTCCTCGACCATGACACGCACACCATAGGTCAGCAAATCCCAGTGCGTCCCTTGACGTGGCGAGGCGGCCCTTGCTGCTTTGCTTCAGCACTGCTGTGGTCCCCCCCACAACCATCCCGCCCTTGCCGCCACGGGCCCAGCGATAAGCGTCTGTGGCAGTCGGCTGCACATGGTTGCGATGATCGTGTTTTCTTAGACTCGTGTCGTTGGGATGCATACAGCACCTCGCGCCGACTCGCTCTCCGCATTGCCGTCATGGGGCCCACCGGCCTTGTCGCCGCGGTCCTTCGTCGGACCTCTCGCGCTCGCCACGCGCATGCGTGCTTCGCGCTCCCCCCGCTAGTATCGCCCCCCAGTGCTGAGGGTGCCGCCAGCTGCGCTCAGACCGCCGCATCTGCCCGTTCGCTTCTCCGCTCGCTCCATTCCGCCGTCCGCTCGAGTCATGCCTCCGTCCCCCTTGCCCTCAACCCTCTTTCTGCTTCCGCCCCCCCACCTCCTTCCGCCGTCTCAGCCCTTTCCGCCGGCCTGTGCACCAGCGCTGCCACCGCCGACCATCTCCCCGTGCAGCACGGCGCGTCGACGATGCGGGCCGCCGTGATGCGCGAGGTGGGCGGGCCGCTGCGCGTGGAGCAGCTGCGCATCCCGCGGCCTCAGGCGGGCGAGGTGCTCATCAAGACGCGCGGTGAGCCCTGCTAGCCATGGCCGGTGGGGGGGGAGGGGGTGGAGGGGGCATGGAATGCGGCAGTGGCAACTAGCGGAGCGATGGCGCCGTTTGAAAGCAAATCCCCCGTTTGAAAGCAAATCCCCCGTTTGAAAGCAAATCCCCCGTTTGAAAGCAAATCCCCCGTTTGAAAGCAAATCCCCCGTTTCGCGCCTTTGAATCTCTCCCTCGATTGTTTCCCGTTGTTTCCTCCCCACCCCCCTCCCTCCTGTTCCCTAATGCCTTCTCTCCTCCCTCCCCTCTGCCCCCCACCCCCCCTCCAGCGTGCGGCGTGTGCCACACGGATCTGCACGTGATGCGCGGCCACGTGGCGTTCCCCTCGCCGTGCGTTCTGGGCCACGAGGTCAGCGGGGAGGTCGTGGATCACGGCGCCGGCACCGACGCCGCCACCATCGCCAGGTGCGCCGCCCCAACTCACCTCCACTGCCTCCTGTGCGTGGCTTTTGCTGCCCGTGGTGCTGTTGCCTTTGAATTCCCTCTCATTCCTGCCCTGTGCCCCGTGCCCCGTGCCCCGTGCCCCGTGCCCCGTGCCCCGTGCCCCGTGCCCCGTGCCCCGTGCCCTGTGCCCCGTACCCCGTGCCTCGTGCCCGCGCCCTCATGGCGGGGCGGCGGGGTGTGCAGGCTGCCAGTGGGGTCGCGTGTGGTGGCGGCGTTCATCATGCCGTGCGGCTCCTGCTTCTTCTGCACGCATGTGAGTCCACATGTGCTTGTGGTTGCCACATGCATGCTTCTCACCCAAGCCATACCTCCTCTCAATCACATGCCGCCCATCTCCATCCCATCCCGCCCCTCCTCACCATCCCCTGCGTCGCCTTATTGAGTCAGAGCCAGGAGGACATCTGCGAGACCTTCTTTGCGTTCAACCGCCTGCACGGCACGCTGTATGACGGCCGCACACGCCTCTTCACGGCGGACCCCTCCGGTGAGACAGCCTCACAGGGGCAGCCCGAGAGGGGGAGACAGCCCGAGAGGGACAGTCCGTTTGACTTGCTGTGATCCAACGACAAGCACGGAAGGAAGCTGAGCGGCCAAGAAGCACGAGGCTGCGAAGAAATTACATGTGTGCCCTTCACTGGGAAGCCGTCTGTCTCCCCACCACCTCATCCTCCATGCTGCAGCATGGCTGCTCACATCCCTTACCCCTCCGCCCCCTGCTATTCTCCCCCCAACCAACCCCCCCCCCAGCGAGCCCCATCGCCATGTACAGCATGGGCGGGCTGGCGGACTTCTGTGTGGCGCCTGCCACAGCCGTGGCGCCGCTGCCCGCTGCGCTGCCGCTGCCCGAGTCAGCAGTGATGGGGTGCGCGCTCTTCACCGCGTTCGGGGCGCTGCGCCACGCAGGGGATGTGCGCGCAGGGGAGACGGTGGCGGTGGTGGGAGCGGGCGGCGTAGGCAGCAGCTGCGTGCAGGTGGCGCGCGCCATGGGGGCGGCCACCATCATTGCCGTGGATGTGGCGGAAGAAAAGCTGAGGCTGTGCCGCGCGCTGGGCGCCACGCACACCGTCAATGGCAGCACTGAGGACGCCGTGGAGGCCGTCAGGGTGGGTCAAGAGGGCTGGGGCCACAAGTGCTGGGTAGGGGTGTGGAAGAGCCAAGGCAGTGGCGTTGAGCCAATGTGTTCCTCTCACTCGTCACCCTCCTGTCCCCCATGCAGGCCATCACGGGCGGCAGGGGCGTGGATGTGGCGGTGGAGGCATTGGGGCGGCGCGAGACGTTCATGCAGGTGGTGCAGGCGGTGAGGGACGGGGGGCGCGCCGTCATGGTGGGCATCGCTGCTGCCGGCACCACGGCTGACGTCGACATCACCCGACTCGTGCGCCGCAATGTGAGTCGCAATGCGCATGCCATGCTTGCACCTGCTGCTCCCCCTGGTCTGGCTGCTGTTCCTCCTCTCGCTTCTGAGGATGATGCCCGCCTGCCTTCTCCTTTCGTCCCGCCCCACCCGCCACCCCGCACCCCCCAGATCAAGATCATCGGCTCATACGGGGCCAAGGCGCAGTCGGACCTGCCAGCGGTGGTGGCGCTGGCAGCGGCAGGGCGGGTGGACGTGGCGTCGTGTGTGAGTGAGCGGTACAGCCTGGAGGACGCAGACACAGCGTACAGCAAGCTGGAGGCGGGCCACGTGCTGGGGCGAGCCATCGTGGACATGACCCTCTGATTCTGAACAGCACTTTGCTCTGGGCTCGCTGGGCCCAACTTAGATTGGAGGGTGCCAATGTTTGAATGTACAATAACTACGTTGGGGTTGTGAGTGCGTTTCTGGTACATGTACATTATGGGTAATGCTTTTCATAACAAGTGGTGCACTACAACTCAGGAAAATTAGCATTACAGCAGCAGGGATGAGACAACTGGCCATCTCTACACATGTGTGGGACATGACACATGCTCACACAAAGACAGCACCACATGCCCTTTGGGCTGTGGCGTCAATGGCACTTTGCCTTCACCACAGCAGCTAGCTGACAGCAAAAATATGCACACCCACACAGAAACACGTGGCTAACTACAATAGCAGCAGAAGCAGAAAACGCGTAAGTGAACCAGCTGCGCACCAGCAAGTGCCTTTCAGCCACTCCCGCCACGCAGCCTTCAACCACTCCAACATCACACGCAGCCTAGTGACAGCTCCCCTGCGCCCTCGGGTCATGACTCGTCCCAGTGCTCGTCTCAGTTCCCTGCCTCGCCCCCCTTGGGGGGCAGCAGCGGGTCAGAGCATCCCGGGCTCCACACGGGCCAGAGGGGTCTTGGGGGGAGGAACAGGCGCATCACAGACAGACTGCTGCTGCCGCTGCTGCTGCTGCTGCTGTCGTCAATGTGTGGGGTTGGGTACTGCATGGGGGCCGGCCCAGGCGCATCCCTGGAACCAGCAGGGCTCAGAGGGAGTGGGGCGTGGCGCCAGCAGAGCTGCTGCCGTACAGCCCTCGCCCACCGAAGCCACCGGAGAGCCGCGGGCTGGTGCTGGTGGCGCTGCTGCGCGCCCAGCTGGGCAGCTGCCACCCCACGTGCAGGCGCTTCAGCGTGTACTCGTCGTCGGGGCAGTGCGGGCGGGACACGCGGATGGACTTGACGGCGGGGCGGCAGCAGCGCGTGAGGCGCACGATGTCGTCGCGCAGCAGCTGCTTGCATGCCGCCGCATTCACCTCCCTCAGCGCGCGGCTCTCCGGCAGCGCCGCTGCCAGGCCGGCGGCAGACAGCTTCAGGCACGCCGGCAGGGCGAGCGAGGAGAGGCGAGGGCAGGCGCGGACGAGGGCGAGGAGCCCGTCGTCAGTGACGCCGCACGAGGGCAGCGCGACGGTCTCGAGGGCCGCGCACGCGAGGCCATGGAAGGCGGTGGCCTTGACGTCGGCGCACGCCTTCACGGAGAGCGAGCGCAGCCCCGCACACCCCGCCAGCAGCCGCTGGATGCCCTCGTCGCTGACGTGGCAGTTGCTGAGGTGGATCTCCGTGAGATTGGGGCAATTGGTGGCCACCGAATGCAGGACGGCGTCCGTGACGAGCTCGCCGTTGAGTCGCAGCAGCGCCAGGTGCGGCAGCCCGCCGCTGAACGTGTGCAAGCCCGCCGCGCCCACCGCCGTGCCCGTCACCACCAGCTCGCGCAGCCCCTTGCAGCCGGCGATGGCGGGGCCCAGCCCGTCGTCGCCCACGGCGTCGCACGCGTGCAGATCCAGCACCTCCAGCGCCGGGCACCCGCGCGCCAGCCCCGCCACGGCGCTGCTGTCCACCTGGCGGCTGCCGCGCAGACTCAGCACGCGCAGCACGCGGCAGCCCGCCGCGAGCGACGAGAAGGCCTCGCGCGAGAGCTGGTGGTTGTCCCCCGCGCCGTAGTCCAGGTACAGCTCCTCCAAGCGCCGGCTGTGGCGCCCCAGCGCCGTGAGCCCGTCGTCGCTGACGTCCACCACGCCCAGGTGCAGCACGCGCAGCTGGGGGCAGCCCGCCGCCACCGACGCCACGCCGGCACCGGTGACCCGCTTGCAGTGCTTCACGTCGAGGTGCTGCAGCGCCTGCAGCCCCCCCCCCACGGCGGCCAGCGCGGCGTCCGTGACGTCCGTGAAGGAGAGGTCGAGCTCCTCCAGGCGCCGGCAGCTCTGCGCAATGTGCGCCACGACGGCGTCCGTGAGGTGCGGCACGGAGCGAAGGCGCAACTTGAGCAGGCGAGGCAGGTGCGAGCCGATGGCCATGAGCGAGTGGTCGGGGCCCTTGAACGCCGGCAGCGACAGAATGGCGAGGTTCGGACACCCGCGAGCGAGAGCGACGAGCCCTGAGCCATCAGCGGCCTTGCAGGTCTCGGGCACGTGCAGCTCGAGCAGACGCGGACACAGGCGGCCGATGCTAGCCAAGGAGTCCTCGGAGCAGTCGAAGAGGAAATTGAGGTTCAGCACGGCCAGGGAGGGGAACCTGGCCAGCAGCTTTGGCAGCTTGGATGCCTGCAGGATTCAGAGAGGCAACAGCGGGAGTAAGCGCACGGACACGCGGAGAGCGACGGGAAGAGGCGGCGACAATGCGGGAGGCGAGGATCACCTTGAGACCACTCAGAGAGAGTGAGGAGCAAGCCACGCCGGACGATTCCAGCCATTGCCGGCTAACGAGCGACGCTGCTCTCAAATGTGCTCTCCTTCCCGTGTCTTGCTTCTCCAAATTCTGTATCGCATACCACACGCGAAACAGGAGTAACGGTAAGAGACCTGAAGCTGAAAATGATGTCAATTTACTAAAAATGTGGAATAAGAAGCGTACCTTCAAAATCTCGAGGAGAAGGTCGCCAGGCAGGTCGTCGATGCGACATGAACTGGACGGAGGGGACGCCACTGACGGCGAGGGAAAGGCGTCGACCTCGAAAATCATGCCGAATAGTGGGAAGTAAGAATTTGGAGAGCAAAGCGCGGATGGAATGGTCGCTGGATTCTAGAACATAAACGGGCCAATCCGTTATTCCTTTACACACTCATCTTGTCATGCTGGCTTAGGAGACAAATAGGAGGCTGTCAGGCGAGGGAATGTGGGAGCAGAATGTGGGAATGTAGAAGCGGAGAGGGAGAGCAGACAGGCCAAATACGTGTGGAGGCATGAATGCTGCACCGTGCTGCGCTGGCCCGCAGGCAGGGGGACAGCGGCACAGCTCACCGAATGGCTTGGGGGGACCAGGCTCAGCCAGGTCCGGGGTCGGTTCGGACAAGGCAAGGAGGAAGACAGGCGAAATCTCAACGATCACGTGCGACGAACTGTTCCCTTTGGGACGCATTCCAACTCACGTGGTAACGGCGCTGCTGGTTGGTTGGAAATATCAACTTTCTCCCGAACCTTCTTGCCACGAGGTAGGGCGAGTCCAGGTACGGAGCTTTTCTCTAAGCGGGCAGACCGTAATGGGACGGAAAACAGCTGCCTTATCTCATTTCCAACCGCGATGGGCAATCCAGCCTGGCAGATGTTATTGACATGTCACGAAGTGCCTTGTCTCGTGTCATCCTGCTCTGTTACTGGCCTTTCATTGGTCAAAATACGCAACACTTTTTCTAGAGCACGCAGATTGAGGACGCATCACCCAATATGACGACTCAGGGTTCATGCACACACATTTTCCTGACCGTACAGCTCCAAGCAGACTAGACTCAAATTGTGCCCCCGTACAGCTGTCATACACCTACCTTATATTTTAGCCTAGCTGCACCTTGTCTCACAACGATAACGCATTTGCGTATAACGCTACTTACCCTGCAACTCACATCCCCAAGCCACCAGCACTTGATCCAGATATCCTAGTCATCCATCCATACCATTACGGATCGTGACGAGGAAAGTTCCCAGTGGCAATGCTCCGATCAGCGGCTGCAACGCACTCTCAGCAGATCAAGCGCGCTGTCGGTCGCCAGTTTGCGTCCGCCGCGGCAGCAGCTGCTGAAAGCGCGCGGAAGAGCAAGCCGAAAGGGAAGTCGGCGGCAGGAAGCAGCGGGGGGAAGAAGAAGGCTCTGGAAGACCAGGGGAAGGCGTCGACCGTTGTAGAGGCGGCGCTTCGCCATGCTCGAGTAGAACCTGTAAGGACTAGCGATGACGTCACCGTGCAGCTGTATGAAGCGGGCTAGGGATCCCTGGACGTCCTGGCATGTGCTGGGCGTTGAAACACTGTCGTCCCTCCAGACTGATGCATTCTTCATCAAATGCGTGGGGAGTTTGTTACTTGTGTGTACATTTCTCTGACTGCTGCTTCGCGGACCGGAGAGGCTCAACCATGCAGCACTTCACCCTTCTACTCCCTCTTCCCCCTCTTCCCCCCTCCCCCTCCCCGTCGTTCCCCCCCCCCTCCCGCCCTCCCCTTCTTGACTTTCATTGCCGCTCTTTTTTCCTCTCGCAATTCTTTGTCCCACGCGTCTGCCCCTCCTCCACTTTCCCTGCCCCTCATGCCTTCCCCTCCCTCCACGTCTGCCGTTTCCCAAAACGCCTTACCCTTTTCGGCCCAGCCTAATCTGGATGAGGCAACTCGAGCGGAGGAGACCCGCATGGCGAAGGAGTATTCGAGGCTGATGATGCAGCAGCACCACCAGCAGAGAGGAGCTGAGTCAGCCAGACTCAAGCTCAAGCTGGCAGCCATCCAAGCCCTGCCCGCTGGCAAACTCAGGGATGCTGCCATGCTCCCGGATTTCACTCCCTTCCCATCCAACCGCATCCCACCATCACTCACACCTCCAATAAAGGAGTTGCAGGAGGAAAGAGCAAGGTCTAGTGACCAACAAGTAGTGAGAAAGATTAGGTGATATGGCTATTTGCCTCTAGTGGCCTCTCATCTCAGGTAAAGAAATATTCCATCGTATTGTGCATAAAATTGCCACCCAATGAAGTTTTTATAAACTTATGGGCTGCCTTCGCTTTGCAGTTTGCACTACACTATGAGAGCTAGGATGTACTGTACCATAAAATGAAAGCAAGGCTATACAGCAAGGCACATGACGACAGCACCAGTCCTCAACATGCCATTGCAATTCCAATAACCATAATATAAACCAAGAAAGTTGAGAATGAAAGTTGACATTTACAAGCGTGTTGACAAACAAAAAACCTATATGGAAAGTGTTTGCCTCAGTGTATGTGATGGATTGCGGTGTACTGTTGGACTTGCGCGGTCCGCTGCTTCCCGCCACTCTGCATTTCGTGAGCCATCTGGGCTGGAGTCGCATTCTCACTTCGCGTGGCTTCTGTTCTGACTGACTCTCCTCCTTCCTGCTCTGCCAGGCCCATTCTCTGCGCCACACCGCGCCCTCCCACGCCACGACCCACGCCGGCCCATGCTCTGTTGTGCTCTGCCGTGCTGAGTGAGAGGAGGGACAGGGTGATGGGCAGAGCAGCTTAGCTGTTCTGACGGCCATCACACGCCGCTAGAGCGATGACGGGGTGTTCTCCACTAGTGGCTAACCGGTAGTTGACTGGCTCAACTACTGTTTTAGGTTTTCCTAATCACGACGAATTTTTAGGCGGCTCACGTAGTAACTTCACTGGTTGAGTAACTCTCCTCATAGTAGTATTGGTTCACTCCATGCTAGGACCGCCTAATACAGTCACCTGTTGCCTGCAGCCATGGCAGCGGCATCCATGCCGCCGCGCCTCCATTCCCACGTTGCCCTCCTTGCAGGTGCGATCTCACCACCGCGTCTCACCGCTTCATCGCAGCTCTATTCGACCCGCGCCTGCGTGATCACTGCTCGAATCGCTAGTGTAGCCCACTTTTGGCGAGTCGTTCTGCAGCTCGTCGTCCAGTCTCGCTCCCAAGTGCCCCTTGTCCCTTCCGCTCGCGAGCCACATGATCCCCCCGCCCCTTTGCGCCCTCTCTTTCCTCCATCGGGTGCCGTCCCACCCACGTCCCTCCCTGCTCCCTCCTCGTTTCTAGCCCGTCGACCTCCCCGTCGCTCCTCACCGCACCCACCTCATGCATCGCGATTCGCATAGCTCCTCGCATTCTCTCCCATGATGCTCATTCCACACGCTCTTTTCACGCCGCGCCTTCACTCCCCCCTCCCGCTCTCCCACGCCTCGCAGCGCTCGTCATTTTGACATCAACATGTCGGCCGTGCCGCGGCGATAGATGGGCGTCCAACGGCGCGGCGCCGCACTTAGCGGAACGCGCGTTCACGTGCGTGCACGACTCGCACGTGGCGGCGCGCAGCAGAGAGCACACTCGGCGACAGCTGGCTTCGTACCGCACTGGGTGGGTGGGCTGGGGACTCGTACGGGGGATAAACGAGAGACGACGGAGCCACGGATGCGAGAGCGGGAACGAGTCGATTCAAACGTCGCCTCGAGAGCGGGAACGACGAATGCCGTGGATGCCAGTCTACCTTCACACTCACTCCACGCCACCATCCCACACCCGCACGCCTTTCCCCTGCGCCCTCCCCCCCCATTCAGGTTCGGCGTGGGTGAGTGGGCTCGTCAGCGCCCCTCTCCGCCGTCGCGCCAGCTGCTGGCTTCCGCCTCTCCCGCCGGGACCGTCGCCGCCGCTTCCGCCTCTCCCCCGCGCCCCCTCCGCTTCCACGCGGTGCGCCCTCTGCCCCCCCATCACCGCATTCCGCCCTGCCTTCCTCCACACCGTCTCATCTGCCACCCGCTGTCCCCGATAGGCAGCATGGATATTGCGCCATTTCGCACGCCTCTGTGCCACTGACCCGCCTCTCCCCTCCCCCCAACCCCTCCCCCCACCCCCCCCCCCCACACCACTGTTGACCTGGTTGACCAGGTGTCATCGGTGGAGCAGGACCTACCCGACGACCCGCAGCGCGCCAAGTACATCCAAGGCACGCTCGTGCCGGACGTGCTCAGGTATGGCCACCGTGAAGGCCCTCTCACGCGCCCTGGTCGAAGTTGCGTCGTGCCCCCCCGTTCACCCCCCCGTTCACCCCCCCGTTCACCCCCCGGTTTGCCCCCCCTGGCACCTCCACCATCCCATCCCTCCCTCGCCCCTCGCCCCTCGCCCCTCGCCCCTCGCCCCTCGCCCCTCGCCCCTCGCCCCTCGCCCCTCACCCCCCACTCCCCCACGCCCCCTCCTCCTCTCCCCCCCAGCTACCTGGGGCGGCTGCTGTCGGTGCGCGTGCTGCCGCCCGACCCGCTGCTGCTGCCCGTGACGTGCGCTTCGTTCACCGCGCTCTCCAACGGCTCCTCCGCGTGCACGCAGCTCGCGCCCATGTGCCACGTGAGTGCGGGCCGGGGCGCCGGGGGGGAAGGTTGAGGAGAGGGGCGGTCGGGCGAGGAGAGAGGTGGAGTGCACTGCGAGGCTGTGAGCGCGCCATGCGGGGTGGTTGGGGTGGTCGGAGTGGTCGGAGTGGTCGGAGTGGTCGGAGTGGGGTCACGAGGAACGGAAGGTGAGGGGCGAACGAGGAAGCAGAGGAACCGGGGGGGTGGGGGGGAAGAGTGAAGAGGGGGGGAAGAGTGAAGAAGGGGGGGGATAGGAAAAGCGATCGGGCACGGCAAGGCAAGGGAACTCTTCCTTGCCGCGTCTGCTCCGCCCTTTTGGCCAATGCCACCCTTACTTATCCCATGTGCTTACGTGGCGCGCAGGCAGAGGTGGGCATCAACGTGGATCCTTCCCTGTTGGCCGCCCACTCGCTCTGCCAATCAGAGGACCCCGCCACTTGTGGAGAGGTGGCAGCCGGGGCAGGCATACCTGGTGCTGACGTCATCCTCTTCCTCTCAGCCAAGGTGAGTCAGCCCCGTCCACCAATGAGAACTCCCCTCCTACAGCCTCCCCACCACCGTTTCCGCGTCCCTTCCTCTTGCACCTTGCTCATCCCTCCCCCCTTCGCTCCCGTCCCCCCAGCAAACGGCGACGTGCGCCAGCACATCAGCGGCGTCGCACGCGTCGCACTGCGCGGTGGACCCGGCGTCCAACCGCCCGCTCGCCGCCTACCTCAACCTCTGCCCGCTGGCTTGGCGCGCAGTGGGGCAGCACTCGCCCTCCTACGACTCGCAGGTACAGTGGGAGGGGAGACTTTGGAGCCTTTAGACCCCCCGTCCGCTCGTCCGCTGGTTTCCCTATCAGCACCGCTCACTGCTCTTCTCCGCCCTTTGCCCCCCCATCAAATCTTCCTCCTTTCCCCTCCCCTCCCCCCCCCCCCCACACTCCCCCCCCCCGCTCCCATGAATCATATTTTGAGTCGACTCAAATTGCACCTCCTCCCCCTCCCCTCTCCCCCCGCGCCCCGCAGTACCACGTGGTGCTGCACGAGTTGACCCACGCGCTCGCCTTCAGCTCCGCGCTCTTCCCGCTCTTCAAGGACGCGCAAGGTCAGCCCTGCGCTGACCGCCCCTGCCGCGCCCTGCCTTGCCTCCTCGGAGCTGCCTCCCCAAACACTCTCACCCTCGCCTGTCGCCACTCCTTGCCTGTCGCCACTCCTCGCCTGTCGCCCTGCTTCCCCCTTGTCCCTCCCCCTCTTCCCCTCACCTCCCCTTGCACTCCACTCCCCCCTGCTGCCCTGCTGCCACCCTTCTCCCTCCACGCCCCCCCCTCTCCCCCCCACCAGGCCAGCCGTACGCGCAGGTGGTGGCGACCACCCAGCAGCCCGACGGCAGCAGCGTGTCCAAGATCGTGACGCCCGCCGTGGTGGCGGCAGCCCAGCAGCACTTCGACTGCCCCTCGCTCGACGGCGCCCAACTGCACTCGCTGCCCCTCCAGCCCGCCTCCTCGCCCTCCTCGCCCTCCTCCCCTGCCTCCTCGCCCCCGCCCCCCGCGTCAGCGAACAGCAGCGAGTGGGCGTCGCTGGTGGCGGCAGCGCAGCCTCAGGGGGCAGCCACGGGGGGAGTGGCGCTGGAGGAGGGGGAGATAGTGAGCAGCCATTGGAGCGTGCTGCGCTTCGACCACGAGTACATGGTGGGGGGGGGAGGAAGGGGGGGGTGAAAGGGTACAACGGGCCCACAGCATTTCTTCGCTCTGCTTATATGCTCTGGCCCCTCCACTCGCGCTTACTCGTCTTCCCTCCTCCCTCGCCCTGCGCCCTCCCCCCAGACCCCGCTGCTGGACGGAGTGCCGGTGGTGTCAGCGCTGACCCTGGCGCTCTTCCAGGACAGCGGGTGGTACGCCGTCACGCCGGGCATGGCGGGCATGCTCAAGGCCGGCTACCATAAAGGCTGCAAGGCCGCCACTGCACCGCTCTCCTGCCCACCCTCCTCCGCCTCCGCCTCTGCTCCTCTCTCCTCCCCCTCTGCCTCCACCCCCCCCGGCTTCTGCTCTGCGGCGGACCTCAACCGCTCAGCGTCCTTCTCCGCTGGGGGGAGCGTCAGATGGGCGCCCATGGTGGGTGGGGGGTACAGTGGGCGCCCATGGTGGGTGGGGGGTACAGTGGGCGCCCATGGTGGGTGGGGGGTACAGTGGGCGCAGATCCATCTCTTTTTGCCACAATGTCTCTCTCAGCCGCCTACTTTTGGGTGGGGGAGCGTCAGATGGGCGCCCATGGTGGGTGGGGGGGGGACAGTAGCAGCATTGGAGAAGCACATATATCTCTTTAGCCAAAATGTCTTTCTCAGCCGCCTGGTTTTAATGCCGTGCCTTACCACGCCATTACCCTCCCTCGATTTCCCCCCATCCTCCCCTCTTCCCCCCCCAGCCCCTGACGTGCTCGTCTGACTTCCTCTCCGTCGCCACGTGTGACTCTGGCTGCCCTCCCTCCTCCTCCTCTGCCTCGGACTCCGCCTCGTGCCTCTTTGGCACGTGCAAGCACAAGACCAGGTGCAGCACTGCCCAATCCCACTCACTGCCTTGTGCTGCCTGCCGTGATCCGCACACCCTTGCTCTCATCGTCTCATTTTCTCATGAGCCTCCTCTCCTCCTGCGTTCTCCACACACCTACCGATTCACCATCCACCCCCCTCCTCCCCCCCTCCCCCCCATCAGTGTGGAGTCACAGCGCTGCCAGGCGCCCAGGGCGCCAGCGGAGAGCCGGTCGGCGGCGGTGCAGCAGTACGGCATGGGGTACGGGCCCGCCTCGCGCTGCTTCCCCCACGGCCCGCACTTCTTCGACTACGCCTTTGGCTCTGGCGCCGTACCGCCCCCCGGCGCCGGCTGCTACCCCATGCGCTGCGTCGACTCTGCCGCCTCTAACTCCCCCTCCGCCACCTCCTCGGGGGACACCCCCGGCAGCAACAGCACCACCCTCGCCCCCAAGGCGCACGCGCCCTCCTCCTCCGCCAAGCGCCAGCTGCGGGGGAAGGGCAGGGGCAGGGGGCGGGGGAGAGTGGTGGTGGAGGTGAGGGTGGGCGGGCGGTGGTACGCGTGCCCCACGGGGCAGATGGTGGCGCTGGACCAGGGCGGCGACTTCCAGTCGGGCAGCATCGGGCCGTGCCCCGACAACAAGCGCCTGTGCATGGGCGCCATGTGCGCCAACGACTGCTCGGGGAAAGGTGGGGGGGTGGATGGGGGAGCAGAGGGGGGATGTGCGGAGTGCTGGGGGCATGGGCGCATTGCTGTGCTTTCTGCTTTCTCTGTGTTGTGCTCATTCTCGCATCTGCCCGTGCATCCGCGACCCCCACCCCTCCTGTGCCGTGCATGCGAGCAGGCATATGCCACAACAGCACGTGCTACTGCCTGCCCGGCTATGCTGGCACTGACTGCAGCCAGGTACGCGCCAGGTGTGTCATCAGGTGGGTCTCCATGTTCTTCCATGTGTAGCCATGAGTCCGTTCCTCTTCCTTCACACATGCCCTCCACCCCCCTGATACCCAGAGCCCCTCTCCTGCCCTCACCTCCCTCCTCTCTCCCTCCCTTCCCCCAATCCCCTTCCCCCACCAGGTGGCCTGCTCGCCCCTCTCCCTCACGCCCTCCTCCTCCTGCCGCCCCCCTGCCTCCTGCGACCACCCCTCGGGTCTCTGCCTCCTCCCCTCCGGCCGCCCCTCCCCCCTCCCCCTCGCTGCAGCTCCCCCCTACACCCCCCCTCCGCCCCCCTCCCCTCCCGCCCCGCCTGTCTTCCCCCCTCCCCTCGCCCCTGGAAGCAACACCAACACCAGCACCGCCAACAGCAACAGCACCAACAGCACAAGTGGCAGTGCGGGGTTGGAGGCCCCCCAGCATGGGGTGCTGGTGAGCAGCGTGGTGGTGCTGGGCGGCGCCAACATCAGCGCCATCAGCGACGCGGCACGGCTGCAGGAGTTCCAGGCGCAGTTCAAACAGCAGATGAGCGCCGCTGCGCGCGCCACGGGGTACACGGGGCAGGTGGAGGTGGCCATCGACGCCATCTACGCCGGCAGCATCCTGGTGCAGTCCACCGTCAACTTCTACCAGGCCAGCAGCTATGGCATGCCACAGCTGCTGCTCGACAACCTCATGTGAGAGCACAGGGGCATAGCTCATCCATCCATGCCTCGCCCGCGCCTTCTGCTGCTGCCACTCTCCACCACCGCTACCCATTCTCACCCCCAACCTCCCTAAGTCTCCTCAACTCCTACCCCACTCTCCTCCCACTGTCCCCCCTCCCCCCCTCCCCCCCCAGCACGTCCCCCGCACTCATCTTTGCGTCGTCGTCCTACTTCCTGGCGCTGCCATCGGGGCGCATCTGGTCGCTCAACTGCTCCATGGCGGCGGCGCCCGCCTCCAACAGCGCGCCGGGGGGCGCGCAGGGGCCGCCGCTGGGCATCTCGTACGTGGCGTGGGCCGTGATGGCAGCGTGCATCCTCATTGCGGGGGTCGCCATCTGCACCGTCATCAGCCGCCGAGGTGGGGGGGTGGGGGATGAGAAGGAAGGGAAGTGTGTTGCTCTCTGTCTTGCTCATATATGTAGTCTGGTGCTGACCTGTGTGTGTGTGACTCTGTGCGTGTGTGTGTGTGTGGGGGGGGGGGGGGGGGCATTGCAGCATCAAGGCGAAGGCGTGAGGCCCTGCTATACGCACAGTAAGCCTCGCCTCTCATCCCTAACCCCCTCTAGCTTCACCTCTCACTGCCTTCCTCACACGAGCCACCCTCTCCCACCCACCCTCCTTCTCCTCCCTTCCCTGCCTCCTCTCCCCTGCCCAAGCCACGCGCTCATGCTTGCCTCCCCACTCTTCCCCCCCCTCCCCCTCTTGCAGCGGGTACGACCCGGCGGGCGTGCCGTGGTACCCCGACGAGTACGACGACGACATGGAAGCGGACCTCGACCTCGACCCGCTCGAGGCCTACGCACAGGTGCGGCCCTGGGATGCCCCCTCCTGCTGCTGCTGCTTCGATGCTTTGCTGCTGTGCTGCTCTCCCCTCCACTTGGTCACCATGACGCTCCTCTAGTATCCGCTGCTGCTGCCCGCCAAGTCCCATGCTCCATGCTGCTGCTGCTCCATGCTGCTGCTGCTCCATGCTGCTGCTGCTCCATGCTGCTGCTGCTCCATGCTGCTGCTGCGCTCCCCCCTATGGCCCTTCACTGAGCCCCTCCTCCCCTCCCCCTCCCTGTCTCCGCACTAACAGCTGGTGGCGGAGGCACAGCAGCATCAAGGGGGTGGCATGGGCGGCATGCCAGGAATGGGTGGCATGGGCGGCATGGGCGGCATGGGCGAGGAGGGCATGCAGTTCGCCATGCACCCCACCAACCTTCCCTCCGCCATGCACGCCACCAGCCTTCCCTCCTCCATGCACGCCGCTGCCTTCATGGCAGCTGCAGCAGGCGGCGGGGCAGCGGCAGGACCAGGTTGCGCGCCACCTCTGGTGGCGGCCAGTGAGCGCCTGCCGTCCCCGGCCAGGCCGTCTCTCTTCAACCTCCCGTCCTTCTCTCGCCGCCACCCCGCCGCGCCCAAGCTATCCCGCGCCATCTCGGGCCCCATTCTCTTCAATGCTGCTGCCAGCAGCGGTGGCAGCGGCCCCCTCATGCCGCGCCCGCCGTCCGGCCCGCTGCTGCCGCCCTCCGCTGCTGCCAGAGAGGCTGCCAGGCTGGGCTCAGGCGCTGCGGAGGGAGGTGCGGAGGGGACAGGGGCGGGGTGCGAGAGCAAGGGCGGGGAGGAGAGGATGGAGGGGGACGAGGCGCCGCAGTCCATGCTGGGGCGCATGTTCCGGTCGGTGTCCGGGCCGCTCTCCGTCATCTGGGCCACTGACCCCCGCCCGCCCGCACATGCCACGCCGCACAACCCCTACCCCCACCACCCCCACCGCCTCTCCGGGCGGCTGCGCATGGGCAGCGCGTCCGGGCGGCTGTCTGGGCGGCTGGCGTCAGGTAGACTGTCAGGCGCGCTGAGGCGATCAGGAGAATTGGCAGATGGGGCAGCAGGCCGGGGGGGAGGCAGGCGGTTCCCGTCAGGCGAGCTGGGGGCGGGGATGGGGCCGGGGGGGAGGCAGAGAGGGGCGTCAGGACCTATTGATGCCATGGGGAGGCCAGCAGGGGCAGATGCGATGGGCATAGGCATGGGGAGGCATGGAGGGGGGCTAGGCGGGGGCACACTGCCCCTGTCCCTGGCTGCAGGCAGCTACGCTGGCAGCTACGGGGGAGGCAGCTATGGCGGCAGTTATGGAGGCAGCCATGGGGGCAGCAACCCGGGCAGCCAGGCGGGCAGTCAGCCGGGCACTCAGCCCCAGTCACCATCCGGCAGAGGGGGTGGGAGTGGGGGAGGGGTGCGGCGCACGCTGACAGAGCAGGAGGTGGAGGCAACGACGGCAGCCGCCATGGCAGCAGGGGTGGACCCGTCACTGCTGCACCAGATGCACCTGCACGGCATGCACCTCCCCCACCACCTGCCATTCCACGCTGCTGCCACTGGGTCCGTCTCTCAGTCCTCCACTCAAGCCCAGTCGCAAGGGCAAGGCCCGGGCCAGCCCCAGGCGCAGGGGCAGGGGCAGGGGCAGGGGCAGGGGCAGGGGCAGGGGCAGGGGCAGGGGCAGGGGCAGGGCGCGCCGATGCGCATGTTCAGAGTGAGCTCCACCGACTCCAATGACTCGGTGCACGCTCCCCACTCCGCCGCCGCCGCCGCCGCCGCCGCCGCCGCCGCCGCCGCCGCTGCTGCTGCTGCTGCCCAGGGGGGCGGTGGTGCGTTCGGGCTGCCCCGAGCAAGCAGCTGCGGTCTGCCAAGTGCAGGCACAGCAGGGGTGCCCGGCACCGGGGGGTCAACTCCTACGTTCAGGCGAGGGCTGTCCACCTCGCCCTCGCACCGTGCCGCCCTCGTTGCTGCGCTCTCTGCTGCTGCAGGTGAGGCCGCCTGCCATGCCACCTCCTGGTGGCCGCTCGTGCCCATGCTTTCGCCCCCCACTGCAACTCAACTGCGCATCCTTTTCTCTCCTCCTTGCACCATCGCACAAAGCCACCTTCCAAAACCCCACACTCTCCCCGCCCCTGACTTGTCCCCTCGTGTCACCCTCCCCCCCACGCCCCTCAGACCCGCTCTACCCCGTGGAGGACAGCGGTGCGGACTATGCGCCGACGCCCTCCATGCTCAGATCCAGGGTACCGCCCCCCCTTGCTTCCACTGCAGCACCACTTGCTTGTTGCCCCCTGCACCTACTGCTCTACTGCTCCGCACGTCCTTCTCCCCCCCCGCTCCCCCGATCGCCCCTCCCCCTCACCACTTGCACCCATCTCCCCGCACCCCCTGCTCCCCTCAGAGCTTCCGCATGGGTCGCTCCGGCCAGCTCACAGCGTCCGGCCAGCTCAACCCCTCCGGGCAGCTCAGAGTTTCCGGGCAGCTGCGTGCATCGGGGCAGCTGCGGCGGCTGGCATCCGGGCAGCTGCAGGTGCCGGACCACCTAAACATGAATGTGACTGGCGCACCCTCCTTCTCCTACTCCTACTCCGCCACTGGGCCCCCTCCCCACACTGCTGCTGCTGCTCCCTCTGGCTCCACCGACACCACTGCAGCAGTGGGGGCAGCAGGGGGGGCAGCAGGGGCAGATCATGTGAGGATGTCAGGGCAGCTGGTGGCAGGGGGGCAGGTGCCTGCTTCTGGAGCCATTGGTGCTTCAGGTACCATCCCAGGGTCAGGCGCCATTCCAGGTTCCGGCATGTTAGCAGCGTCTGGGTCGGGGTGGGGTCAGATGCCGCACTTCGCCCAGCTGAACCGGTCGGGGCAGCTCAGAATACTCAAGCAGCTCGGCACGCATGGCGCAGGGGCAGGCGCAGGGGCAGGCATACCCATGGCCATGCATGGGCAAGGGCAGGGGCAGGGGCATGGTCAGCCGCGGCAGGCATCCCCGCGTGGCGCGTCGCCAGGCAGAGGCATGGCGTCCAGCGGCACGGCATCAGCGGCTGTGCGCTTCTCCAACCCCCTCGCGCCCCCCCACCTCTCCGCCTCCTCCGGGCACCTCAACCAGCCCGAACGAGGCCCCAATAAATGGCTGCGACGCGTTCGCTCCAACGTTGGCGTGTCTGGGCAGGTTGAAATGCCCAGAAGAGTGGCGCAATCAGGGCAGATGGTGAGAGTGCCCAGTGGTGGGGAGTATTCAGCTGCCCAGGTAACCCCGTCCGGGCAGCTGAGACGAGGCTTTTCCTCCTTTGCAACTTCCGGGCAGCTTCGCAATCCCTCGGGTCCGTTCTCCCAGTGGGGGCGGCAGGGGTCGGGGCGGCGAGAGGACTTGGTAGAGGCGGTGGAGCAGGCAGAGGTGGCGGCGGAGCAGGCGGAGATGGCTGACTTCTACAGCAGAATGCGCAGCAAGGCCACGTCCGGCCCCATCTACTTCGGGTGAAAGCGGCTCACTGTTCATTTTTGAGGCGCCTCAAAAATAGTACATCTCCTTAGGCCTGGTGTGCTGTATGCTCTCCTATAGCTCGCAGACCAGCGCATGCTGCTGCAGGGATAATGATGACCTCCGTCCATCCAAAGAGGTGGAATTAGTGGAATAATTTATCATAGAGTTAGTGTAGAATTTGTGGGATAGTCCTGTATTGATTTGTTATACATGTGGAGGGACCAACTGAATGCCATGAAACTGTAACATACATGAAACACCAAGCGGACTTGTTGCTCTACTACAGCCAGTCTAGCAACGTATAAAAATCCGCATTGGCATCAGCCTTCTTATTACAGTATGTACTCCACCCAAAACCAAAGCAGCCATGTGGGGCTGCTTGTGTGTTCACTCTCCGCCGGCAGCAGCGAGGGCGGTGAGGCGCTGAGAGAAGTGCGAGGCGAAGCGAGTGGCGGCAGTGGTGATGGCGTGGGCGGGGCCGTGCAGAGCCAGGGCGTTGGACGCGATGAGGGCGGCGTCGTGGTGGATGGCGGGCAGCGAGCGGTACCACCCCGATGCCAGGCGCGCCTCCATCGTCGCCACACCCATGGGCACAGGCAGGCTGGGGGGGAGGGGAGGGGGTGGGAGAGTGGGGAGGGGGGCAATGGGAGTGTGGGGAGGGGGGAGAGGTGAGCAAAATACGCGAGGCGGGGGAAGGGCAGGGCGGGTGGAGGGGATGGACCAGCGCAGGCAGGGCGAGGCATGGCGCACAGCCCACGAGGGCAGTGATTCACAAGGTATGGGGGGGGGGAGAGGGGTGGGGGGGCCAGGGAGGCAGCACGGACCAGGCGAGTGCGGCAGCGCTGGAGTCGGGCGAGTACACGAGGCTGAGGCTCTCCTCCATGCCCGCATCCCGCCGCATCTCCCTCACCGCCTCCCTCGCAGCGCCCACCAGCCTTGCATCCAGGGCGGGGCGCGCGGGCCACAGCGCGGGGTCGGGGTCCAGCAGCTCCCACGCGCTGTGCCGCTCGTGGCTGCGGTCGTGCCAGTAGTACACCCGCAGCCTGGGGGGAGAAGAGGGGGAGAGGGGAGGAGGAGTAAGGGGTAGTGAGAAGAGGAGTAGAGAGAAGAGGAGAGGAGTGGAGAGGAGAGGAGAGGAGAGGAGAGGGGAGGGGAGGAGAGGAGAGGAGAGGGGAGGGGAGGAGGAATGGAGGAGTGAGCGGGAATGGGGTGAACGGAAAGAGCAGCAGGTGAAGAGTGCGTGCTGCAAGCATCCAGCATGCCGCCCAGTGTCAAAAGCTCAAACACCCATCACCCCGCCCATGCCTGCCTCCGTGCCTCTAGAGTTCGAAGGACCCATCACCAGAGGGGGGAGTGGGGTCACCGGGGGCTGGGCTGACCTGCGCCAGGGGCTGAGCGGCAGGGCGGGATCGATGGGGGTGTCGGCCTCGATGCGCCCGCGGAAGATCACCGCACTTGGGTGCACCGGCACGGGCGACGCCGATGGCGACACCGGCATGGGGGGCGGCTTGTGGTCCGGGGGCAGGGAGTCCCGGCTCCAATACGCCTGCCAAGGGGAGGGGAGAGTGGTGGGGTGGGGGAGGACGAGGAGGCTGATGAGTGCGTGATGCGTGGTGCTGAGGGGGGAGAAGGGAGCCAATCGAGGGCCATGAGGGGCATCAACTTTGCCCATGCTTCTTGAACCGCCTCCCCAGCACCCTTTATCGGCACTCATGAGCAAAATCTTACCAGGCAGTGCTGCTCGACCTGCCAGCCCTTACCAGGCAGTGCTGCTCGACCTGCCAACCCTTATCAGGCACTGCTGCTTGACCTGCCAGCCCTTACCAGGCACTGCTGCTTGACCTGCCAGCCCTTGGCCATGGCAGCGTCGTATCGCCAGCGCTCCACCACGTACTCCTCGCCGTCCTCCTCCACCTCCACACTCACCCTCTCCCCACATGCTGCACTCTCCCTCTCGACCACCCGCAGCACCCCTCTGCACCCCACTTGCCGCACCTCCCCTGCCCCCCTGCCTCCCCCTCTCCGTCCCTCACCCGCCCCCCTGCCCCTCCCTTCCACGAAATAGTATTCCACCTCCTCCACCACGCACGCCTCTGCTGGCCGAAGCTTCCTGCGCAGCTTCTCATCCAGCCCGCGGCTGCGGCTGCGGCTGTGGCCGGAGGTTTCCAGGAAGCTGAGGTGGCCCTGGAAGCAGTAGATGACGTCATCGCCCACCTGAGGCAGGTAGGGGTCGCCCTCCCGCCACTCTGTGGCCCCCACCCACCCGACACCCGCGCGCACCCGCCCCACCGCCCGCTCGCCCTTCTCCCCCTCCCTCCTTCCAGCCAGCTCTGCCCCCTGTGTCCTGGGGGAGGAGCCCGCGCCTGTGAGTCGGGGGGACGCCCTGGCAGCCGGGGCTGTGACCCGGGGGGAGCTTCTGGCGCCCAGAGCCAGGGGGGAGCTGCGGGCGCCAGTCACCCTGGGAGCGGGGACAGGAGTGGCGGGGTGCCTTTCTCGCAGCCGGGGGCTGACTGCATGCTGCAGGCGGGGGCTCACAGGGGTGCGCTGTGAGGCTGCGCTGGGCGGCTGTGCCTCCTGCTGCCGCTTCGCTGCCTGCCTGCGAGGCGTGCGCTTGTGCTTGTGGTGCTGTCGGCCTGAGCTTCTAGCCTGTCTGCCAGTTGCCCTCTTCCTCTTCCTCTGACCCCCCATGTCCTCACTCCCAACACTCCTATCACTCCCATCACTCTCATCGCTCTCATCGCTCCCATCACTCGCACTCGACTCATCATACGACCCACTCTCCTCCTCCTCTTCCTCCTCTGCCTCCTCTTCCTCCTCCTCCTCTGCCTCTTCCCCCTCCTCTCTATTCTTTGCTCCCTCCTGCTCCTCCTCTTTTGCCTGTTGCTCGCGGTTGGTCGCTTGCGCCTCTTCTTTCTCTTCCTCACTTCTACTCCCCTTATCCATCTCCTTGCCTTCGCTCTCGTCCATCCTCTCTCCTTCACACGCCTCATCCCCACTCTCCCCCGCCTCCCTCTTCGCATGCTGCAGTCGCCTCCTCACATTCCTCCTACCGCCCAGCCTCTCTGCCTGCTCTATTCTCAACTCATCATTCTCCTCACTCTCCTCCTTCGCCCCACCTCCCTTTTCCCCTCCACCCCTCCCGCTCCCTCCTCTCGCCTGGCACCCCACACTGTCTCCTCCCCCAGGCCCCTCTACCCCCATCGCCCCACCATCCGTCCCTCCCTCACACCCTCCACTCGCTCCCCCATCCGTGCCTGCTCCTTGCCTTCCCTCCCCCTCCCCCCTCCCGTCTCCTTTGGCTTCGTCCTTTGCCGCCCCGCCACTCCCACCTGACCCCTCCCCATTAGCTACTCCACCCACTCCTCTCCTGATGCCACTGTCTGCAGCAACGCCATCCCCTGCACCATGCTCTTCCCCATTCCTCGCCTGCCTGCCACCCTTTCCACTCTCCCCCTGCGCGCCACTTTCACCTCCCACTGCTCCCTCCTCCCCCTTCACTGCTCCCATCGCGTCTCTCTGCTCACCCAAACCTCCGCCTTGGCCCTTCCGTCCCTCCCCCTCCCCCTGTCCTACCCCACACCCTTCCTCCTCCCCTGCCCTCCCAGCCTCCCCTCGAGCCTCCTCACCAGCGTGCACAGCGTCGGCTCCCCTCACTGCTTCACCCTCCACTGCACTCGTGACAGCACCAGCCACCACACCAGCCACACCAGCCTCAGCGCCAGCAGCAGTCTTGCCACACGCGTCCATTCCCCCATCCCGCCCCGCATGCCCCCCATCGCTGCCGCCACATGCACCACTATCCCCATCCCCGCCAGCGCCACCACCATTGTCCCCATCCCCTGAAACGTCCCCTTGTGTGGTCGGATGCTGTTCGCCACCATCCCTCACCCTAACGCCCTCCCCCTCTCCACCCTCCTCGCCTCCACCCTTGCCACCACCATTCTGCCTACCGCCCTCCTCCCTGCCGCCCTCCCCGCTGCCCATCGGGCTGAGCAGGTCGTCCCCAGGCAGCCCTGCCCCCTCATCTCCCCCCTCACCCGCGCCCTCCTCCCCGCCCTCGTCCCCAAACAGCTCTGCAAACAGCTCCTCCTTCCGCGCACTCATCTCCCCGCCCCCCCCCTCCCAATCCCCTGCCCCATCTCTGTCCTCACTGCACCCTGTACTCTCCGCCCCCACTCTGGCCTGCTCTGACCGCTCGCCCTCTTGTGCTGCGCAGCCATCACATGCTGCTGCCTTGCTGCCCATGGCGCCACCTTCCTGCCGCACCTCATCACTGCCACCCGCACCCGCATCAGTCGCAGCACCAGCCGCACCAGCACCACCACCACCACCACCACAAGAACCATCGGCACCAGCAGCACCAGTAGCAGCAGCCGCCAAATCACAGGCAGTGGCAAGTGGCATCCGCTGCTCAGCGTCACTTTCCCCTTGGCCCGCCCTCTTGAGGCCATCCATCCCCTCCCCCCTTCCGCCTCTCCTCGCTTCCACCAAACCACCCCCCTCCTCCTCCCCCGCACCCCCTTCAGCCGCCACAGTAGTGTCTGCTGCCCCTCTCACGGCCTCCACCGCGCCTCCGCCCTCCCCTCCCTCCGCTCCCTCCCCTCCCCTCCCCTCTCCAGCTTGTATCTCACACTCAGCACCAGCTGCCCCGTCACCTGCCCCTTCACCTGCCCCTTCACCTGCCCCTTCACCTGCCCCTTCAACTGCTCCCACAGCAGCCTCGTCACCACCACCCTGCTGTCCCGCCGCCTGCTCTCCGTCCCGTAACTCGCTCCCTGCAGCCCCCATGCCCGCACCATCTGTCTGCCGTGCTGCTGAGGCGACTTCCTCCAAGGCCTGCTGTGGCTGGCAGGAGGGGTGAGCTGCGGGATGCGAGGCAGCACCACACGCACCACCAGATGACCCTCCGGCCACTGGCTTGCCCGGAAGAAGCAACGACAGCGCACACACTGCTGCACTGCCACTGCCACCAGCAGCAGCAGCAGCGCTGCCATCCACCCTGCGGTGCGCCATCCCTTCCCGCCCTCTCCCTGCATTCACTCCATGCTGCACTCCTGACCCGCGCGCGTTCCTCTTCCTCCTCGTGCCAGCTGGCACCGCTGGCAGCCCCTCGTGAGCTGCTGCGAGTGCAGCAGCGCCAGCACATGTGTCAGCAGCGGGCACGGCATTAGAAGTGTCAGCAGCGGTTGCATCAGCAGCGGGCGCGCTTGGGTGGGCGCCAGAAGTCGAGGTCATCTGCACACGCCACACAGCCCCCACCCCACCCACCGCTGCACGTTGGTCAGTATGGCGCGAGTTAGTCAGCATCAGCGAATCAGAAATGCTCCCTCGCTCACCCTCTACATCTTGCTGCTCCTCATCGCTCTCCCTCTCCGCCCCGTTCTCTCCCCCCACTCCCCTGCCTCTCAGCTTCCTTCCCCTCAAATGATGGCCCCCCTTCACCACATCATCACACTCGTCCCTCTCCTCCTCACTCCCCTTCACATTTTCATCCTCCTCTCCCTCACTCTCATCCTCACCATCACTCTCCTCATATTCTTCCGCTTCCTCCCCCTCATCCTCATCCTCCCCCCCACGCTCTTCCTCCCCATTCACTCCACTCAACTCTGGTTTTCCCCTCCCCCGCACACCTCTCCCCGTTCTCCTCCCCCCCACCCGCCCCCCGCCCCCATCCCCACCTGATCCGCCAGCTCGCGCCTTGCCGCCTCTTCCTCTGCCGCCCCCGCCCCTCCCTTGCCCCCCTCTTCCAGACACTCCCCCTCCGCCCCTCCCCCTGCCCCTACCTCTTCCCCTTCCCCTTCCCCTACCCCTGCCCCTGCCCCTCCCCCTGCCTGCCACCACGCGGACTGACTGCCTCGTCCCCACGCCTCCCCCCCGCACCTCTCCCCTTCCCGCGAGCTGCGCCCCCGCCCCCCCTGTGCGCCTGCGCGTGGTCCTCTTCCCCCAGTTCGGCTCCTCCTTCCAGTCGCCACCCTCGTCCTCCTCGTCTTCGTCTTCCTCCTCCTCCTCTTCCTCCTCGCCTTCGTCTTCCTCCTCCTCCTCCTCCTCGTCCTCCTCGTCCTCCTCCTCCTCATCATACTCTTCTTCTTCTTCCTCCTCCACTCCGTTCTCCTCCTCTTCATCCTCATCCTCCTCCCAAATCTCCTGGACATCACCTCCCTGGGCTGCGCACTCAAAGGGGTCATCAGCTCTTGCTGCAGCCACGCCCACCCCAACAGGTCTCAGCTGGGCAGGTCTTAACTGAGCAGGTCTTAACTGCGCAGGTCTTATCTGAGCAGGTCTAATCTGAGCAGCAGGTCTTATCTGAGCAGGTGCCAGCTGAGCAGCCTGACTCGCAGCAGCGTGGCGGCCAGTACTCCTCGTCCTCCTCCCCCCTGTGCGCTCCTCAATCACTTCCACCACCTTTTCTTCTTCGTCGTCCTCCTCCTCTTCATCCTCCTTCTCCCCCTCATCCTCCTCCTCCTCCTCATCGTCATCCTCCACCACCTGCTCTTCGTTCTCCTCCTCTTGCTCCATCGCCTCCACCCCCTCCTCCTCTTCATCCTCCTCCTCTTCATCCTCCTCCTGCTTCGCTGCAAGGGCGTGCTGCTGTCGGCTCCTTGCTGCTTGGGTCCTTTGGGCCACCATGCGCTGTCACTCCCACGCGCTCACACACACACACACGCACACACGCACACGCGCACACGCGCGCACGCACACACACACGTGCATGCGCACACGCACACGCACACACGCACGCGCACACACGCACACGCACACGCACACGTGCACACGCGCACACGCGCATGCGCACGCGCACACGCACACGCACGCACACGCACACACACACACACACACACACACACACACACACACACACACACACACACACACACACACACACACACACACACACACACACACACACACACACACACACAGAGGCACGGGAACATTCACACACGGGGGCATGTCTGAGGTACACTGCTTCCCAGTGGAGCCAACCATGAGGCATGGCACCACATACTCCAGCATATAGGTATCATGGATTTGTAAAAAGCAATCATCCCACATGCTCTTTCACCTCAACGTGTCACAATCCCCCCGGCCCCCTTGCACCACAGAAGAGCCACACGCTCCATGCCCCTCTGCGCACCTCCTTGAGCTGCGACTTGGTCACTCCCCGCGGCGCATCACTGGAGCTGCCAGCACTGCCGCCACCGCCACCACGCACAGCAGCAGCACTACCAGCACCAGAAGAGGAAGCGACAGCAGCGGCAGCAGGGCTTCTGAGGTTGATTTTGAGCTTCAAGCCGCCCACAGCAGTGATGCTCCCCTGCTCACCCCTCACACTCTTCATGCCCCGCTGCCCCCACCCACTGCCGCCCACAGCATGCGCCGCCACGCCTTGCGCTGCCATCCCACTGCCATGGCCGCACACACCGTTAGTGGCATGAGAATTGCGCTGGGCATATGGAACGGCCAGGCTTCTAGATGCGTGGCCCACCCGCTTCAAGTGCTCCAAGTCCTCCGCCCCTCCCTGCTCCTCCTCTTCATAATCCTCATCCTCTTCCTCATCCTCCTCTGCCTCCTCGTCCTCCTCCCCATCCTCCTCCTCGTCCCACTCATCCTCCCCTTCCTCCTCCTCCTCTGCCTCCACCCATCGTCCGCTCTCATTCTCCCAGTCTTCCACCCCATCTTCCTCCTCCTCCTCTTCCTCCTCCCTCGCCTTCCCTCCACGCGCCACTCGCCCTCGTCCTCTTCCTCCTCCTCCACCACCTCCCCTAGCCACCTTGGGTGGCCTACCCACCCTCCCCCTCCCCTTCCCTCTCCCTCGCCCCATTCGTCCCCCCTTCCCTCTTCCCCTCCCCTTCTCGCGGCCTCCCCTCGTCTGCATCCTCCTCTCCCGCCTCGCTCTCAGCACATGCTCCTGCACCAATTCAACCCCCTCCTCCTCCCCCTCTCCCTCCTCGCCTACATCCCTCCCCCATCGCTTCCTCTTCTTCCCCAGCAGCCTCCTCGATCGTCTCGTGCCCTTCCCATCCTCCTCCTCTTCCGCCTCGCCCTGCCCCTCCTCCTCCTCCTCCCCCGTATCCCCCTCCTGCTCGTCCGCGCTTGCTCCCCTGCACCGCTCCTCCTCCTCCCCTCCGCTCACCTCGTACTCCGAGTCCCCATCGCCGCGCTCCTCCTCGCCCTCTACCATGTCCACCTCAAACCCCTCGTACCGCCGCACAGGCAGCCTCTCCCTCAGCTCCCACCGCTGGCTCTCCCGCCTCCTCCCATCCCTCCCCTCTCCCCTCTCCCTCACTCTATCATCACCACCCTCCGGACCGCCCCCCTCGCCCCCTCTCACCCTCCCCTCCCCGTCACCATCCCCATCCTCCCCCCCACTCACCACCTGCACCTCCCCCTCCTCTTCTCTCCTCCCCCTTGCCCCGCCATCCCCCCGCCTCACCCCCTGCCTCCCACCCACCGGCGCCTGCGTGTCAGGCAGCGGAGGCAGGGGCAGGGGGGCGGAGCCGGGGGCGCCGAGGGGCTGGTTGGGAACGGGCTGGAAGGCCAGGTCAGCAGCGTCGATTCGGCCGACCGCCAGGTGCATGGTGGGCGCGTGGTAGGGGCGGTTGAGCAGCGCAAAGCGGCGCGCCTGGAAGAGCGACTGGTAGGGGTCGGGGTAGGGCTGCATGCCCGAGTCGCATATGGGGTCCATCCACGTGCGCTCCTCTGTTAACACGTTCGCCTCCTGGTGGCGCACGCGGAGGGGGGAATGATGGAAAAGGCACACATGCGAGGGAGCATGTGCCTCTGTGCATGACAGCAGAGCATGCACAGGCGGTCATGGGCACTGGGCACTGGGCACTGGGCACTGGGCACTGGGCACTGGGCACTGGGCACTGGGCGCGTAGCAATCATTGAACAATGACAGCTCCCAGGGGAAGGTGGACAGTCGACGAGGGCAAGCGGAGCCGTGAAAGAGTGGAAGAGAGCACAAGAGAGAGAGGTGAGATGAGGAGAGGGTGTGAAGATGAGAGGGCACGGGGAGATGAGAGGGCACGGGGAGATGAGAGGGCACGGGGAGATGAGAGGGCACGGGAAGATGAGAGCGCACGGGGAGATGAGAGCGCACGGGAAGATGAGAGGGCACGGGGAGAGCGCGCGTGGGGTGGTACCTCATCCAGGGCATTGTGGAAGGCGTCCAGGCGGAAGCGGCGGTAGTCGCCCAGGAAGAACTGCAGCAGTGCGGGCGCATGAGAGGCGCATGAGGGGCACATGAGAGGCGCATGAGGGGCACATGAGAGGCGCATGAGGGGCACATGAGAGGCGCATGAGGGGCACATGAGAGGCGCACGGGGGGCGCATGAGGGGCGCAGGAGGGGCGCAGGAGGGGCGCATGAGGGGCACCGGGGAGCACGGCAAATGAGAGGTGTAGTGCAGCGGAGTACGGCAAGCCATGGAGGAGCGCAGGAGAAGGACACTCCACATGCACAACAACACATCAGATGCATGCCATGTCAACATGGGTACGATGACAGCATGGTGCATGGTGCATGGTGCATGGTGCATGGTGCATGGTGCATGGTGCATGGTGCATGGTGCATAGTGCATGGTGCATGGTGCATGGTGCATGGTGCATGGTGCATGGTGCAGGGTGCATGGCACAGTCCCTGACAGCACGGCACCTGGTCCATGTGGATGTTCTCCCACTGACTCATGCCCCCAGTGGCGAACACATACAGCTGCCCCACCTCGTCCGACACCACCAGCCCTGTGCCATCCCTGCATGCAGGCACACATGGGAGGGAGAGAGGGGCGTGGCAGCACAGGTGAGCACAAGAGACATGCGCAGTGCAACACAAGGGATGATCGAGGCTGAATGACGACCGCGGACGGCAGCTGAGCAGCAGCCACGCAGGGCAGGGCAGGCACACGGGCTTACGGCGAGAAGTGCCCGTCGACGAGCTGGAAGGTGGTGACGTGGCGGATGGCGATTGGCTGCCCCTTCCAGATGTCCCACACTATGACTCGCCCGTCGTACCCCGCACTCATGGCGATGCGCGGGTCTGTGGGATGCACGTCCAGCACAAACGCCTGCCAGGGGAGGGGAGGGGGGACATGGGGAAAACGGGAAGGCCGGGGCCGGGGAGTGGATGGGAGAAGGCCGGGAAGGTTGGTAAAGAGAGGGCGGGCCGCGGCCTGTTCACTAAATCCACCTGGACCTGCTACGAGTACTGCAGTGCTGCAAGCACCTGCATCTGCGGGCCTCACCTGCTCCTGGTGCGCAGTGAGGCAGTGTGTGAGCTCGCCTGTGGCCGCCTGCCACACACAGATGCGCGCATCTGCCAGAGGGGGGGAAGGGCGGGGGCAGACGATGCAGAGAGAGACGTGAAGAGAGCAGTGAGTGAGCAGCGAGGTGAGGCAGCTGTGCCAAGACGAGCCGCACGCACACCAGTGCTGCAGCGCACCTGTGAGGGCAGCGCACCTGTGAGGGCAGCGCACCTGTGAGGGCAGCGCACCTGTGAGGGCAGCGCACCTGTGAGGGCAGCCAGCACGAACTGCGAGTCCAGCGACCAGATGATCATATTCACTGCCGCCCCTCCTGCCGCCCCTCCTGCCGCCCTTCCTGCTGCCCCTGCCATCCCGGCCGTCCCCGCCACCATGCTCGCCTCCCTCCCTGCCGTCGCCCCCACCACACCCCCTGCCCGCGCCCGTGCCCCTCCCCTCCCCCCTCCCCCCGCGGCAACCGCAAGGGGGCGAGGCGGGGCCTTTAGCTGCAGCGCCTTCAGCCAATACGGGTGCTTGCCCTGGGGGGGGGAAGCGGATAGCGGGGGGAGCAGGAGGAAAAAGTGTGAGAAACTATGGGATGGGATGGGATGGGATGGGATGGGATGAAGGAGGTGGGAGGAAAAGGGGCTGATGCACTGGAGGGCAGGCGAGCGTGCATCCATGAGAGGAGAACGCAAAGCACCTCACGCATGCACGCAGCAAGCCATGACCCCCCTCACACAGTCAGCAGGCCATGACCCCTCTCACACAGTCAGCAGGCCATCACCCCTCTCACACAGTCAGCAAGCCATGACCCCTCTCACACAGTCAGCAAGCCATGACCCCTCTCACACAGTCAGCAAGCCATGACCCCCTCACATGCACGCGGCGGGGCCGGGGGCGCCAGATGATGGCGGAGCCGTCCCGCGCACACGACACTATCAGGTCCGCGCCCGCGCGGTTGGCCGTGCTGGACGAGGGGGGGAGACGGAGCAGAGAGGCAGAGGGCGGTTGACGGGGGCAATACAGGGACGGGGCGAGGGGCATGAGAGATGGGAAGCGACAGTGGGAGTGGAGGGAGTGGATCACGCAAGTGGAGGGCGTAACGGGTGGTGGTGGTGGTGCAGGACGCACTGCAGTTGGAAGGGATTGCCATCGCAACTCACTTGAGCAAAGTCAGCGGGCGCTCCTTCTCTTTGTCCTTCTTCCTTCCGCCCTCTCCACCTCCCTTCCCCTTCCCCCCCACACCCCTCCCCTCCTCCTCCCCGGCAGCCCCGGACTCCACCTCGTGCTGCAGCCCCGCACACCCACTGCAACGCGCAGGGGTAGGGGCAGGGGGCAATGGGCGGAGGGACACGCGGCAGCGGGCAGAGGGAGAAGCAGTGAGAGCGCTGTCTGGCATCTTCCGCAGCAAGACATGGAGGCGCGCGGGGGGAAGGCAGCAGCAGGAGGGGCGGGGTGGGGGGGCGGGGGTGCGCACCTGAAGTGCACGAAGTTGACATGCCCGTGGTGCCCCATCAGCTCCTGCATCTCGTGCTGCACCACCACGCTGCACCGCCCCTGCCCCTCCACCCCTGCCGCCCCACCCTCCTGCTGCTGCTGCTGCTGGGGCTGCTGCTGTTGTTGTTGCTGTTGCTCCTGCTGCTGCTGCTGCTCTTGGATGGGCTCCTTCTTTGTGATTGCAGGCAGTCTGGCATCCCACACCTGCGCACATGGCATGCATTGGCGCCGTGGCATCACATATGAAGGCATGAGGCGGCATGGCACCGACAGCAGGAAGGGAACGATAGCACCAAATGCCCCTCTCGTCGCCCCTGCCTCACCCTGGTGCGCCCGTCTGTCTCACCGTGGTGCGCCCGTCTGTCTCACCCTGGTGCGCCCGTCTTCGCTGCCCGTGACGAACAGAGTGCCATCCGCGTTGAACGCCGCGCACAGCACACGAGGGGCCAGGTTGGCGGCCCGCCGCTCCTCCTCCTCCTGCTCACTCAGCGCCACCGGCTGCTGTGGCGGTGGCATGAGGTTGACTGACGTCCCAGGAGGGGGGGGGATCTTCGTGGCTGCAAGGGGAAGGCAGAGAGTGGAGGAGAAAGAGAGAGAGATGTTTGATTGATGGGACTGGGTGCATCGATGGATCAGGGCAGGGTGTGCGATGGCCGGGCAGCCGGGCACAGGCGAGGGAGGGAGTGGTGCAGCACACGAGACAGCCACATGTGGATCCTGCTATGGCGAGACAGAAACAGCCTGCTGCAGGAGGAGAGGGCAGCAGAATGGATGGCACAACGCCATGGGTGGCAGGGAGGAAGGGGCGTACCGTGGGCAGCAGGGAGGAAGGGGCGTACCGTGGGCAGCAGGGAGGAAGGGGCGTACCGTGGGCAGCAGGGAGGAAGAGGCGTACCGTGGGCAGCAGGGAGGAAGAGGCGTACCGTGGGCAGCAGGGAGGAAGAGGCGTACCGTGGGCAGCAGGGAGGAAGAGGCGTACCGTGGGCAGCAGGGAGGAAGAGGCGTACCGTGGGCAGCAGGGAGGAAGAGGCGTACCGTGGGCAGCAGGGAGGAAGAGGCGTACCGTGGGCAGCAGGGAGGAAGAGGCGTACCGTGGGCAGCAGGGAGGAAGAGGCGTACCGTGGGCAGCAGGGAGGAAGAGGCGTACCGTGGGCAGCAGGGAGGAAGAGGCGTACCGTGGGCAGCAGGGAGGAAGAGGCGTACCGTGGGCAGCAGGGAGGAAGAGGCGTACCGTGGGCAGCAGGGAGGAAGAGGCGTACCGTGGGCAGCAGGGAGGAAGAGGCGTACCGTGGGCAGCAGGGAGGAAGAGGCGTACCGTGGGCAGCAGGGAGGAAGAGGCGTACCGTGGGCAGCAGGGAGGAAGAGGCGTACCGTGGGCAGCAGGGAGGAAGAGGCGTACCGTGGGCAGCAGGGAGGAAGAGGCGTACCGTGGGCAGCAGGGAGGAAGGGGCGTACCGTGGGCAGCAGGGAGGAAGAGGCGTACCGTGGGCAGCAGGGAGGAAGAGGCGTACCGTGGGCAGCAGGGAGGAAGGGGCGTACCGTGGGCAGCAGGGAGGAAGGGCGTACCGTGGGCAGCAGGGAGGAAGAGGCGTACCGTGGGCAGCAGGGAGGAAGAGGCGTACCGTGGGCAGCAGGGAGGAAGAGGCGTACCGTGGGCAGCAGGGAGGAAGGGGCGTACCGTGGGCAGCAGGGAGGAAGAGGCGTACCGTGGGCAGCAGGGAGGAAGAGGCGTACCGTGGGCAGCAGGGAGGAAGAGGCGTACCGTGGGCAGCAGGGAGGAAGAGGCGTACCGTGGGCAGCAGGGAGGAAGAGGCGTACCGTGGGCAGCAGGGAGGAAGAGGCGTACCGTGGGCAGCAGGGAGGAAGAGGCGTACCGTGGGCAGCAGGGAGGAAGAGGCGTACCGTGGGCAGCAGGGAGGAAGGGGCGTACCGTGGGCAGCAGGGAGGAAGAGGCGTACCGTGGGCAGCAGGGAGGAAGAGGCGTACCGTGGGCAGCAGGGAGGAAGAGGCGTACCGTGGGCAGCAGGGAGGAAGAGGCGTACCGTGGGCAGCAGGGAGGAAGAGGCGTACCGTGGGCAGCAGGGAGGAAGAGGCGTACCGTGGGCAGCAGGGAGGAAGAGGCGTACCGTGGGCAGCAGGGAGGAAGAGGCGTACCGTGGGCAGCAGGGAGGAAGAGGCGTACCGTGGGCAGCAGGGAGGAAGAGGCGTACCGTGGGCAGCAGGGAGGAAGAGGCGTACCGTGGGCAGCAGGGAGGAAGGGCGTACCGTGGGCAGCAGGGAGGAAGAGGCGTACCGTGGGCAGCAGGGAGGAAGAGGCGTACCGTGGGCAGCAGGGAGGAAGGGGCGTACCGTGGGCAGCAGGGAGGAAGAGGCGTACCGTGGGCAGCAGGGAGGAAGAGGCGTACCGTGGGCAGCAGGGAGGAAGAGGCGTACCGTGGGCAGCAGGGAGGAAGGGGCGTACCGTGGGCAGCAGGGAGGAAGAGGCGTACCGTGGGCAGCAGGGAGGAAGAGGCGTACCGTGGGCAGCAGGGAGGAAGAGGCGTACCGTGGGCAGCAGGGAGGAAGAGGCGTACCGTGGGCAGCAGGGAGGAAGAGGCGTACCGTGGGCAGCAGGGAGGAAGAGGCGTACCGTGGGCAGCAGGGAGGAAGAGGCGTACCGTGGGCAGCAGGGAGGAAGAGGCGTACCGTGGGCAGCAGGGAGGAAGAGGCGTACCGTGGGCAGCAGGGAGGAAGAGGCGTACCGTGGGCAGCAGGGAGGAAGAGGCGTACCGTGGGCAGCAGGGAGGAAGAGGCGTACCGTGGGCAGCAGGGAGGAAGAGGCGTACCGTGGGGCAGGAGAAGGCGAGGGGCAGCAGGGAGGAAGAGGCGTACCGTGGGCAGCAGGGAGGAAGAGGCGTACCGTGGGCAGCAGGGAGGAAGGGGCGTACCGTGGGCAGCAGGGAGGAAGAGGCGTACCGTGGGCAGCAGGGAGGAAGAGGCGTACCGTGGGCAGCAGGGAGGAAGGGCGTACCGTGGGCAGCAGGGAGGAAGGGGCGTACCGTGGGCAGCAGGGAGGAAGAGGCGTACCGTGGGCAGCAGGGAGGAAGAGGCGTACCGTGGGCAGCAGGGAGGAAGAGGCGTACCGTGGGCAGCAGGGAGGAAGGGGCGTACCGTGGGCAGCAGGGAGGAAGAGGCGTACCGTGGGCAGCAGGGAGGAAGAGGCGTACCGTGGGCAGCAGGGAGGAAGAGGCGTACCGTGGGCAGCAGGGAGGAAGAGGCGTACCGTGGGCAGCAGGGAGGAAGAGGCGTACCGTGGGCAGCAGGGAGGAAGAGGCGTACCGTGGGCAGCAGGGAGGAAGAGGCGTACCGTGGGCAGCAGGGAGGAAGAGGCGTACCGTGGGCAGCAGGGAGGAAGGGGCGTACCGTGGGCAGCAGGGAGGAAGAGGCGTACCGTGGGCAGCAGGGAGGAAGAGGCGTACCGTGGGCAGCAGGGAGGAAGAGGCGTACCGTGGGCAGCAGGGAGGAAGAGGCGTACCGTGGGCAGCAGGGAGGAAGAGGCGTACCGTGGGCAGCAGGGAGGAAGAGGCGTACCGTGGGCAGCAGGGAGGAAGAGGCGTACCGTGGGCAGCAGGGAGGAAGAGGCGTACCGTGGGCAGCAGGGAGGAAGAGGCGTACCGTGGGCAGCAGGGAGGAAGAGGCGTACCGTGGGCAGCAGGGAGGAAGAGGCGTACCGTGGGCAGCAGGGAGGAAGAGGCGTACCGTGGGCAGCAGGGAGGAAGAGGCGTACCGTGGGCAGCAGGGAGGAAGGGGCGTACCGTGGGCAGCAGGGAGGAAGAGGCGTACCGTGGGCAGCAGGGAGGAAGAGGCGTACCGTGGGCAGCAGGGAGGAAGAGGCGTACCGTGGGCAGCAGGGAGGAAGGGGCGTACCGTGGGCAGCAGGGAGGAAGAGGCGTACCGTGGGCAGCAGGGAGGAAGAGGCGTACCGTGGGCAGCAGGGAGGAAGAGGCGTACCGTGGGCAGCAGGGAGGAAGAGGCGTACCGTGGGCAGCAGGGAGGAAGAGGCGTACCGTGGGCAGCAGGGAGGAAGAGGCGTACCGTGGGCAGCAGGGAGGAAGAGGCGTACCGTGGGCAGCAGGGAGGAAGAGGCGTACCGTGGGCAGCAGGGAGGAAGAGGCGTACCGTGGGCAGCAGGGAGGAAGAGGCGTACCGTGGGCAGCAGGGAGGAAGAGGCGTACCGTGGGCAGCAGGGAGGAAGAGGCGTACCGTGGGCAGCAGGGAGGAAGAGGCGTACCGTGGGCAGCAGGGAGGAAGAGGCGTACCGTGGGCAGCAGGGAGGAAGAGGCGTACCGTGGGCAGCAGGGAGGAAGAGGCGTACCGTGGGCAGCAGGGAGGAAGAGGCGTACCGTGGGCAGCAGGAGGAAGAGGCGTACCGTGGGCAGCAGGGAGGAAGAGGCGTACCGTGGGCAGCAGGGAGGAAGAGGCGTACCGTGGGCAGCAGGGAGGAAGAGGCGTACCGTGGGCAGCAGGGAGGAAGGGGCGTACCGTGGGCAGCAGGGAGGAAGAGGCGTACCGTGGGCAGCAGGGAGGAAGAGGCGTACCGTGGGCAGCAGGGAGGAAGAGGCGTACCGTGGGCAGCAGGGAGGAAGAGGCGTACCGTGGGCAGCAGGGAGGAAGAGGCGTACCGTGGGCAGCAGGGAGGAAGAGGCGTACCGTGGGCAGCAGGGAGGAAGAGGCGTACCGTGGGCAGCAGGGAGGAAGAGGCGTACCGTGGGCAGCAGGGAGGAAGAGGCGTACCGTGGGCAGCAGGGAGGAAGAGGCGTACCGTGGGGCAGCAGGGAGGAAGAGGCGTACCGTGGGCAGCAGGGAGGAAGAGGCGTACCGTGGGGGGGGGGGGGGGCAGGGGAGGAAGAGGCGTACCGTGGGCAGCAGGGAGGAAGAGGCGTACCGTGGGCAGCAGGGAGGAAGAGGCGTACCGTGGGCAGCAGGGAGGAAGAGGCGTACCGTGGGCAGCAGGGAGGAAGAGGCGTACCGTGGGCAGCAGGGAGGAAGAGGCGTACCGTGGGCAGGGGGGGGGGGGGCAGCAGGGAGGAAGAGGCGTACCGTGGGGCAGCAGGGAGGAAGAGGCGTACCGTGGGCAGCAGGGAGGAAGAGGCGTACCGTGGGCAGCAGGGAGGAGAGGGGGTGGGCAGCAGGGAGGAAGAGGCGTACCGTGGGCAGCAGGGAGGAAGAGGCGTACCGTGGGCAGCAGGGAGGAAGAGGCGTACCGTGGGCAGCAGGGAGGAAGAGGCGTACCGTGGGCAGCAGGGAGGAAGAGGCGTACCGTGGGCAGCAGGGAGGAAGGGGCGTACCGTGGGCAGCAGGGAGGAAGAGGCGTACCGTGGGCAGCAGGGAGGAAGAGGCGTACCGTGGGCAGCAGGGAGGAAGAGGCGTACCGTGGGCAGCAGGGAGGAAGGGGCGTACCGTGGGCAGCAGGGAGGAAGAGGCGTACCGTGGGCAGCAGGGAGGAAGAGGCGTACCGTGGGCAGCAGGGAGGAAGAGGCGTACCGTGGGCAGCAGGGAGGAAGAGGCGTACCGTGGGCAGCAGGGAGGAAGAGGCGTACCGTGGGCAGCAGGGAGGAAGAGGCGTACCGGGGCAGCAGGGAGGAAGAGGCGTACCGTGGGCAGCAGGGAGGAAGAGGCGTACCGTGGGCAGCAGGGAGGAAGAGGCGTACCGTGGGCAGCAGGGAGGAAGAGGCGTACCGTGGGCAGCAGGGGGGGGGGGGGGGGGGGGGGGGGGGCAGGGAGGAAGAGGCGTACCGTGGGCAGCAGGGAGGAAGAGGCGTACCGTGGGCAGCAGGGAGGAAGAGGCGTACCGTGGGCAGCAGGGAGGAAGAGGCGTACCGTGGGCAGCAGGGAGGAAGGGCGTACCGTGGGCAGCAGGGAGGAAGAGGCGTACCGTGGGCAGCAGGGAGGAAGAGGCGTACCGTGGGCAGCAGGGAGGAAGAGGCGTACCGTGGGCAGCAGGGAGGAAGAGGCGTACCGTGGGCAGCAGGGAGGAAGAGGCGTACCGTGGGCAGCAGGGAGGAAGAGGCGTACCGTGGGCAGCAGGGAGGAAGGGCGTACCGTGGGCAGCAGGGAGGAAGAGGCGTACCGTGGGCAGCAGGGAGGAAGGGGCGTACCGTGGGCAGCAGGGAGGAAGAGGCGTACCGTGGGCAGCAGGGAGGAAGAGGCGTACCGTGGGCAGCAGGGAGGAAGAGGCGTACCGTGGGCAGCAGGGAGGAAGAGGCGTACCGTGGGCAGCAGGGAGGAAGGGGCGTACCGTGGGCAGCAGGGAGGAAGGGGCGTACCGTGGGCAGCAGGGAGGAAGGGGCGTACCGTGGGCAGCAGGGAGGAAGAGGCGTACCGTGGGCAGCAGGGAGGAAGAGGCGTACCGTGGGCAGCAGGGAGGAAGAGGCGTACCGTGGGCAGCAGGGAGGAAGAGGCGTACCGTGGGCAGCAGGGAGGAAGAGGCGTACCGTGGGCAGCAGGGAGGAAGAGGCGTACCGTGGGCAGCAGGGAGGAAGAGGCGTACCGTGGGCAGCAGGGAGGAAGGGGCGTACCGTGGGCAGCAGGGAGGGGGGGGCAGCAGGGAGGAAGAGGCGTACCGTGGGCAGCAGGGAGGAAGAGGCGTACCGTGGGCAGCAGGGAGGAAGAGGCGTACCGTGGGCAGCAGGGAGGAAGGGCGTACCGTGGGCAGCAGGGAGGAAGAGGCGTACCGTGGGCAGCAGGGAGGAAGAGGCGTACCGTGGGCAGCAGGGAGGAAGAGGCGTACCGTGGGCAGCAGGGAGGAAGAGGCGTACCGTGGGCAGCAGGGAGGAAGAGGCGTACCGTGGGCAGCAGGGAGGAAGAGGCGTACCGTGGGCAGCAGGGAGGAAGGGGCGTACCGTGGGCAGCAGGGAGGAAGAGGCGTACCGTGGGCAGCAGGGAGGAAGGGGCGTACCGTGGGCAGCAGGGAGGAAGAGGCGTACCGTGGGCAGCAGGGAGGAAGAGGCGTACCGTGGGCAGCAGGGAGGAAGAGGCGTACCGTGGGCAGCAGGGAGGAAGAGGCGTACCGTGGGCAGCAGGGAGGAAGAGGCGTACCGTGGGCAGCAGGGAGGAAGGGGCGTACCGTGGGCAGCAGGGAGGAAGAGGCGTACCGTGGGCAGCAGGGAGGAAGAGGCGTACCGTGGGCAGCAGGGAGGAAGAGGCGTACCGTGGGCAGCAGGGAGGAAGAGGCGTACCGTGGGCAGCAGGGAGGAAGGGGCGTACCGTGGGCAGCAGGGAGGAAGAGGCGTACCGTGGGCAGCAGGGAGGAAGAGGCGTACCGTGGGCAGCAGGGAGGAAGAGGCGTACCGTGGGCAGCAGGGAGGAAGAGGCGTACGTGGGCAGCAGGGAGGAAGGGCGTACCGTGGGCAGCAGGGAGGAAGAGGCGTACCGTGGGCAGCAGGGAGGAAGAGGCGTACCGTGGGCAGCAGGGAGGAAGAGGCGTACCGTGGGCAGCAGGGAGGAAGAGGCGTACCGTGGGCAGCAGGGAGGAAGAGGCGTACCGTGGGCAGCAGGGAGGAAGAGGCGTACCGTGGGCAGCAGGGAGGAAGAGGCGTACCGTGGGCAGCAGGGAGGAAGAGGCGTACCGTGGGCAGCAGGGAGGAAGAGGCGTACCGTGGGCAGCAGGGAGGAAGGGGCGTACCATGGGCAGCAGGGAGGAAGAGGCGTACCGTGGGCAGCAGGGAGGAAGAGGCGGAGGCAGGTAGCATTGGGGGCGGCAGTGACGTCCCACAGGCGACATGTGCCGTCCTCAGAGGCTCTGATGGGCATGGGGGGGCGTGGGGGGGCGTGGGGGGCGTGGGGGGCGTGGGGGGGGCGGTGGGGGGCGGTGGGGGGGGAAGAGCATCAGAGGCATGCCAGGGGCGATGATGGAAGGCCAGGCAAGCCAGGGGCGAATGACAGGGAGAGCATGCGAGAGGGAGAGCGTGCAGAGGAAGCAGAAGGATGTGCGGGTGAGGGTGTTCGTGAGCGTGAGGGAGGGTGGGGGCGAGCATGCGAGAGAGCGTGAGAGGGCGGGAGGGCGTACGAGAGCAGCATGTGCTGCGTGGTGGGGCTGAAGGCGACGGCTGTGACCGCCTCCGAGTGCCCCACCAGCGTCACCTCCAGATGCCCGCTTGGCAGCTCCCACTGGGGGAGGGGAGGGGGGGGGAGGGGCGGACAGAGTGGGTAGGAAGGTGAGGAAGAGAGAGAAGACAGTAGGAGAACTTGAGCACTTGATAGGTGGGAGATGGGAGCGACAAGGAGCGATGGTAAGAGCGGGCGGGCAGCAGCACTCACGACGCGGATGTGGCAGTCATTGGAGGCGGAGGCCACCCATCTGTCGCCCAGACTCACAGACAGGTCCGTGATGTCGCCCTGCACGCACGCACGCAGACGGGTGCCGAGGGGAAGAAGTGAGACCCATGCGTTGCATTGCGTGCACGCACACAGCCAAGGGAACGCAAGCAGAAACGGTGAGCGTGCTTGGTGGGTGGGTGCAGTATTGGATGGTGCGTGAAGTGGGAGAGCGACTGACAGTGTGCGCGCGGCAGGTGGCGAGGCAGATGCCCCAGTGCATGCTCCATATCTTCACCAGCCGGTCGTCCGATCCCGTCACCAGGTACCGCCCCGCGTGGTCGTACACCGCTGCACACGGGGGGAGAGGGGGGCAGAGAGGGGGGGAAGCAGAAACGGATGCAAGCAGCGCATGAGATGTGAGGGCCCGAGATTTGAGGGCACAGGATATGAGGGCATGGGATATGAGGGCATGGGATATGAGGGCATGGGATATGAGGGCATGGGATATGAGGGCATGGGATATGAGGGCATGTGATATGAGGGCATGGGGTATGAGGGCATGTGATATGAGGGCATGGGGTATGAGGGCATGTGATATGAGGGCATGGGGTATGAGGGCATGGGATATGAGGGCATGGGATATGAGGGCATGGGATATGAGGGCACGGGATATGAGGGCATGGGATATGAGGGCATGTGATATGAGGGCATGGGGTATGAGGGCATGTGATATGAGGGCATGGGGTATGAGGGCATGTGATATGAGGGCATGGGATATGAGGGCATGGGATATGAGGGCATGGGGTATGAGGGCATGTGATATGAGGGCATGGGGTATGAGGGCATGTGATATGAGGGCATGGGATATGAGGGCATGGGATATGAGGGCATGGGATATGAGGGCATGGGATATGAGGGCATGGGATATGAGGGCATGGGGTATGAGGGCATGTGATATGAGGGCATGTGATATGAGGGCATGGGTATGAGGGAATGTGATATGAGGGCATGGGGTATGAGGGCATGGGATATGAGGGCATGGGATATGAGGGCATGGGATATGAGGGCATGGGATATGAGGGCATGGGATATGAGGGCACGGGATATGAGGGCATGGGATATGAGGGCATGTGATATGAGGGCATGGGGTATGAGGGCATGTGATATGAGGGCATGGGGTATGAGGGCATGTGATATGAGGGCATGGGATATGAGGGCATGGGATATGAGGGCATGGGGTATGAGGGCATGTGATATGAGGGCATGGGGTATGAGGGCATGTGATATGAGGGCATGGGATATGAGGGCATGGGATATGAGGGCATGGGATATGAGGGCATGGGATATGAGGGCATGGGATATGAGGGCATGGGGTATGAGGGCATGTGATATGAGGGCATGTGATATGAGGGCATGGGTATGAGGGAATGTGATATGAGGGCATGGGGTATGAGGGCATGTGATATGAGGGCATGTGATATGAGGGCATGGGGTATGAGGGAATGTGATATGAGGGCATGAGCACAACAAGGGCGGGGCACTGACCGCAGTAGACGGCGTTGCGGTGGCCGCGCAGCACCTTGACCTGGTCAATGCGCGAGAAGAGCAGCGCGGGGGAAGCGACGGCCAGAGAGGCCGACCTGAGGCGCACAGAGGGGGGTTGGGGGGAGGGGAGGGGCGGAGGGGAAGTGAGATAACAGAGAAATACACGGTGGATGGTATTGCGAAGGGATGTGGCGATGACTTGGGAGGTGAAGAGGCGTGGGAGGGGCACAGGGGCACAGCAGCACGCACCGAGCACTGGCAGCCCTGGCAGCACGCGAGCAGACCCCTCCGCCCGTCTCCCTCAAAGCAAGGGCGTGCAGGAGCGGCGCGGACAGGTGCGGATGGGCCGCATGCGGCAGCGAGGTCTGGGGAGCGGACAGGAGCGCAGGCAGCCACTCCGCTGTTGGTGGGGAGGCGAAACAGGGGTGGGCGGGAAGAGATAGAGAGAGCAGGGTTTGAGTGGGGTGGGGCGAGGGGGAGACAATGGAGAAGGGCGGCAGTGAGGATGCTGAGAGGGGGAGGTAGAGATGCATGGCGCATGCCATAAAGGCGAGCTCTCTCACCGCGTCTCAGGCTTATCCCCCCCTGTCCCAGCAGCGTTGGCACGTCAGCGGCACACAGCCACCACCTGTTACGCCGCGCTGTCGTGCCTGCTGTGCCTGCTGTGCCTGCTGTGCCTGCTGTGCCTGCTGTGCCTGCCATGCTTGCCATGCGTGCCATGCCTGCCACGGCACTCACAGACACACCCGCTCCGCCTGCACCCCTATCACCCGCTGCTGCTGCTGCCGCCACTGCAGGAGAGGCCACCACAAGCGCTCGGCTACTTGCTGCCACTGCTGCTGCCACCGCCTCTGCTGCTTCCGCACCTGCTGCTGATGCCACCACACCTGTTGCCACAGCACCTGCTGCTGGTAGCTGCCCCAACGCTGCTGTAGCCTCCGCCCCACTTCCCTGCGCCTGTGCCACAACAGCACCCACCACTCCCTCCGCTGCTCCCTCTGCGCCCACTGCCTGCTGCCTTGGCCCCAAGCCACTGCCACCCTCCTCCAGCGCACTGGGAGGGGCAGAGACGGTGGGAGGCGCAGCAACGGTAGGAGGGGCAGGGATGGTGGGTGCGGCAGCCGCTGCAGCGGGTGGGGCGGGAGGGAGGGTAGGCGCTGCTGGCAGAGGCGGGTGGGGCAGCGAGGAAGAGATGGGCAGGGAGGGGAGGGGGGCGGAGGAGGAGGAGGAGACGGCGAGACGGGAGGAGTGCAGCAGCTCGTGCAGCAGCAGCACGAGGTGGTTGTGCGGGATGTGGGCGTACCTGGGAGGAGCGAGGCGCATATGGGGCATGCACGGACACCAGGTGAGGGAAAGGGCCGCGTGGAAAAAACCACCTGCCTCGTAATCAGCAAGACAGACGTTTAGCAAAGTTAACCATTATCCCACGCTCTCTCTCACCACCGTTATAGTCACTCACCTCCTAGTCAACTCCTCATAGCTCATGGGCACGGACGGCACTGATCCACCCTCCACAACTGTCGCCTGCCCCCCTCTGGAGAACACGGCATGGCACCGCTGCGGCAGCAGATTCTGCTCCTGCAGCTCCTCTTGCAAAACTTTCGCTGCCCGACTGCACGGGCTGCCCGACAAGAAGTGCAGAATGAGGAAGTACACTTCACCCATGTCCGCTGCGGCCTCCCCTCCCGCTGCCGCCGTCAGCGCCATCATAGGGCCATGTGACGGTAAAATAGCTGCTTTCTGATTGGCCGACGTGCCTGACGCGTCAGTGGAAGGCGCCTGAGCGCGTTTGCGCCCGCCAGCGGCGGGAGGGCGGCGGGCGGCGGCGGCAGGGCGCGGGTTTGCACTGGGGGGGCGCGCGTTGGCGGACGCGTTGGCAGCGCGCGAGGTGCCGCGCGCGGCAGGCGGGGCGGGAGGAGCCAGGGGGAGAGGAGCTGCGGCGGTATGGGGACCTTCCGGAGTAGACTCGCCTGTAGGGTGAGCAGGAGCGGCGGGGATAGGCGCGGGGGGGGGTGAATGGGCTGGGGGAGCTGCGGAGGCTGCATGAGGGGCGGGGCCTGGAGTAGGAGCGGGCGCTGGGGGAGGAGCGGGCGCGGGGGGGGGAGTGGGTGCGGGGGGAAGAATGGTGGCAGAAACGGGGCCGGGAAGGGATGGCGAGACAGCAGGCGCAGAGGCGGCGGCGGCGGGGACATTAGGGAGAGGAGAGTCCGCGAACAGTGGCACGCCTGCTTCGAACAGGGATAGGCGGGCGCTCGGCGGGCCTGCTGCACTCGACGTTGTGGGCGCAACGGACAGATGGGCAATCGGGTTAACCGAAGGCGCAAGGTTGGCGGGAAGTGGTTGGGAGAAGGAGGCAGGGCCACGGACGGAAGGCGGATGGAGGAGGGAGGCAGGAGGGAGGGCGGAAGTAGGAGCAGCGGGGAGGGACGCAGCGGGGGCGAGTAGAGAGGCAGCAGCTGGGCCCGACGATGTGGCGGCGACAAAGCCATCACATGCGGCAGCTGTAGCAGCTGTAGCCGCAGCCGCGGACATCCCGCCACTCCACGTGCCATCGAGCCCGGCACCCGCACCGCGCCCCGCTGCCGCCTCCCGCACTACCATCGTAATCACCTCCGCCTGAAAGTCCAACTCGCTGGACCCAGGAGCAACAGCAGCAGGAGGAGCAGGAGTGGAACCAGAAGCAAAAGCCGTTGCGCCACGCGGCGGCTCCCCGAGCACGCGTGGTCGCACGCCGCTCATCGGTGCCGCCATCGGCATCGGCATCGGCATCTGCGGTGGAGCGGCGCCTGACGCAGCTGCAGCACCGGAGTGAACGGCGGGTGCGGGGGAAACGGCGGAGAGACTGCCCGTCGTGTAAGGCATCGCGGGCGAGGGGAGGAATTGCGGTCTCGAGGAAGGCGCGGAGGACGCGGAAGGGAAGGAAGGGAAGGAACGCGCGGAAGGGGCGGAAGGCGCGGAAGAGGCGGAGGGAGCGGAAGGAGCGGAAGGAGCGGAAAGAGCGGCAGGACGGCAGGCGGCGGCGGAGGTTTGGAAACCCTGTCCGAGTGTATCTGAGTGGTTCACGCCCGCCTGGTTCTGGGGCGGACGAACCAGATGGTTTCTCGGTGGACCTGGCCATCCGACGGTCTGACGGCCGGAAGCAGGACTCGGCGCGCTGCAACCCACTTGACCGTTAAAAACAGCCTGCCCGGCTGAAGCGCCGGATTGCACGCCGTGAGCAGAGCGGTTCCCGTTGCCGGCTCTAGCGGCGGCGTTTCGAGGGCCAGAGCACACGGGATTTCCTGCTGACGCGTGCAGAGGCAACGGGGAGGGGCTCCTAAGCGGCGCGACAGCTGGCTGGGCGGGCGAGGGCGGGAAGGACGGGTGCTGGGAAAACGGCGGCTGCGGCGGATAGTATGGTCCGTTAGGAAACGGCGAGGTAGAGGACGTGGAGAGAAGTGCGGACGAGGCGTGCGATGATGACCCCACGAGGGGATGGAAGTAACGCATGTCAGGCGCGGGCTGCGAGGCATACTGGAATGAACCAGACGTGGGTCCGTAATTATAAGCGGATGCTAGTGAGCTGGGCGCTGCTAGGTGGGAAACTTGAGAAGACGAATAAGGCCCGTTACTATAATACCCCGCTGATAGCGGCGATGCGTGGGAGTTGAAGTGAGCGGCCTGTGGGTGTGCCATTGCGGCGGGAGGAGCGGCACGAACAGCGGACGAGGAGGCGAGAGGGAACGAACCAGAACTAGAGCTAAGCGGAGGACGAGCAGTCGTGTCAGGAGGAAAGCTACTCGTAGGCGCTAAGTAATTAGCTGGTGGATTGAAATCCGAAGGCGAATTGTAGTCCTCTTTCATGTCCCTGAATCCTGAAGAGTCCATCCTATCGAAACTACTGCCTAAAAAACAATCCCCGATCACCAGAGCTCGACAGACACTCGCTCGTTTCACCGCGTGGAAGCAACGAACGACAACCGAGGCAACAGCCGATGCTGCTGCTCCTGATCACGGCGGGAATTGAGCAGGACGAACAGAGTGGGTGGAGCACGGACATCCGTAGCCATGGCCATGGATGGTGGTTTGATTTGAAAACTTGAATTTCAAACAAAGCCCGACGGACTGAAAAAGCCGAGCACATTGCTGCTTGCTGCTGCCGTTGGCGACTGGGCGAAGCCCGGACCTACCTGGTAATTTTGGCGAGAGCGGTGTTCGCGAGAAACTCGAGGAAGAACTTGAGCACAAGAGACCCCCAATGGGTCGCACGTGGGTTTCGACAATTCGCGAACGAAAAATCTTTTCGCAAGCCACTCTGAACGAGCTGGCGTGCGGCAGAGAATCTGCCTGCCACAGCACGAGTGACCGTCATGCTGTCCCCGAGGAAATTTACGCCACCACCACCACGGGAACCCTAATTTCTCTTCGGCGAACACTACCTGCTAGCTAGGAAACGTAGGCCGAGCAGGCGAGCCATGGCAGAACCGTTCACTCGCTCCGTGGCGCAGCTCGTCTGCGCTCAGATCTGCGAGTCGTTCGGCTTCCAGTCGATCCAACGGTCAGCGCTCGAGACCCTGTCGGACATTCTGACTCGCTTCATCACCAGCGTCGGCGACGCAGCACACGCGCACGCGGAGCTCGCAGGGCGAACCGACGCTAACGCCAACGACGTCGCTCTCGCTCTCTCCGATGTCGGCACGTCGCTCGGCGATCTCGCTCGTTTCGTCGAATTCGCCGACGACGTCTCGTCGCCGTCGTTAGCGCAAGCCGTCCCGTCCTTCCCCGTGCCCCGACACCCGCGCTTCGTCTCCGCCAGTTTCCTCCAGAGCGGGGAGGAGCCCCCTCCGCGCGGCGACATTCCGGAGTGGCTGCCGGCGCTGCCGGACCCCCATACCTACATCGCCACGCCTGTGTGGGAGGCTCGGGGGCAGGACAAGCGGCAGGATCGGGTGGAGGAGGGGCGGGAGCGGCGGCGCGCGGAGCAGTCGCTTGTGTCGCTGCACCAGCGCATGGGGATGGTCACGGCGGGCGGCGCGCAGGCGCGCGGTGGTGCTGGCGGCGGCCGGTTGCTGTGGGGGGGATGGTCTCACGCTGGGGGGGGGGACGACCTCCCCGCAAGGCTAGAAGCGGGGATTTACCCCCGCGTGGCGACTGGTGCGCCGCCCGCCGTGCGCAACGAGCAGGGCGCGGAGCGGAGCGAGGGGCGGAAGAAGCGGAGAAGGGAGTCCGGATCAGGCAGCGGGTCGGTGGCAGGCCAGGTTCCTTCTGCGCTGGACGCGTTTCAGGGGCTGATGAAGGCCGTGGGGAGGGAGCAGGGCAGGGGAGGCGCGGGTGAGGGGTTCGAGGAGAGTGAGGAGGAAGGGGGTGAGTTAGGGGAGGGAATGGAAGGGCGGAATGGGGACGCCATGGCCGTGGATGGCGATCTTGAGCTGGTGGAAGGTGGCGAGGAGAGGAAGAGCGGCGGCAGTGGGGCCCAGGGAGGTCAGGTAGCGGGGGATTCAAGCGAGAGGGTGAAGGACGTTGGGTGGTCGGCAGTGGAGAGGGTTTCAGGGGCGGGTGCCTCGGGAGTGTCGTTTCATCTGGGCAGCAAGATCAAAGCGAAACTTGGAGCTGCGAGGATGCAGTTGCCTGTTGTGCTGAGGCAGCCAAGAGCTAGGGGTGGGCCCGGTGGGAGTGATGGCACTGGGAAGGGCGAAGAGGACAAGGAGAGGAAGGGTAAGGACAAGAGAGAGAGGGGCAAGGATGATGAGAGGGATGAGAAAAGGAAGAGAGCGGAGCAGATATTGGAGCAAGCAGGGAGGGGGGCAGCTGAGGCAGCCATTGGCGATGGTAGATAGGAATCAAGGGCTCATATCTTGTCTGCATTATGACACTAGCTCAGGTTAGACTTGAGCTTTACCCGCATACCTACAGATGAGGCGTACCTTCACGTTAATTCTTCCATGCTTTTGGATTTATCTATATTTTGCACACTTGAGAGAGTTTGTTTGTATGGATGTATACGTGCAGATCTGTGCCATTATCGGAAATTTGGTGCTGTGTTGATCTGCGGCTTGCAGCATGCGTCAACCTCATCCCCCCAGCCCTCATCGCTTCTCGCCATTCAGCTTCTCGTCTCGTCTCCAGATCGTCACGGTATTGTGGGTTCGTGTCAGCAAAAGCCTTGATGTTACGGAATTCGCACCGCCAAAGGCCTGACCCCAAGCTGGAAACTCTCACCGCTGAACAATCCCTACTCGAGCTTTGCTGACGTTGGCGAAGGAAATCCTCCATTTCGAGGAAAGCTTCACATCCCGGTGAGTGCTTTCGATGAGCATTGTTTCAGCCACTAGCGACAGAGTTGCTGACGCCAATTCCCTTATGTTACGTCCCATGGCCCTCTCGCTCCCTCAGCGGGTGTGACTTGCACGTCATGCCATGCGATTGGTGCGCGGTTATCACTTGCGCACCAGTGCAAGCAACTTCCAGGCCCTTCGCTTCGCGTACGCAACCTGCTCCGTCCGTTCGTTTTCAACCCAAAACCAGAATCATCAGCGAAAAATGCTCTTTCGCCTAGCAATATTCCTGTCATCCTCAACCGACGAACTTCTTTGCCGAGATCATGCGACTCCCTTCACCTATTTCGCGAACTGCTGACGCAAACATGACCTCCTCTCAACCAATCATCGTTTAGGATGACACTGTCGGCGCTGCTTCCCCCTTCGGCCCGCCTCAGCCATCCACTTCGCGCCCCGCCCACGTGGTAGCGCGGACGGGAGGGGTCACGCATGGACTCACGGGGCTGATCGGTGGGTGTCCGTTTGACACCGCAAGCGAGTGGCGCTCAAAAGGGAAGATGCGCGCCACATTACTGTCACTCAATCAATAGTCCAGTTCACTCCCAGTCCTCAAGCCCGAGCACAACCATCACATTTGCCAACATATAGCTCCCGCCGGAATCGCATTAGGTCTCATCCTGATCGCGTGATCCTTTTTAGAGTCAATTTATAGCATTCAACGACAGCACTCCGTCGACCGTCATCTAGCTCGCTATTTCACTAGAAGCCAGCTTGTTATACGATTACCTGATTTGTCCGAACATGGGCGCCTGCGCTTCTACGGGTGGTCGCAGCCGCACGGCGTCAGAAAGCCTAGCTTCGACTTGCCCTACCAACAGCAGCAAGAAACATCGCAAGGCCGATCGCGCACGAGGCAGGGCGAGCAACACGAAACCGAATCCGACTAATCGCCAATCCGTGTTAGCCCTGCCATCGTCGTCCAGACGGCTCGAGAGCAACTATTTGATAGGTAAGCTTCTCACTCCGCGCCATTCCCCGCAGCCTTGGATTAATCGTTCAGTGCGTCAATGTGCCTTGAACGATGCACCCGACGCATCGCCACTAACCTGTTCTTGCCCTAATCGCATTTGCGCAATACGCATAATTCCAGGTCGCGAGATTGGCCGCGGGTTGTACGGCGTGGTTCGCGTGGTGATGCACCGCGAGACGCATCAGCGGTTCGCGTGCAAGACGATCGACAAGCGCCGCATGTCGCAGGAGCAGCTCGCGCGCCTTCGCACAGAGTACGACATCCTCAAGCGACTCTCGTCGCACCAATCAGTAGCGGCGCTGGTAGACCAATACGAGGACGCCACGTGTGTGCATTTGATTCTCGAGCTCTGCACGGGAGGGACGCTATACGATGTTCTCACGACGGCCTCTATCGCGGACAATGCGTCCGCCGTAGATCGCTCCGATAGCAGCGCCAGTCCCGCTGCCACAAGCAGCACGCGCACCAGCAGCGGAAGCACCAGCAGCCGCAGCAGCAGCAGCATGAGCGGGAGCGCGGCGTCGAAGCGGATGAGCGAGGCGCAGGCGAAGCGGGTGATGCGGCAATTAGCAGAGGCGGTGGCAAGCCTGCACGCGGAGGGCATCGTGCACCGCGACCTGAAGCTGGAGAACGTCGCGTTCATGGAGCCCAGGGATGCCGAGGGCAGCTCGCCCCCCGAGGGCAGCTCGCACCATGGCAACACCAGCAGCCGCAGCACGAGCACAAGCAGCCGCCATTTTCCCAGCATCAGCAGCGCCAGCAGCTTAGCTTCTGAGTTGAGCGCCAGTGATGCGGACAGTGACTACACTGCTTCCTTGGCATCTGCGCCCTGCTCCCCCGCCTTCTCCACATCGTGCCCTCCCCTCAAGCTCCTAGACTTTGGCCTGTCCACGTGGCACAAACCAGCAGACGGGCAGAAGCTGACGGAAATTGCGGGCACGGCGTACTACGTGGCGCCAGAGGTGCTGCGGAAGCAGTACGGCAGCGAGTGCGACGTGTGGAGCATGGGGGTCATCCTCTACATGATGCTCACCGGATCACCGCCCTTCTGGGATGGTGCGTACTCATCAGCCTTGAACCACCTCCCTTGTGCTCTCATGGACTCAGCTTTCTTATGCTCGTTCCATTCTATTTCTCTGGAGTTGCATTCTAAACTTGTGCTTCCTTCCCCTCTTTCCCCATGCGCGCTGCAGTCTCTGAAGAGGCCATCTGCTCAGCTGTCCTGGCGGGCCACTACGACATGGTCAGTGCGCCATGGCCGTCCATCTCACCTGCTGCCAAGGACCTCGTCAGGCGCATGCTGCAGACGGACCCAGCCAAGCGAATCACCGCACCCGAAATTCTTGGTAAGGACTCTCCTTCCTGCAATGCTATTTGCTAACAAGTGTACTGGTTCCCACTCCATGCATTTTGGTGGCAATTTTCCTAATGGCAACTTTGCTTTCTTCCCTGCAGGACATGAATGGATCTGCTTCTAGAAGCCTCTGCATTCTGCGGTCCATCCTGGTGAAGTCATGCAGTGTGTGGAACAGACCTTGCGTAGAAGACCCCTTTCTGAATCCTTAGGCGCCTGGTTGGGATTTTCTCACTGTTGTACAGGCACCACACATTTGCAGGTGCTATATCTTGAGCATGTGTTGATAGAAGCCACGTTGTACAAATGGCATTGAATAAAAGTCGGCTCTGTACATTGTCAGCTGATTTTGAGTAGTTACAGGGGAAATTCTGCACCAGGTCTTGAGAGCAACTACCTCACATAATACTGCAAGATCGAGGCCTAGACCTCTCAATTTTAATGATCACACATCCTGCGTTTCTCGGATCTTCCACACATTCCAGCTTTTCTCTCTCCGCCCACTCCATCACCTGTGGCTTTATCCTGGCCGCTCCTCCTCTGGAGTGTAATCCACGCCCAGTTATCACCGTTAATCTCTCTCCGTCCCTTTCCTTCACTTCGCCAACGCGCCGAGCGACCTGCTCCAACGCCTCCTCGACCAGCAAGCCGTGCACGTCTACCGTGTCATGGCCTCGACCCTCGTTATTGCCTTCGAAAATCAGCTTGCTCGCTTCCCGATGTTGTTTGTCGGCGAGCCCTTTATACCGCTTCCGTTCGTCGCTCAGCTGCTTGGCGCGTGCACCATCCCGTCGCCGGTAAGCGGCCTGCGAATCCGCGGCTAGGTCCCTTGCGCGCTGAGCGTGGGCCCATGCCTCTTCTCTTAGGCGGTTCCCGCGGTCTAATGCCGACTCAGGAGGCTCTATAGAAAATAGGTTACCCATTCACACAGGGAAGTCTGCCGCGCAATTGCTTAGTCGTGAAGCTCCAGTGTCTACTGAACCGAAGTAGGCAATCATAAAGTTGATCAATTCCACCAAGCAGCAGCGAAACGATGAGAATGCTCGCGGTTGAGACACGCGCCGCCGCCACTGGGAAAATAAAATTGTTGGCGTTGTTAGAGGAGGCATGAAGCTATCCCGTGCGTAAGTATGGGAACACCAGCTGGGAGCACGTTTTCCAGCTTAAAGCCCGAGTCCAGAATGGTTTGCTATCAAGTTCAGGAATCCTGAAATTGTTTTCGTCCAATAGTTGGGTAACGTAGTAAATGCCATAATATCGTCGCAACTCTCTGGGAACAGGGGGCACCTTGCGAATGCCGCTGAAAAGGACAAACCCGCAAGAACTGCTCAACTCAGTATTCTTGATTTTCGCCTGCGACCATTCCGAACACATTTTTGTGGGGGTCTCACGTCACTGTTTGTTCCCCCCCTTCCCCCGCCCCCCACAGACTGTTCATGCACTGTTGAACTCGGTTCTTGCCGATGAAATTCCGTGCTGCGATCACGGTTCTGTTATTTCGCCAAATTCTGTATTCGTCGGGGGAACTTTGCCGAAATAACTTTCGCCCAGTTTTTTTGGCACTGTTTTCACGCCCCGTATTCATAATGTTTTACTATTCTAGACTCGGGCTTCAAAGCAAAAGAACCTCTCCTCACCGCCCCACACAAAGAATGTGGAGCAAGCCCCAGCTTTGATCGCCTTCGGAAGTTTGGAGGACAACCTAAAAGTTTGGACAAGAAGGCTGGTTTCTCAATCTGTACACCTATTTACCCAAAAAACAACAGACCCCAGGTTTTCCCCAATTTACCTTGCCCCCCCCCCCCCCCCCACTCCCCCCCCGAAGCCCAGGTCTCCACCTAAACGTGCACTGCAACAGTGTGTTTCAGCGAGAAATTGACGGAGTAGTCGAGCCTCTATAAATTGCTTCGGATTAGGGAATGAACAAGGATTTGATCTTTAATAACACGAGTATACCCGTGAATTAGACTGTCATCCTGTGAAAAACGAAAAGTTTCTCTCTTGTCCAAACTTCGGTTGTCGTCCAAACTTCCGAAGGCGATCTGATCCGGCATCAATGGGTCCGCTGGAGGGCACAGAGGGGAGGCGAAGGGAATAGCGCAGCGAACCTTGCGCGATTGGTAACGAGGGCAACGATAAAACCTTTCTGTGATTTTCGCGTTTCGCGGCTTTCGCGTGTGTTTTTTCCTTGACGAACATCGTCGCGTGAAACGGCGGGAACGGCGGGTAGCCCTTTCAGAATCGAGGCAGAACACCCTGATTTTGAAAACCCTTGAAAACAATGCATTCTATCGCGCTCGTTCTGGTCCCTTAGGGCCTTCATTTGAGCGACAGCATCAAAAGCGGACAAAACCTGGCCGCGTTGTTGTCCCATCAACCTGAACTTTTTGCAGCCTTGACAAGTCAAACCCCCTGAGCACAGCGAACCGGTGCTTGACACCAAGCCTTCCCACAAAGCCCGAGACCCGATTCGTTAACCTTTCCCAGTGTCACATTATGGTTCGGCACCAAGGCGGTGGGTCTACTCCGGGAACACCGCCAGACCGAACGTAGAGCCAGTCATCTCGAAGTTGCCAAGATGCCTTCTCCAATCCCTGGGCTGCCAAGCCAAACCCTCAGCCATGTTATGCAGTAAAGGCCATGGCACGGGGAAGTGGGGAGCGCAAGAGGCCTTGAATGTGGGTTTTCTTGGGGTCGTCGCTTGGCACGACAAGGCTCCCTGCGGCGCGGTGACCTGCGGCTCGTCGTGGTCGCCAAATTGCCTTGAAAGCTGACGCTCCTCCACCGCGTCCATCCCACCCTTCCCCGCGCTTTCCTCTCCCTGCAACGCCCAACCATCATCCCAGCCCAGCCACCACCTGCACCGAGCAATTTCTCTGGTCAGTCCTGTCTGTCTCACCAGAGACTGCTTCCACCGCCATGGACCGCAAACCACGGGTGTCGGGACATGAATCACCTTCAGCATTTTTACTCATTTTACCTTGAGTCTGCTGAATTTGATTGATTTCTTTACCACCCACTGCAAGTTGACTTCGCGAATGGTGTAGCGCACCAGACCACAGCTCATGTCACAGGCCTCCAGTCACTGTCTTACTACCAACCCATGGGTTACTTGGGCTCCATATTCAGCGCTGACACAGACACAGACATGGAAACTGCTGATATCGGTAGTGGAAGAGCAAGCTGGTCGCGAGGGCCGTTGCTCGGGAGAGGCTCGTTCGGCCGAGTGAACATCGGATTCGACAGCGCTAGTGGGGAGCTCATAGCAGTCAAATCTGTTCGCGTCACGGAGAATACCTCTCATGAGCTCCACGCGTTGGAGAACGAGTACGAGATTCTTCAGCAGCTGGATTCCCCGAACGTCATCAAGTGCTTCGGAGCTGATTGGTCCATGGAAGACGGTGTTCCCACGAGAAACCTCCTGCTAGCGCTAGCTTCTGGGGGGAATCTCGCAGAGCTGGCTTCCTCTGCGGGCTGCGAAAGTGGCTTATGCGAAGCTGACGTCGCTCGCCACGTCAGAGGAGTCGTCGAGGGTTTGAGCTACATCCACGAGCAAGGCGTGGTGCACTGCGATCTTAAAGCCCGCAACATCGTCCTGGGTGACTCCTGCGTGGTCCTGGTCGACTTCGGTCTCTCTTTAAGAAGACGAGAGGCAGCTGGTAGTCAGGAGGTCATTAGCGATCATGACTTGAATCGGAAAGAGAAGCTTCGAGGAACGCCGTGCTGGATGGCGCCTGAAGTCGTAGCGGGAGGGGACATTGGCGCGGCGTGCGATGTCTGGTCGCTCGGATGCACGGTGATAGAGCTGCTTACTGGGAAGCCGCCATGGTCATCTCAATGTGCCGACCCAATGTCCGTGCTGTACAAACTCGGATGCACCAGCGAGCTCCCCCGAATTCCGCAGAATGTGTCTCCATCGTGTAACAACTTCATCCATAAATGCCTTCACCGGGACCCGCAGCAGAGACCGACAGCAGCTGAGCTTCTTACACATCCGTTTCTTCGTGTACAGGAGGCAATCCCGAAAGCATACAGCACCCCATCTCATCCCGCATCATCTCCACCACTCACGGAAGTCACCAGCAAAGGCCGACTACACGTGGACATGCCATCGTCACCCATGGCTCTTGATTCTGACGAAGACCTGAATCTGAACCTCACGTGCTGCAAGATGGTGGACGAGCTGTGCGCTCTCTTCCCGCCAACGCCCTCTCCCCGCCTGGTCTCCCCTCTCCATATGGTTGCACAGGATTGGGGTTCTCTCACCCGGCCGTCACATCACCCGAATCCTACAACGGGTACACCCTCCAACTCCAAGTTTCAATGGGAGGAGGGAATTCGGAGCAAATCTCGCCCACCCAGAAGGCCATCCATCAGCGTTCCTGCACAGGACGGCTCTTCACTGGACAGACAAACCAGCTCGGGTGGAGCAAGGGACAATGCATGGGGTGCTCCCTCGCCTGCTTCAAACCATGGCTGTTTGGAGCCAGAATCGTCCCCGCCAGAGTTGGATCCGATCTCACCTGATGTACAGGAAGCAGATGCGTGGCAAGCTTGGGGTGGGGAGAGGTAGCAGAAGTTTCTTCACTGCTGATGACATGATTCCAGCGTCCGTCATTGTCTATTCATAATGGGCGCCATTATACTGATCGTGCTTATCCGCCATACAATTTTCAGGTGTACATGGATTGTTTGAATATTGCATCGACATATTATTACAGCATCACACAAATGACGGGGTAAAAGGCAGGCTCATGCTAGTGGCCAAATCATGCCTCTTTGGATGGCAGACATCAACTTTGATCAAAGGTGGCATCACCCCTCAGGGAAGAACCTTGGGATGTTTAACAGAGAAAGCTTCATTATTCATATATATACCGTACCTGCAAAATCCTACATAAATATTGGATGGATGCGGCCATGCCATTTATTCTGCTTGCTCTGCCATGGGCAAGCATGCAGAATAAATGGCGTTGCCCCACCAACCACTATCTACAAAAACCTTATTGCGTTGAAATTCTAAACTCATCCTTCTGTGATGAAAGTAGCTCAGCTTTCAGGTGGATTGTAGTCTCCTGTGCAAGCTGGGCATTGACACGACGCGGGCCGATCTTGACCGTTGAAACTCAGGCGGGAACGCGGAGATCATAGCACGGGGGGGACGCGAGTCAACGCGAGCGGAGTTCCCGCAGCAGACCGCGCCTGGAGTTTCCCGCAGCACGCGGCTGACGGCGCGGAGCGAACGACTCACACTTCCGCCGCCGCTACCGCCGCCGCTTGTCCTCTTGCCCAGCCTCCGAGAGCTGCCGCCGTGCGATCGATCCTCCGACCCGTCGCTGAAGCTGCTGCGATTGCTGGAGTTGCCTACGCGTCGCCTGCGTCGCACACTGCTGACTTGGTCCGACGAGTCGTCGCAAGCAATATCTCTTCTGCGACAGCTCTCCGAGTCCTGCGACGAACGGCTGTGCTTGCTGCAATGGTCGCCGGGACCGCTGTCGCTCCGAGTACTAGACCACCGCGCGAGCTCGTTCCGCTCCGCCGCCTCCCAAATATTGTCCCCAGCCCTCCCGATACTATCTGGAGTCGGTACTACTGGGTCGGAACCCGAGGAGGATCTGGCTCGAACGAAGGGACTCAATGCACGTTTTTTTACGAATCGGTGGATCTTTGACGCAGCGGCAGTGAGCCATCCGCAAGCAATGCAGCGAGAGTTGGCGTGCGGGGAAACCGGAGGCAGGAGCGCGTCTGTGGAGTCTGCTAATGAGGAGTCACGAGGGACCCCCTCGGCTGCGGAAGGAAGCGATGTTTCTATGCTACGGCGAGGTCTCATTCTGTGAAATCAAGGAAAGCGGGCGCTTCTGGGTGAGACAGCTAGCTAATGGTGATAAGTAATGTGTTGTGTCAGCTGGTTTCGAAATAGGAGGATGGATGGTGCAAGAACAAAAAGCAAGATGGCGACTGGTATGAGGCGTTTTTATGATGCGTTTTTTAGTTCAAATGGCGCATGGCGAGGCAAACCCTCCTCCCTGCATTTCCTCGCGCAAGCCCCCGAGCGAAGCCCCCCAAACTGCACTGTACTGTCAGCAGCACCCACTCGCCGCGTTACTCTGCTGTGTCTTGACTCGCGGAGAGAAGCGAAGTGAGCTGGGTGAAACAGGGGGCACGAGTGACGTGAGCGCGGGGAGTGAAGGTGGGCGGTGGTGTGGGCACAGGGGGGACCCGTGGAGCTGGATTTATCCGCGTTGAAGCGAAACGCGCACCCGTGGAGTCGCGTCGCCCACTCACGAACACTGGTGAAGCTTCAAGGACCCGCCAGTCGGTGCGAATTTGTCATGCATAAACAGCATACGAGCTCCCCGATCATTGCCAATAGTTTTTTTCATAGCGGGGAGAAATATCCATTCTACACGGCATCTCAATGAAGTTTCACATACACGTTTATTTGCTCTCTCAAATGCTCACTTCGCCCAATTCAATTCAAATGCACGAGCCCCAATGCTGTTGACAACGCCCTACTGACGCATTGCACACAACAATCAACCACGTAGCAACATTCAATTACATAGAACTTGACTCCAAGCTTATCCTAACATTGTTTTTTGTTCTGATGGCCTTGCTTGTCACCCATCCTTTTGCAGCAGCCACGAATCTCACAATTGAGCCAGGCTGTCTACCGCACCTCACAGCCACATTGTGAGCCACCTCCACACAGTCCCTCACATCTTGTCCCCCTGCCGCCATCCCTACACGCGCACTCAGCTCTTCAGCAGCCTGCTGTGCCTCCACGACAGCCAGGGCCGCCCCACCTATTCTTGCTCGTGCGTCGTCAATCCAATTAGGGTCGCATGCCAGCTCAGCATCCAGCAATGAGCACCCCACGCATAACGCAGCAGCAGTGGCATCACTCCTGCTCGGAGATGGAGTATGGAAGCACCTCGTGCATCTCAGCCGTTGCTCCTCCTCAAAGTCAGTCAAGGAATCAAAAGCGCAGGGGGAGCAGTGGAGGTTGGAGGCGGAGCGGCGGCGCAGAAGGTCATCCATGCTCATGTCACGGGTTTCAGCAAAGGCTTCCGAATGGCTAAAGCGGAGCGACATGGACCCAAGATGTTCGGTTCTGCTGCGCCGCAAATCTCCAGGGGCAGGGAAGGGGTCTGAGCAGTGAGAGGCTGGCTGGCGGGTGACAACCCCGGACGCCGACTCAGGGTCGGCGACATCCGACACGGGAAGGGGTGAGGTGGAGGAGTGCGCGGTGGCGTCGTCTAAGCGCTGCGCGAGGAGCATCCATCCGCTGAGATCAAAGTCGCTGGCGTTTCGGGAGGTGGAGGAGAGGCGCCAGGAGCAGCGACGATCTGACCGGCCCACGTTGCGACCTGACGAGGCGGGGTCGCGCGGAGGGAGCTTGGAGGTGTCGAGGATTCTCCGCCCATTCTGGATCTCCACGCCGTCGCGGCGACTCTGATGGAAACCGCTGCCATGGGGGCCGTGAAGAGGAGGATGCAGCCCCTGAGCGAGCAGAACGGAGTCCGGGGAATGCTCCACGCGCCTCACGTCGGCCATTCCAGTTCGGTCTAAGCTATCTCTTGCTAGTGCGTGACGAATGGAAGCTGTTGATATGGTCAAAGATGGTGTTCAGAAGCTCGGTAAGGTTTTAAAAACGGAGAGAACTAAATAAGTGACTGCGAGCATCGAGGCTCGTGCCTATTTCTCTTTGGCCAAGCTCAACGCTGGCGCTTGCAATGCCAGCCTCACGCCATAGCGTCCGCACATCCAATTCAGCGACCTGATTGGACGACGCCATTTGTGCATCTATGACGTTGGCCCGTGAGGCCACAATGGGGAGCGACGGATCTGATCCTGGGCGGCCTATGCCTCCGTCGGCCGCTGAAATCGCTGAAAGTTATTCTGCCACGGCATTGGCAAAGTCCCCAAGGAACCAGAGCCGCGCAGCCCTCACTGGGGGATTCGGTGCAATCCCTCTCGGGCTCAAGTCAGGTGCGCTAATTACGACCTGGATGGGGGAGAAGGAGCACTGGCCGCAGAATGTGCTGACGGCATCGTGGGCGCACATGTTCTTGACCCGGTTCCATGATGTGACGAGCTTGCTCTGGCAAAAAATACAAGAATTCCCGGTCTGCGGAGCGGTCCCAGACCAGAGCAGGAAACACCTCTTTGACGCTGCACCTCAGCCTCGCTTCAATCACTTCTCCACCATTCAAAACCAGCCTCGCCTCGACTGCCTTCGTCCGTGGATTATTTCGCTGCCAAGCTCTCCTGCCTGACCCGATGTTGAGGTGTGCTGCTGATGCCTCCCGTCCACACAGATTGAATCATTGCTGGCATCCCCGTCTCGTGTTTGGTTTTTTGGGGACGCCAGCGCACTGGGGAGGTGAGCCGTTGCATGGCATGGTCGCGTGGGGCAAGGGCAGTTCTGTGGGGAAACGAGGGGGAGGAGAGGAGCTTCACTCACACAATTTGAGGTGGTTTGAGTGGAGTGGAGGGACATGGGGTTCTTTCTGTGGTTGGCAACAATTTACCGAGTCGCCACTTGCGACTCAGGGATTGCATTTCAACTAACGGCAGCATTTATTGTGCGATGCAATTTCGTAAAATCATGTGGAAGGCAACTGTCGCTGGCTGGCTGAGGTGGCAAATAAACAATGGCTGAATGGGCTCGCAAGCATTGTGTTACAATTTCGCAAAGTGGAACAATAATCGATTGTAACATCCATTTCTTGATGCGAATCCCTTATGTTCTTCACTTTTGCAGGTTCCTTACTCAAATCAATTTGCTCTCACATACCTGACAACATAACACCAATCAAACACATACAGTACCAAATACAATAAATGTAATAGGGTACATGAACCGAAGGTTATTATGCTTGTGATAGCAGGAAGAGAATCGCTAGCCTGACAGCCCTCAATGTCTAGTTTGTTGAACTACGGCACCACGACTTCACCATAGTCCCGACGCAAATGCGGAGCTCGCTGCTGACCTTGGGGATCTGAGGTCGCCGCCTCGTGCTATTGATCCGTTCCGCCCTGCTGCCTCGATCCCCATCTTGCTGCTCAGAAACACTAGATCGGCCCACTGAGAACCACGCGCTGCGGGCCTTGCTGCGAGGGGTGGGAGCTTCAGCGGCATCTTGAGCGGTCGTAGCGGCTGGGAACGGTTCGTTCCGGCTGAAACGGAGGGAGGCGTTGGCGGAGTGGGAAGCAGGTCGTTCCGATTCGTAGTGCGCCGAGTCCGCCCGCGCGCTCAGCTCCACGGCCGCCTGCTGCGCCTCGACGACCGCCAAAGCTGCCTCCTTGATCCGCGACCGCGCATCGTCAACCCAAACGGGATCGCATGCCAGATCAGCTACCCTCCGCGAACAGCTCGCGCAGAGGTCGTCGCCAAATATCGACCGCGACGTCGCTAGCCCCGTGGAACCTGGGGATTCAAAGAGCTCCTCCTCAAGGTACGAATCGTCCGAATCGTTTTCAAATCTCGCGGTGTAGCAATCTTCCGCATCGCTGCCTTCGAGACAGGTCGACGAAAATGAGGTGCGAAGCTGACCGAAGACTCCCGTGCTCCATGGGTCTTGGCTTCCTCTTGACTGGCTGAGCGTCTCTGTCAAGTTCTCCGAGCTACAGTTGCTGCATCCTTTGAAATCGCTGGAAACCCGAGGTGACCTTGATGGTAGGTGGCTTTCGAATATCGTCTGCTGCTGTCGAGCGTAATCGAAGTAACACATGTTCCGTGGATGGGAACTGAAACGCGAGAACGGTAAGGGAGGATACTAAAAACCGTTCGTCAGGCGAGTCTACTCAATGCAAGGAAAAGAGTCTGAGCAAGCGGACACCCAGACGTCTCTGAGAGGGAGCTATGGGATGGGATGAATGTAGGCGGGAAGGGCAGGATCGAGAGAAGCAGAGGATAGCCCCGCCCGCGAATTTTGGGATGAACAACGAATAGGGGAGCTGAAACTGACTTTCCAAACGAGTACAAAACCAATGAACCAAGTCCGTCTGACAACCAAATTCGTCCGGCGTTATCAACACACCAAGCACAGCTTGGGATGAGGAGGACGTGGCGGCCTTATTGGCTCACGTTCCAGCTGAGTAGGCGAAAGCTCAGCTCTATCGGACTGCTGATTGGATTCCGATGTGCTGACGCGACACTTCACGTGCGACCCCCCAAAAAGGGATCGGCGACGGAATGAACAGCTGGAAAGCGACGCAAAAAGGCAGGATTGAGCAGGATGCATGCGATGCGATGTGGTCCCACGTTTGAAGGGCAGACACTCGGAATTTCACACAGATTCCGAGGATAGTTTCCAGACAAATCCATGACATTTTATTGAGGCATCCAGACTTCAAATCCGGATTCATCCGAATTTGAAAATGCTGATCCGTGAGGGCTGGATAAAAGCGAGAAAAACGAGACCAATCCCATCCCAGACACCAGCTGGGTAGGCGGCGCCGCACACTGGTCCCTTGGTTGGAAACATTGTCAGAATTTTTTTGGTTTCAAAATGCTGACGCATGCACTTCACGTGGGGCTGCCTCACCGATGGGAGAACTGACACTTCAACTTGTCGGAAAACAACAGATGACTTGAAGAGGAGAGCCAGATCAGCAAAACATTTGACCGTCACTGACCCCAAAAACCGCGCACAGTACACTGACTGGTCGAGAACGATCCAAACCGTATTTCAGACTCGCTGTTTTGAGTTGGGTTTGGGGGAGATCGCTGATAACGAGGATGATCCCAGCGCAACTGAGTGAATAACTGTAAGGAATTTTCCATTCCTTACCAAGCGGTACTGCTATCGCGTACGCTCGAACACACCCGAAGCCTCGGGACTGTTCCAGACCTTTCTGACAGAATCGCCTCGGCTTCTCCAGACCTTTCGGTTCGACCTTCGGGAGTTCTCCAGGCCTCGCTTCGTCATTTCGAGACCCTTCGATCTCCTTTCCGAACCTCACCATCGCAGGGTTAGACTAGCTCTGGTGTTCCTATATCTTGGCTTGCCATTCCTTGTATCGTCATTCATTGAGTGAACACTTCGTTATTCATTTCCGCGCTACTCTGCTTATTCATTCATAACAATAACGAACTGCACACATTACCGTATGACACTGCTAACGAAAGTCTTAATATTCCTTTCCATCCCACTTGTACCTTCTTATAGATATCCTTTTGTGACCAAATCATGTAGTTCCCTCTGATACTGGACTCAAATGTGTAACAAAATCTTCTATCAATGATTCCAGCGCAGTTTGTGTGATGCACGCGCAGACATCAGAATTCATGTGAGGATCCTCTGCACGGCAGTAAAGCAAATTCCATCCTCTAGTGAAAAGTGAACATCTTGTGAAGGTTAGCTAGCATAACTATGCCTCTGGTACAGCGTTTTGCACCTTTTCCAAATGTTCTGGTATTGTTCAACGCTCTACAACGTGTGGAGGCATCGTTAGCATGGAGGAGTGAATCCAGGTTTTCAGGGCTAATGTAGTGAGTACGCAGAATAACGAGGGCCATGGGAAGTTCCAGGAGCTTGATAGAGCCCTGATAGAGTGGAGGAGAGCTCAAGGAACAGAGGGGTTTGTACTTGCGACCCTGCTAAATACGGCTGAGTGGGTCTGCCCCATGGATGCAGCAATGAGTGCCCCGCAGCATTGGGCAGGCTGCGGGCAGCAGCAATTTCTGAAGGGCTTGACTCACACGGAGGGCGGCACAAGCACGGAGTTCGTGCCATGAATGTACATATCCTCGCCCTCGTACATGTCCGGGACTATGACTCTAACGGGGATGTCGCCCTTGCCCCTGAACGCGAGCTTGGACGAGTTGACCTTGGACACCTTGGTGAGGAAGGAGCCTTCCATGGTGGGCAGCCGCGTGTTCACGGGCAGCGCTTTCAGCTGCCACGCCTTGTACGCGCCCCTGATCGCTTGGTACGCGAACATCCGCGCCACCTGCGGGGGAGAGACGCGTGGTGAGGACAGTTTTAGGGCAACGTCGCGACAATAAATAGTCACTTGCGCGTTGGTAGAGCACAAAATTCTGCCGGGACTTGTCTGTAAACTGGTTACCCCTTGGCTGTCAAAAGCCGGTTGCCTCTTGGCTGTCAAAAGTCGGTTACCTCTTGGCTGTCGAAGGTGGCGATGGACATGGCGAAAGCCGCGGCGTTGATTGGGAAGAGAAGCGTCACGTTCTTGAATACCGTCAACCTGCGCGTGCCTGCGATTGACGCGCGGGGGAGGGTCATACGAAGGGAAGGACGGGGGGAAATGAAAACACTGAAGTCATGAACCATGTATTCCGACATGCGACGGTGGAACCAACATCTGAAAGGGTTTGCCGCCATTCTCTTCTCTAGCATACCATTATTCGAGTTGTCGACTGGCGGTGCGTCCGGGGGCGAGTCATTGCCCTTCGTCTTCGGCTTGGCCCCGCCTGTCGAATTACTCCCTTTCCCCCCGGGGGATCGCACATCCCCGCTACTTTTCCCGCCTCCGCCTCCTTTCCCCGTTCCTCCGCTGCCTAACTTCCCCGTTCCCGTGCCTCCCTTCCCCTTCCCAGGCGCCGCAACTGGCGGTGAGCCCTTTCTCGTTCCCATGCCTCCCCCAGTCCCCCCTCCACCGCCCGCGCTACTCCCTGGTTTTCGCGGCGAACCGGCGCTATTTTTGGGCTTCGGCGGAGATTTCGCGCTACTCTTGGGCCTCGGGGAATACGTAGCGTTAGCGGGCGCTCTGGGTGGTTTGCCTACTAAGTCTACTCGCGGTTTCATTGCAGCAGAGGCGCACATGACAATCAGAGATAGAACTACTAGGAGAAGGAAATGCTGCCGAGACATGACTGCGATGCGCGCTCAATTCTGGGAACTGCATGCAAAGCGTGGTTTGCTTTCTAAATTGCTAGTCTTGGCTCACGACATGAAGGCTCGGGTCGGCAGGTGCTAGCTATTTCGTGCGACAATAAGGAGAAAGCTGTGGTGAGCGACCATCAAATTCGGTGCGCGAAGGAAGCGGATTAGCACCAGTTAGAAAGAAATGGTCGGCTCTAGCAGTGAGCAGCTTGATGCATTGAGACTTGCGGGCGGGCATCGGGGGGATGCGCTTGTTCGCCAATTCGCTCGCGAGCGTTTCGACGATATGCCGTTTTCGTAGCCAATATGCGACGTCCAAACACGGCAACGGAACTTCGCATTTCGTTGTGACGACAACACTTGGTAGGCATTGGCTTTTCGGCTGCGGTTCGGTTTTGCATGCGCGCACTGGCAACGCGATACGAACGTTTGTGTGGCTTCTGCCCTAGGAAGAAGCCCCAATGCGCGGCCGCAATCAACGGGCAAAATAAATATGCCCCTCAGCTCTTTGATGCAGGGTGTTGAATACAGTTTTTAATGATAACTAATAATTCTCTATATTTCAAAATGTAAGGCATATCAATGTGTTGAGTATGCATGGAAAGCCTAGTTTGATGGCACCTACTAGCATGTCACGCCTAGAAAGACTTGCAGGTACTAGTATTACAGCTTGCCCTCAAATAGTACTGTTATATGCAGCTATGGAAGAGTTATGTCACAAGGTTTCATCATACACCTCCAGAATAGAGTGCTCAGCAAGCTTCAACAAAGCTAAAGATACTACAGTGCATGCTCGTGAGAATGCTAAATGCTTGACTTATACAACGCTTCATGGATCGGGCTCTGATAGCGAAGATCTTCGTGCTGGGAAGGGCTGATGTGGTGTAGGCTGAAATAACAGGCAGAAGGGAGAAGGCAACCGGGGAAAGGGCGTCAGAGAAGTGGGTGACAAATTACGGAGACAGGGACTAGCATGTAGGCCAAAAAGGTGGAAAAGCTGCCGAGGCACGTGTGCTCATATGAGTGGAGATGGACTGTGTCAAGGAACAGAGAGATACTGAGAAGGTGAAAGAATGATTGGCATACGAAATCAACATCTGCAGTATGTGAAGGCAACTCACCTCTAGCTTTGGCTGTAGGCTCCCCTCATTGGTTGCTGGAGGCTTAGCTTCGCCTTTTTGCTGCAGTTCGCACGCAATATGAATGCAATTCGCCACGCATCACAAAATTCGTCAGCAGTGCACAGGACAAGATGTGCAACGTTTACCAGCATTATGCAGACAAAGAGCAAAACGAATTCTTTATGGCGTTGCTGGAAGGTGGCGCAGTGCGTGAAAGACCTGGTGCTGAAACGTCAGTGAACGTCTGCTCCAGGGAGGTTCAGAAAGGATTGGCGATGGAAGCGAGAAGCTTACCTTTTGAATTGCCCACTCGGCTGAGTCAAAAAAAGCTCTCTCGTGACCCTGGAAGGAACAAAGCGTTGGAATACGAAGTAACGAAACGAAGGGCCACGACAAACATTTGAGTTAAAGCCCGCAGTCCGGATTGTCCAAGAAGGGGGGTTTGTTAAACACTTGAAGCCGTGTAGTGAACTTTTTACAAGGGGCGCGGAGGTTGGCGAACTTTTTGGGGATTCGCTATCCAACCCCCCGTTCAACTGCTTAACTTTTGGACAATCCGGACCTCGGGTTTTAAACACGCCAGGAGAAAACAAGGGAACGGATGTTAGCGACAAAAGGCGGAGCAGAAACAGGGGAATCGTAGCTACCTTGGAAAGGAGCCCCTTCTTCTTGGGTAGTGCTCCGCCATACTTCTTCTTCAGTCGCGCTTCCTATGCATTATAAAGCGAACGGGCCATGCGAGGGTGTAGAAGGATAGAGCTTGTAAAAGAGAGAACAAGGGGAGGATCATTTACGCGATGTCAAAGACGCTGACTTGTGCAAAAGACCCAAGAGGCATACAAAGAACGCTCAAACCGCACCCTGACGTGAAATTGAAAACGGAATCATGTACCTGCTCTGCCATAGACAATCCTTCGTCTGCCATGGCAAGAATATCGATAGGGTCTGTAGGTGCGAGTCTACGTATCAAACCCTAAAGTGGGAGGCGTCAAGCGTGCTTAGCCCAGAGGAGAAAACCGCAACAGAGGTGGAAACTGTCAAACAGCGGGAAAACACCCCTAGGAGGAATATCAGCTCTGACGATAACTGACACCAGCCGACGTCAGGTCAGGAGTATGGATCCTGTAATTTAGCTAGCATTCAACACACACCAGACAAAGGTGTTCTATTTGTTATGTTCTATGAACCGTCAGGCACGACAATGGCTGAGGGGGAAAACAGCTGGTGAGGGGAAAGAGGGGAAAGGATGGAAGGGGTCAGAGGAGATGGTGCGAGCGCGGGGGGGGGGGAAGCAGAGGGATTGCTGACGTGGTTATTATCACTGTCGGCGAAGCAGGCTTGCCTACTGGTCACTTGCTCCAGCCTGCCTGCTGGCGAATATGAAAAGGAAAATTTCGCCACACTGGCCGGGCTATGATTGGCAGCGAGTAGATTTGGGTTTCGTCAGGCCGTCTCCACGCGCTAAAAGGCTGTACACTTGACGTCCAGTAAACCGCCCATTAGTATAATGCTACGTTGTTTATTTACGCGCCTCTTAGTCCGAACTTTACGGGAAACGGCCAAAACAAACAGGCCCAAAGTTCTATAGCAGTTACCGAATCTGATACGGAGACCTCCAAACGTGCAGACGGGACGTTCTAAACCATTACACTGTTGCCAGAGGAACGCAAAACAAACAACACTGGTCAACTACTTTAGACTGGAAAATGCCAATGAGGTAACCAGACTACCCTTTATTGGACCAATTCACCCGTAGAAGTTCTGTGCTCGACTTTGGAGCACCCGCCTGAAAATAAACTGGGCCCGAAAAATGACTTCTTGTGTAGTCAGTTTCGCTGCACGCCCACTGCGCTGCGAGGAACCCTTGGGGCATGTGCTGTGTTCTGGAGCCTTCATTTGCGACAAATGGTTGGTGGGCCACAGGGAGCAGCTTTGGGTTGAAAACACGACGTACACGACGTTATGACACCTTACAAGGTGTTTTTCTTACGGACTCTAGTACTAAGGAGTTGGGAAGGTGAAGTTGCGGGGCGGCCAAATGCAAATGCTTGTGAATAACAAAATGGAAGTTCACGGCAAATGCATCAAGGAGAAACAGCATACTCAGCCTGCACTCCTAATCGTCAAACTGAATGGCAAATGTGCGAATCTCCATTGGTCCAAGTTCCACGATGAAAGGGCCCTCCGTCGAGTTTAGTGCCTGCATTCTTCTGACCTCCTTGTTAGCCGCGTTCACATCTTCATGCACCTCACTCTTTGAAGCCAACTGCTCAGTCCTCCATTTCATTGGTGGCCGCATTTTCAAGAGCTTCTGATTTGCCATCAGGCTCAGCTCAGTCACCTTCTCAATCTGTCAAGAGATGGCAGCGGTTAATTATAAAAACAACAGCGAATTGCAAGCAGGCAACTTATTCACATAAAAGAAGATAGCATGTCTCACCTCTTGGTGCGCAAAGAGCCTGTCAAGATTCACGAGAGCAGGCTGTGAGAGAAGAGGGTCTTCCTCAGCCTGTGGAGAGGGAGGGAGGTCAATATGAGATAGAGCCAAGCAGGAAGAGGAAGGGTATTGTGTTGGGAAGAGGTGTGAAAAAAAGGGTGATGGTGATGGATAAGGGTTAGCAGACATAAGTGGGGTAGCAGCAAGAAGACAATAGGCGCTGAATGAGGGGTTGAAAAGAGTGCGATGCACGATACGGAGTACGGTTGGGGGATGCAAGTTGCTTACCTCATAGAGATGTGCGAGGCGCAGCAGCACCTTATACTCATGCAGCTCCTGCAGCCGAGGGGAATCGAGAGAGAGAGAGAGAGAGAGAGAGAGAGAGAGAGAGAGAGAGAGAGAGAGAGAGAGAGAGAGAGAGAGAGAGTGGGGGGCCTGAAGCGGGCATGTCCCTCGGGGACTGCTTCGCTGTGATAGAACCCTAGAGAGGGGGGGGGGGGGTAGGGACGGGTACCAGACCTTCCCACCAGCAGTATTTGCCTAAGCCTGCTCCACCTGCCTAGCATGTACCCAGGATTCCCCAGCAACAAAGGACCATGAGAGAGAGAGAGAGAGAGAGAGAGAGAGAGAGAGAGAGAGAGAGAGAGAGAGAGAGAGAGAGAGAGAGAGAGAGAGAGAGAGAGAGAGAGAGAGAGAGAGAGAGAGAGAGAGAGAGAGAGAGAGAGAGAGAGAGAGAGAGAGAGAGAGAGAGAGAGAGAGAGAGCATGAGTCCCTCCCTAGCTATTTAAGCTCTCTCCCTAGCTCATTCTTCCACTTTAGTTTCCAGTTCTTTCTTTTCTCCAACCCTTGGTGGCGGGAGAGAGGAGAGAGAGAGCGAGAGAGAGAGAGAGAGAGCATGAGTCCCTCCCTAGCTATTTAAGCTCTCTCCCTAGCTCATTCTTCCAGTTTAGTTTCCAGTTCTTTCTTTTCTCCAACCCTTGGTGGCGAGAGAGGAGAGAGAGAGCGAGAGAGAGAGAGAGAGCATGAGTCCCTCTCCAGCTATATAAGCTCTCTCCCTCCCTCGTTCTTCCTCGTTTTTTAGTTTCCAGTTCTTTCTTTTCTCCAATCCTTGGTGGCGAGAGAGGAGAGAGAGAGCGAGAGAGAGAGAGAGAGCATGAGTCCCTCTCCAGCTATATAAGCTCTCTCCCTCCCTCATTCTTCCTGTTTAGTTTCCAGTTCTTTCTTTTCTCCAACCCTTGGTGGCGGCTCGCGTCGGCGGCCTTCGGCCGCGCGTGAGGGGCGGCAAGGACACAAGGCTACAAAGTCAACTACGACAACATCAAATACACGCATCCGGTGTCTACAACCCGCCAACACTACACTCGGCAAACAAGCATGGAGAGCCTGACAGAGCTTACCAGAGCGCTCACGCTAGAGCGCACTTCACCAACCAGAACCTACACACGACGGCAGCCCATCATGCGGCTTCGTCCGCTCCAGCCTCCTCAAGCAGGGCCCTCACATAGTCCCCCAGGAGCATCAGCGCTGACACGGCACCGCCAACGATGTCTACAGCTGCAGCCGAGTCTACGCTCGCCGATACTGTCCGCATCACGGCGAGCAGGCGCGGGTCCAACACGGTTCCCGAGGCGGGCACAGGCTGCACTCGCGTGGACACGACAGCCAGATCAGCTGCAGCCATCGCGCAGCGGTGGAGCGGATCGTGAGGCATCTTGCACGGGCTCACTGAGCTCCGTAGAACGGAGTGTGAGTCCGTCAGCATCTCCACAGCATACCCCATCGCCCTCTGCGCGTGCCAGAGCCGACGAAGCGTGGCGATTGGGATCGCAGTCTCCGCCAGCCGCGCCCTCCCCCGCAGGCGCTCCAGCTGCGCCCTCTGCGGCATCCGCAGCCCACCCGAGCGACGACGCCCCTGGTCCCCAGGAGGCGAGCCCTCGCCCGTGGACTCCGCTCCCCCCATCTCCGCTGCTTCTGCCCCCCCCTCAGAACGGCGGGGGGGACAAAGGGCGCTGTCGCCCGCTCGCCGAACGATGCCGGTGCCACCAGCGGCGGTGGGCCACGGACCATCCTGCCACCGACACATCCGGGGGCGTCGGCTGCCAGGGCGGCAGTATCTCCGCGGACCGCACGTCCATCCGACGCGGATCGAAGGGACCGGCCGCGGGGAGGACTGGCGGAGGGGGTGCGGAGGGAAGGGACGCCAAGAGGTGCTGGCTGTCAAGGAGCGGGAGAGATGTCACACTGCGGGGAGGGAATGGCGGCGTCGGTGCCTGAGGAAGGGGCAAACGCACGGGCGGCAAGTGCGCCTGCTGGTACTGCTGGGGCGCCAGAAGCTGCGGAGAATACGCCAGAGCCTGCTGGGGTTGGGCGACACTGCGGAACAAGCCCTCGAGAGTCGCCGCGGCCCGCCCTAGGCGCCTCTCCGCCGCGGACCCACGGTTACTCCCCCCGCCAGCCCTCCAGCCGACGCGCTGGCCCGAACGCCCGCGCGGCGCCTGCGGAGTCCGGCGCTGCTGCCCAGGCCCCGCCTGTGGGCGGCGCTGAGGCGTTCCTCGGCGGGCGGGATGCTGCTGGCGCGGTGACTGCTGCTCCTCGCCACGCGCCACTGGTTCACGTCCAATCTCCACGGCGCGCTCGGGGGATTTCTCCTCGTGTCTCGGGGGCGCGGCAGTCCTGCCCCGCGACTGCCCCCGCATCCGCTCGGGAGTCTGTCGGCGAGCCGTCGAGGGGCCGAGGAGCCCGCGCTCCCAATCCCGGCTCGACGGCGCTGGAGGACTCGCCCGACCTTGGGGCGACTTGCTGTCCCCAGTACTCTCCAAATCGGCAGAACGCTCCCGCGCTGGTCGCTCCATCCCGAGGAGGCGCGCCGCACTCGGCACCCCCCACGACTCGGCACGAAAGCCGAACGACGACCAGGGCCGCCCCGAGAGGAAACCACGGAGGCGGACGCGGAAGACTCAACGCACGGACGGCCGGAGGGCGCGGTCGCGGGGCGGCAAGGCGTGGCAATCTGTCCTCCGATGGAGGACCACTGAACGGATTCCAGCAGGCAGCGAACAGGGCTTTAAATGCCTCGGAACTGCAACGAACAACTGATGAGGAGGAACGGGCGGACGGAACTTATATACCAGGGGACCAGGGAGACCCCACAACTGCAACCTCCAGCGAGGAGGAAAACGTCGAAACAAACAGGCGCGCTGGAGGACGAGAGACTGACCCATCTCCCAGATCTAGGGGACGAGGGTCCAGCCGCTTGCACAATACTCGGGCACCGCTGGACACCCACCCCCAGGCAGCCCAGCAGTTGTCCCCGGAAGAACTGGCGAATGACCCCTCCAGATTCGCCGTCATCGCCACTTGGGACGTCGCAGTTCTCTGCGACAGTCGCCAACCCCCTCTCTCCCGCCGGTTACCCCCCCAAATCCGTCAACTTTTCGCGCTCGCCCTTCTGACACCTCTCCTTTTCCTCGCCAAACATCCAACCTCCATCGAGGGTTGGATCTTGTTACTTTACCTCCCGCGCCTCACACTTCGCCTACCCTCGCCACGACGCCCTGACTGGCCCGCGACGGAACGACGACTTCGACAATTTCTCGCGGGCCAGTGGGACACACTGTATCAAGCAGCTGCCTCTGCTGTCACCCTGCCACCCCCTCCCCGCCACGTACCTGACACTCTCGGGAAAATATCCCGCGCCGAGGGCTTGGTTCGACGAGGCAGTTTGCGACGGGCACTGCTCGCGTTGACTTCGACTCCAGTCAGCAAGTCCACCCCCACGGTCCTGGACGTGCTGAAGTCAAAACACCCCCCTCCGCTTGTCGAAAACCTCACCTGGCCACGGCTCGACGAAAACTGCAGGCCACCGACAGTCGATTTCGCTACGTTCGCGAAGCTGCTCTCTCGCTCCGAAAATGGAGTTGGGGCAGGCCCCTCGGGGATGACTTTCGAGCACCTTCGCGATGCCTCGCTGTCCAACCCCACCGTCGCCACACATCTTCACCAGCTCGTCCAACGGTTACTCGCGGGTAACCTGCCGCACAAGGTCAGCCAGCTCGTTACCTCCTCACGCCTCCTGGCCCTTACCAAGCCAGATGGGGGTACCCGCCCCATCGCAATAGGAGAATGTCTCCACCGGCTAGCAGCAAAATCCGCGCTCATCTCCGCCACGCAATCAGCGCAAGACTACTTCCTACCACACCAATACGGGGTGGCCATCAGAAGCGGCGGAGAAACCATCATCCATGCCACCAGGGGCTTTACCTCAGCGCGCCCGGGCTCACTCATCCTACAAGTCGACCTTTCAAACGCCTTCAATAGCGTTGACCGCGCGGCCATCATCCACGCAATCAACACCTCGCCCCTGCGCCCGCTCCTCCCCTTCATACAATTCTCCTACGGCGCACCGTCCCTGCTCTACCTCGACGCCGAGTTCGACAGCCCACCCCTACTCAGTGCGCGGGGAGTTCGCCAAGGGGACCCCATGGGCCCCCTCCTCTTCGCAGCCGCCATCCACCCAGCGCTCCGAACAACCGCCGCGGCCCACCCCGAGGTCCTCTGCCTCGCGTACACCGACGACATCACCTTCGTCGGCGATCCGGACGCCTGCACCTCGGCGTTCCTCAACTTCACAGCGGCCATGGACCGCATCGGTCTCTCCCACAACCCCGCGAAATGCGCGGCGTGGTCAGCCGAACGCCCTGCACCTGACCACCTTCCCCCAGGCATACCTTTCAACACTGAAGGCGTCCGCGTACTTGGCAGCTTTATAGGCACAGCCGAGGGCACAGCTGCATTCCTCCGCACCCAGCTGTCCCTGCTAGCCGAACCCCTCGCCACACTGGCCACAATGGACCCCCAGTCCTCATCCCTCCTCCTCACACGCTGCGTTTCTCGGCGTGTCTCATACTTAATCCGCACCACCCCCCTTGACTTCCTTCCCCTGGACGTCTGGTCCGACTGGGGTAGGGAGCTCTTCCATACCCTCCTGCGTGCCTGCAACCTCCAACCACCCCGAGGCGAGGTGGAGCGGGTGCGCACTTGGGCTCAAGCGTCCCTCCCTCCCTCTCTTGGAGGACTGGGTCTAACCGACCCCGCCATTGAGGGACACCCAGCCTACCTCACCAGCCTCACCCAAGCCCAGGGCCTCTTGGCTGCCCTACCAGCAGCGTCAGGAGGGCCCCTGGCCGACGCTGTCCGTCACCTCACGCCACCCTTCACCAGCCCCACCCACTTGCATACCTGGCTGGCGAAGTGTGAAACGGCGATGCCCCCACGAGCCCGGGAGCTCCTGCACTCCGAGAGGAGGGAACCCTCCGGCTCCCCACTCCAACACCGCTTATCCCTCGAAGTCCAGGCTGAGCGATACGCCGGCCAGGTGGCAGCCACGCGGACAATGGACCCAAACCCACTCTCCGGGCACACCCAACGCCTCTTTTCCCTGGCTGGATATGGAGCAGGGGACTGGCTTCATGCCATCCCCATCTTCCCATCCCTCCGCCTCGAAGCTCCACACTTCGCCATTGCCCTGGCCTTCCGCCTCGGCCTTCCATTCCCAGCCCCCCGCACTTGCAACTGCGCCGAGGAATTCGAAATCCTCGACACCAGGCTGCCCAACCACCTGCTCCGGTGTGGCACCGGGCACGGACGGACTGACACCCATAATGCCCTGCGGGACGAGAGCATACGGATGGCCCGAGATGCAGACTTTATAGTCACCAAGGAGACCACCATCTACAGCCCCGTAGACGGCCACAAGGCCGACCTCGCCCTCCGAGACCGCAGTTCCGGAGCTGTCTGGATCTGTGACGTCACCGTCACAGATCCCATCAGCAGCCGGGACCCGGACGCAAGAAAAGGACGCGGATACATGGCCCGGGAACAAGCTGACAAGAAAATCTCCCATTACCGAAATCGGGCTCCCTATGTCGGATTTTTCCCACTGGCAGTCGAGACATACGGCTTCCCCTGCGCCGAGGTCCCTACCTTCTTGAAGCTGCTGGCTGACACAGGGGCCAGGAGACTTTTCAATGCAGACCCCAGCTCCTACCAGGCAGCGAAACTGCTCCACCAGTTTCGCCAGCGCTGGTCAGTGACGCTGCAGCGGGCACAGGCCTTGGCTTACCTGGGGAAAGTTAATGAAGCCTCCCCGGCCCCCCACACCCCAGTGGGCACCCCAGACGCCGACATGGCACCTGGGGACTGCTTTGCCATAGCAGAGCCCCCAGGGGAGCTCGAGTAGATTCGAGCCCTTAAACATGCACGTACCTTGACTTGTTGCCCCTTGCCTGCCTAGCCTGTACCCAGTTTTCCAAGCAATAAACGGACCGCTTGAGAGAGAGAGAGAGAGAGAGAGAGAGAGAGAGAGAGAGAGAGAGAGAGAGAGAGAGAGAGAGAGAGAGAGAGAGAGAGAGAGAGAGAGAGACAGTGTGTGCCTGCCCGCGCGTGTGTGTGTGTGCACGCACGCGCGTGAAGGTGTGCGTGTGTGCGTATGTGTGTGCACGTGTGTGTGTGTGTGTGTGCGTGCGTGCTTGCATGTGTGTATGTGTGCATGTGTGTGTGTGTGGTGCAAGGGAGTAATAACGCACTTGACCAAAGGGCGATTTCAAGGAGAGGTACCTAAGCAAGAGGAGGCGCATGACAGAGCAACAGTGAGCACCCAGGCGTGGCAGTACCTGGAGTGTGATGATGGCCACACTCCTAGGAAGCTCGTATGCAGGGCGCTTGCTCGTCCTCTCCTCAAAAGAATCCGCCACCCCACCCTCCCGACCCCCCTCGGCTTCCTCGGCCTCCTCCTCCTCCTGCTGCTCCTCCTGCTCCGTCTCTTCCTTGTCTTCTTCAGCACCCCCCCCTTCCTCGTCCTCCATCTCCTCCTCTCTCCTCTCCTCCTCGCTGCTACTCTCCTCCTTCATCACGCGTCCCCCCTTCCCCGAAAGCTGCATGGACAGCACAGACTCCCTTGATTCCCTTGTCTCTCTCGACTCCATTGACTCCGTTGACCCCACTGGCTTGCTGTCTTGGGTGCCAGGGATGTGCCACGTGTACCGGCCCCCCTCAGCTGCCAAAGCTTCCTCATTCTGCACCAGTCAGCAACAGCAGGGAGCATTGTCAAGCAGATAGCAGATATTTGGGAGAGAAAGGGCTGTCATGTGAAAGTAAGGGTAGCGGAGCGAAGGGGGGCGGGAGAGAAAGCGAGGTGGGCGGGGGATGGGGTGGGGGAGAGCAAGTCTTCCCAAAACCGCATACCCCACTCGCCACGCCCCATACCCCACGGTACATGTCACCATCCCATGGAACCAAGCCATACGCCGCCACACTACGGCCCCATGCCCAGTCCCCCCATCCACCCACCTCAACAGCGAACGCCACTTGAAGCGGCGAGAATATTCGCTGAATATTCCCCCGCCGCCACTCCGCTGCTGCCTCAACTACCTCCTCCCCCCTTGCTTCCTCCACCTCTCCTGATCCCACACCCCCATCGCTGCGAGTGTGTGGGTGCAGCCCAAACCGCAGCGTCCCCGCCACAACAAGCCCCATGCACTGCGGCTGCTGCTCGCCCCGGCGCCCCACGCACACACGCTCATTGAGCGCCTCGGCAACGCCGCGGTGGTCGTCGTGCAGCAGGCGGCGGTGCAGCATCAGCTCCAGTTGCCCGTCATTGAGGCTCGACGCGCCTGTTGCCCGGTCCACCAGCACTGAGAGGTCAGTCGCCTTGTCGTGCAGATAGATGCCCGAGTTCACCTGCAGAGGGAAGCAGAGGAAAGAGGAGCATTGAGTAGAGGTGGGTCGTCGTGCAGCAGGCGGCGGTGCATCATCAGCTCCATCTGCCCATCGCTGAGGCTCGACGCGCCGGTTGCCCGGTCCACGAGAACTGAGAGATCAGTCAAGTTGTCGTGCAGGTAGATGCCCGAGCATCTCCCAAAGCTCGACGCTGAGGCTCGACGCCCCTGGTGCCCTGTGTACGAGCACAAAGAGGTCTGTGCTGTTGCTGTGCAGATAGATGCCCGCTTGACCTGCACTGCAGAAGGGAACAGGAGGGGGGCGGCAGAGGGTGGCGGTGGTGGCAGGCAGAAGAGGAGCATGAGGCACAAGGGGGTGAGCGTGCAGCAGGCGGCGGTGCAGCATCAGCTCCAGTCGGCCATCGCTGAGGCCTGTAGTGCATATGGCTTGGCCTACGAGTACTGACAGGTCAGTGGTGGTGCTGTGGCTCAGTTGAGCTAGGGCAAGCAAGGGGGGGAACAAACGGAATTGAGGAAGAGGAGCGTTGGGCACAAGGTGGTGGTCTTGCGGTGCAGCATGAGCTCCAATTGGCCGTCGCTCAGGCTGCACGGCCCTGTTGCTCGGTCCACTAGGACAGAGAAGTCCATGCTGTTGTCGTGCATATAGATGCCCGCATTGAGCTGCAGAGGTTTGACGGGCTGAGCTGCAGAGAGGGCGGGACAGGGGGGCGGCAGAGAAGCATAGTGTCCCGGGGATGCATTGTGTCCCAGTGAGGCATAGTGTCCCGGGGTGGCGTAGCAGTGCCGGGCGCGGTAGGGAGAAGTGGAGCAAGAGGCGCATGGTGGTGCTGACCATGCGGCATGGGAAGAGTGAGTAACTTGCATGAATAGCTACCTCTATGCTCTCTTGTTGATTCACTCACCGGGTAGTAGTTGCCAGCAGTGGGCTCGGTGACTGTGAGGTTCCAGTCCGCCCGGAAGTTGCGGGTCCTCTGGATGAAGTCCCGGCCGTTGGAATCGGTGAAGAAAGTGGCATTGCTGGCGAGGCTAGAGGAGAGGCGCACCACTACCTCCTTGCCGAATCCATCATCTACAGGCACGGGACCAACCTGTACAGGGTTGGGAAAGGAGGAGAAGGTTGAGGGTCATTGGATTCGGTGAAGAAGGTGGCATTGCTGGCGAGGCTAGAGGAGGGGCGCACCACCACCCCCTTGCCGAATCCATCGTCTACAGGCACAGGGAGCACATGTAAACGAATGGGAACAGGAGGAGAAGGTGGGGAGCCTTAGAGTCCGTGAAGGAGGTGCCACTGCTGTCGAGGTTAGAAGAGAGGCGCACCACCACCGCTTGGCCGAATCCATTTTCGATAGGCACGGGGCCCACCTGAGAATGGAGTGACAAGCAGGAGTAGGCAGGGGAGCAGCTTAGTCTAATGAGATCAGAAAAGAGGCGCACTGCCACCTCCTTGCCAAAACCGTCATGGATAGGCACAGGGCCCACCTGAGAAGGGTACAGACCATGTTGCCGTCATATGGTTGTGATTTCAGGGAGAAACAAGAACGGATAAGAATGATTGTGGGAATGTGGGTTGCACAGGCATTGCTTGGCGTTCTCTCACACTCGCATAGACAGGACCATTTCAAACAGGACGCACATCACGTGGACACATAACGATCTCATCCACTCACAGCAAGTACAGCATGGTTGGTGCCTCTTGTACAACCTACAATCGTACAATGTGACTGCATCATGAGTCCACTCTCAATGCACACTGCGAATGCAACACCCCCACACCGAATGGGTTGACACAGCACTCACCGCATACTCCATCTCAGCATAGTTGGTGCCCTTGTACACCCGCACGATCTGAGCCATCCAAATGGCACGGCGAGAGGAAGGGGAAGACAGGAGATTCGGGTGAGACGAGGCACACAGGAGGAGGAGGGAAGAACGGACTGGGAAGGAGGGCAGAGAGGAACCGACGACAGGAGTGCCAAGTCGCGTGAGGAGGGATATCGGAGAAATATGCTGCGGGGAGCGGCTCGCGCAGGTTGTGTTCAAGCCCATGAGGCAGAAAACGGGCAGCTGGGAGTTTCCCGCATTGACTCGCTGGAAAACGTGTGCCACTAGCCCCCCGTGCCACTAGCCCCCCGTGCCACTAGCCCCCCATGCCACTAGCCCCCCGTGCCACTAGCCCCCCGTGCCACTAGCCCCCCATACCACTAGCCCCCCGTGCCACTAGCCCCCCGTGCCACTAGCCCCCGTGCCACTAGCCCCCCGTGCCACTAGCCCCCCGTGCCACTAGCCCCCCGTGCCACTAGCCCCCCGTGCCACTAGCCCCCCGTGCCACTAGCCCCCCGTGCCATTAGCCCCCCGTGCCACTAGCCCCCCTTGCCACTAGCCCCCCGTGCCATTAGCCCCCCGTGCCATTAGCCCCCCGTGCCATTAGCCCCCCTTGCCACTAGCCCCCCGTGCCACTAGCCCCCCGTGCCACTAGCCCCCCTTGCCACTAGCCCCCCATGCCACTAGCCCCCCGTGCCACTAGGCCCCCCTGCCACTAGCCCCCTGTGCCATTAGCCCCCCGTGCCATTAGCCCCCCGTGTCACTAGCCCCCCGTGTCACTAGGCCCCCGTGCCACTAGCCCCCCGTGCCACTAGCCCCCCGTGCCATTAGCCCCCCGTGCCACTAGCCCCGCGTGCCACTAGCCCCCCGTGCCACTAGCCCCGCGTGCCACTAGCCCCCCGTGCCATTAGCCCCCCGTGCCACTAGCCCCCCGTGCCATTAGCCCCCCGTGCCATTAGCCCCCCGTGCCATTAGCCCCCCGTGTCACTAGGCCCCTTGCCACTAGCCCCCCGTGCCACTAGCCCCCCTTGCCACTAGCCCCCCGTGCCACTAGCCCCCCCTGCCACTAGCCCCCCATGCCACTAGCCCACTGTGCCACTTACCTCCTTAATCCAGGGCGCCACCTGTCGGTGCACCTCATCCACGAGAGGGCCTCGCACCACTTGCAGGGATGACTGGGGGCGAGCAGAGGGGAGAACCATTCGAGAGAGAGAGGTGGGAGACGAGATTTGTGCTGGCGCTGCTGGGGGAAGAGAGCTGGGGGAGGGAATCGGGCGCGCAAGGGGCTCAGGCATATAGAGTATTTTCAAGAACCCTGAGGGGGGAAATGGAGTAGGAGTGCAGGAGCCGAGGGGCGTACCGCAGTGGAGTTGGGGGGGTTGATGGGCACGGGATCAGGGGAGGTGGGGCGGAAGATGTAGGCTCCGGATGCCTCCCTGCTCGCCTTGCCGTCACTCGCATTGTACCACGCCCACTCTATGCTCACATCCGCTGCTGCTGCTGCTGCTGCTGCTGCTGCTGCTTTTGCTGATGGAACCTCTCCTCTCGCACCCATTCCTCCCTCCGCCTCTCCCTGTCCCTGCTCTCTCTTCAGCAGCACTGCGCGAGTCATCCTTCCGCCCTGCGCCCTGGAGAAAGAGAGCGTCAGAGCGCTGCTGCCACTGCTGCTGCCCTCGCGTCCCTCCACCTCCGCCCACCCTCCTATCACTATCTCATCCTCCTCCTCCTCCCCTCCATGCATCCCATTGTCTTGACCAACCGCCTCAGGCTCATCACCCAGCACTCTCCTGTCCACGCCACCCTCCTGCTCCGCCCCCTCCTTTACTCTCTCCTCTGTCCTGCCCTCGGGGTATTTATACAACACGAAGAACGAGGCAACACCCAGGGGAGGCGCATCCGCCCAGAACACCAGTGACAGCGCCTCCGAGCCTGCACCACCAGGCTCGGCACCAGCTGCAGCATCAGGTTCGGCGTCAGGTCCGTCGTAGGCTTGGATGAGGAAGGAGCGGGTGGTGGGGAGGAGGAGCGTGTCTGGAAGGACTTGCGAGGGGATGATTGCCCCGCTGGCATTCATGACTTCCACGTCAGCAGTTGACACCTGGATGGGAGGAGGGGTGGGGTGGGGAGGGGAGAAAGAGGGGATAAGGCAAGAGACGAGGAGGGCGAGGAGAGGAGGGGAGGGGGAGATGAAAAGGAAACAGAAGAGAGGGTGAAGGGAAATAAATTCTCCTGAGAACCCAAAATTCAGGGAGGGGGGGGGGGAGTGCAAGATGCAATAGAGTTGGTGAGAAATTGCAGGAATGTGAGGAAAAGGGATGCCGTTGTGAGAGCCAAGGTATGGGGAGGGCCTGCGGGAGGGATATCGTGGCTTACAGGGAATCGGACAATCTCCTTGCGAGCCCACGCCAGAGGATTGTACACTGCCACCACCTGCAGCACGTCGTGCAGACACACCCGGAATAATAAGATGCAGTGAAGGCACCAGAATGTGAAAGCACGAGAATGCCACTACACAGGCACACCAAAAATGCACCAGAATGCAACGAATCAGGGCGTTGCACCTGGGGGAAGCATCATTGCACCGATCTATACATCACCAGAACCCACCAGAACTTTCCCGTCTTGGAGATCCGTTTGGGAGGGCGGGCAGAACGAAATGTTTGACAGCGGGCACTGGGCAGAAGAGAGGGTGGACCACAGTACAAGTGCGCAGAGGGGAGAAACAAACACTGCAATGTCAGGATGAAGTCAAGAGTTCAATGAACAGCAACTACCTAACAACGAGCAGAAAGGCAAAAAGAAGTGTTGTGCAAGTCATGTGCGAACCGGGTCTGCACTCACCATCTCAAAGCTCAGCTTCAGACTGCGGCTGCTCCTGGCAGCTTGACCCCCCCCTACCGCTCCTGCCGCTCCTGCTGCTCCTGCTGCTGCTGCTGCACCCCGTTTCCCAAGAGCTCGCATGAGAGGTGAGGTGGTGGCGGGGGAGGGGGAGGATAGCGGCTGGGAGCTTGGCATCTGCCGCAGGGGAGACTGGGACTGCCACGTGTCAGCCTCTGATTGGCGGTAAATCATGCAGCGAATGGCCTCTGTGAGTAGAGAGGAGGCCTGAGAAGACACAAGCGGGCCGGGTTTGGGGAGGGGCAGGGGGTGGGGGACGCAGGGGATGTGCGGGACATGGGGGATCTTGGGACATGGGGAAACGAGGGCATGGGGGATATGAGACGCACTAGCGACACATGCCTCAGAGAGAAGTTTAAGGGTCCTGTCATGGCCCTCCGTGACGTTCACAAGGGGCTCCGATGACAAGAAATTCACTCATCACTGGCAGTGGCACATCACCACAGCCCACCAATGCACGACTTTAAATGCAAGAGATCTTTAGTGGCATGAACAGTGGCTCTGATACTTGCCGCGCATGTGGCACATGCAATGCATCTGATCGTGTGACACGTGGTGAGCCTCAGAGAGAAGATTAGGCGTTCTGTCACGGCCCCCAGTGATGTTCAAAAGGGGCTCCGATGACAAGAAATTCACTCATCACTGGCAGCGGCACAAGCCCTCTCTGCGACAAAACTCATCTGCCACTTCCCATACAAGAACGTTGTATCTCTAACACATGCTATGCGAATGCCAGGTAACATGCATGCACACGGGACAGGTAGGCGGCGGGCCTCAGAGAGAAGATTAGATGCTCTGTCACGGCCCCCAGTGAGCATGAGTCCACAGGGGGTTCCGATGACAAGAAATTCACTCATCACTGGCGGCAGCGCTAGCAGACCTGATCGACGCACGCCCCTCTATCAAGACCCCTCTGACTTTCTCAAACTGGCCCTTCCACCTCAGCCCAGCAGACCCCCACACGGCCCAGCTGATTCGCCCAGCAATCACAACCAAACCAGAGAAACACGAGCATGGTTGGACACGGGCGGGTAGAGGCACGCGATGCCTCAGAGAGAAGATTAGGTGTTCCGTCCTGGCCCCTCATGATCATCACAAGGGGCTCCGATGACAAGAAATACACTCATCACTGGCAGCAGCACTGGCCTTTCGACTAGAGCCCGACTGACTCAACACTGCCCTTCCTCAAGAGCCCGACAGAACCACACAACCAACGAGGTTGGAGGCGGGCGTGCGTGCGGCATAGGATGCCTCAGAGAGAAGATTAGGAGTTGTGTCACGGCCCCTCGTGCGCATGAGCGTCACAGGGGACTCCGATGACAAGAAATTCACTCATCCCTGGCAAAAGCACAAGCGCCCTGTATAGTTTTGAGGCGCCTCAAAACTCATCCCTGGCAAAAGCACAAGCGCCCTGTATAGTTTTGAGGCGCCTCAAAACTCATCCCTGGCAAAAGCACAAGCGCCCTGTATAGTATTGCAGCGCCTCAAAACTCATCCCTGGCAAAAGCACAAGCGCCCTGTATAGTTTTGAGGCGCCTCAAAACTCATCCCTGGCAAAAGCACAAGCGCCCTGTATAGTTTTGAGGCGCCTCAAAACTCATCCCTGGCAAAAGCACAAGCGCCCTGTATATTTTTGAGGCGCCTCAAAACTCATCCCTGGCAAAAGCACAAGCGCCCTGTATAGTATTGCGGCGCCTCAAAACTCATCCCTGGCAAAAGCACAAGCGCCCTGTATAGTTTTGAGGCGCCTCAAAACTCATCCCTGGCAAAAGCACAAGCGCCCTGTATAGTTTTGAGGCGCCTCAAAACTCATCCCTGGCAAAAGCACAAGCGCCCTGTATAGTATTGCGGCGCCTCAAAACTCATCCCTGGCAAAAGCACAAGCGCCCTGTATAGTTTTGAGGCGCCTCAAAACTCATCCCTGGCAAAAGCACACGCGCCCTGTATAGTTTTGAGGCGCCTCAAAACTAATCCCTGGCAAAAGCACACGCGCCCTGTATAGTTTTGAGGCGCCTCAAAACTCATCCCTGGCAAAAGCACAAGCGCCCTGTATAGTATTGCGGCGCCTCAAAACTCATCCCTGGCAAAAGCACGAGCGCCCTGTATAGTTTTGAGGCGCCTCAAAACTCATCCCTGGCAAAAGCACACGCGCCCTGTCTAGTTTTGAGGCGCCTCAAAAGTCATCCCTGGCAAAAGCACAAGCGCCCTGTATAGTTTTGAGGCGCCTCAAAACTCATCCCTGGCAAAAGCACACGCGCCCTGTATAGTTTTGAGGCGCCTCAAAACTCATCCCTGGCAAAAGCACACGCGCCCTGTATAGTTTTGAGGCGCCTCAAAACTCATCCCTGGCAAAAGCACAAGCGCCCTGTATAGTATTGCGGCGCCTCAAAACTCATCCCTGGCAAAAGCACGAGCGCCCTGTATAGTTTTGAGGCGCCTCAAAACTCATCCCTGGCAAAAGCACACGCGCCCTGTATAGTTTTGAGGCGCCTCAAAACTCATCCCTGGCAAAAGCACAAGCGCCCTGTATAGTTTCGAGGCGCCTCAAAACTCATCCCTGGCAAAAGCACACGCGCCCTGTGCCAGGAGGACATGACTGACCCAACAAAGCCCTTCCACCAGTGCGTGGCACAACCATACCAGCGATTGATGCGCACAGCCACCACCACCACACCAGTATAAACACGAACGTCGAGGTGCCTCACAACCAGACCAGAGAAACACGAACGTGGTTTGAATAGTGGGCCTGTGACGTAGGTGCCTCAGAGGGACTAGAAGGGTCTGTCACGGCCCCTCGTGAGTTATCACCAGGGGCTCCGATGACAAGAAATTCACTCATCACTGGCAGCGCAACTGGCCTTCCTCCTACCAAGGCAGAAACGCACAAGGGCTGACCGACACACATAGCAATCGATCACACCAGGTCATCACACTAGGGTAGCGACGGCGCCCAGGCCTTACAGCCTTGCACAAGGGAGTGGTGGTCCCATGCCATGGGGGCAACAATGGCGTTGTGGAATGGAGAGAACCTCTCCCCCTCACCCATCTGTCCCCCGTTTCTCACCTTCACCGCCCCCCGGTACAGCCTTAGCGTGTAGTCATCGTTCACGTGCCGCTTCGCCGTGCCGCTAACAGAGTCATGATGCTGCGCCACTGCCATTGCCCCTACCCCTCGTCACCCTCCCCCTCTCTCCCCCAAGCCCTCACCTTCACTGCCCCCCGGTACAGCCTCAGCGTGTAGTCATCATTCACGTGCTGCTTCGCTGTGCCGCTGACGGAATCATGGTGCTGCGCCACTGCCATAGCCTCCTCCAGCTCCTCTGCTCCCGACTCGCGCCCCTCCCCTGCTACAGCCGCCCCCTCCCCTCCTCTCCCCAGCCTGCTTCGCCCCACCAGGGCCTCCACTTGCTGGGCAGCCTGCAAAGACGGCCCGAAGAGAAGGAACGCACGGAAAAGAAACAGGAGTTGGGCAGAAACAAGCAGGCAGAGCGTTTTGCGTAGAACGTGGGGCAGAGGCCCATCTTGCAGGTGGCCCATGCATGCGAAGTGCAGAAAAGAAGGATCCGCAAAAGGAATAGAGGAAACATGCATGCAATAAGGCAGAATCACCAGGGCAGGAGAGAGCAGGCGAGTGGGAGGGCGCAAGGGCGTACGAGCAGGAGTGCGCTGCAGGTGCGCACATAGCGCTTGAAGGCGGGCCGGCTGGAGAAGTAGCCGGTCCAGTAGCAGTGCGGGCAGTCTGCATAGCTGGGACGGGACACGAGGATGGTGGAGGGAAGAGGGGAGAAAACAGACGAACGAAATACTTCATGGCAGTAGAACAGGGCGAAGAGGAACGAGTAATGGAGCGGCAAACGAAGAAGGCAATGCGAAAGGGGGGGTCCCTGAAAGCTTGAAGGCAACTGGAGCTCCTGGGAAAAAACAGCTCATGGGAAGAAGTCTCCACACAGCACGAGGGCGTGGAGTAGGGCGCATTCACGCGGCCGCCGCGGTTGACGTGGTGAATGGGACGAGCCTGTCCATGTTGCTGAACCACGTCAGTGCGTACTCACGGGAAGAAGTCTCCAGTCTTGAGGGGCCAGCTCTCGTTGGCGTGGTGCTTGGCGTCCACATAGATGGAGGGCGTGGAGTACAAGGCGTTGACGCGGCCGTCGCGGTTGACGTAGTGGATGAGCTTGTCCATGTTGCGGAACCACGTTATGGCGTTGCTGTACGCGAAGTCGTCGCCCATCGTCCACATGATGTGGTTCGTGCGGTAACTCTCCGCCTGGTGATGTGTTACAAGGCACAGGGCACACACATGTACCACGCACTACACTAGAATATGTGTGCATGCACCAGCAGGAGGATGCGTCATGCATGAAAGGTATAATCCAACCACCCTCCACCATTTCCGCTCCCCCTCCCCTGCCCCCCTTCCCGTTTCCCCACCTCACCCCCAACCCCTCGGCCCACCCTCCCCCCTTCACTTCCCTCCTCTCCCCCCCTCCCCACCTGTTTGAGGGCAGTTTCCACGAACTTATCCACCCGCTCCTGCACATTGTAGTCGTACAGCTCGGGGTCGTCCTATGGACACATGGGGCCAGGGACGGGTCGAAACACGGACGTCAGGAGGGGCACGAGTGGATCAACATGGGGATGAGGGATGGCGGGGATGGCAAGATGACGCATAACAAAGAGTGCCGTACAGTGCGGTCCAGTTCAGTGCAGTGCGGTGCAGTCTGGTACAGCGCGGAGCTGTCACCTGCACGGGCGGGTCCCAGTTGTTGGTGTCGTAGCGGAACGAGTCGGGCGGCAGGTAGTGCACGTACAGCCGCCCGCCAAACACCTCTGCTTGCTGCTTCAGAGTCTCTGACCCCCGCCACACGAACTCCGCCGTGCGCTCGCGGTAGCGCGCTTCGCTGTCTTCATAGTCCGCACGGGCGAAGAATACCGCATCAAAGCCGCCCTGGAGGGGGGAGAGAGGGAGCGGGGGGGGGGGGGAGAGAGGGAGGGCGGGGGAGGGGGGGGGAGGAGGGGAGGAGGTATCAGAAACTGAGAACTTGATTGATTAAAATGAGCAAGAGCATACATCCTTAAGTACCGAGCATCGGAGAGGATGGGAAGGGATAAGGGAGAATCGGAGGGAATCCCAAGGGAATCCTCCCAAATCGTGGGGATTTGGGATGGATTGGGTTGGGATAGGTTGGGGATGAAAACATAGCTACACCCAACCTAACAAATATGAGTATCCCTAAAACCAACAAAGTGTCAACACACAAAATTGTGCCAACCGAATTGCAGCCTATCTCTAACACACCCCCTAGGCTGCAACGTCGGAAGCCGTAGGGACGCCAAGTCCCATGGTACGGAGGAGACGATAGTGATCACGGCGTCCAAGAGCCTTCGTAAACAAGTCGGCGAGGTTGCAGTCAGAGGAAATATGCTTGACGCACAACTGCCCTCGCTGGACGAGCTCGCGCATGAAGAAGTGTCTCAATTCGATGTGCTTGGTTCGTTGGTGGAAGACAGGATCTTTGGTGAGGTGGATAGTGCTCTCGTTATCACACCACAGAGTCGGGGTCTGCTGAGGATACCCGAGCTCAGCCATGAGGTAGGTAAGCCATCGAGCTTCTTGGGCTGCCATGGTGCCTGCGTATAACTCAGCTTCGCAAGATGACAATGAGACGGATGATGAGCGTGTAGATCGCCAGCTGATGACACCACTGCCAAGGGTGAAGCAATAGCCTTGGGAAGAGCGGCGGTCAGCTTGATCATCAGCCCATGAGGAGTCGCTGTATCCCTCGAGGTGAGGAGGGGTCGTGCCACCGAAAGTGAGGACGTAGTCCTTGGTGGCTTGGAGGTAGCGAAGGACGCGCTTAGCAGCCGACCAGTGGCGATTGGTGTATCGACCGGCAGCAACGTAACGCGAGAGCACACTGATGGGGTAGGCGAGGTCGGGCCTTGTGCACATCATCGCATACATGAGTGATCCGACGAGCTCGGGGTATGCCTCATCACAAGGCTCAGGCGATAGATGATGGAGTGGTCAGATCATGCTGCAAGGGAAGGGGAGTGGCCACTGGCTTGGCGTTGTCCATGGCAAAACGCTTGAGGACGTTGTTCACATAGAACTCTTGAGAGAGAGTGATGGTTCGAGCTTCGCGATCCCGCGAGATTTCCATCCCAAGGTAGTTCTTGAGTTCACCGAGGTCCTTCATGGCGAGAGCGTCCCCAAGAGCTTGCTTAACAGCTGCCAGCTGATCGGAGTCCTTGGAGACGAGAATCATGTCGTCAACGTAGACAAGGATGAAGAACGGGCTGTCGTTCTTGCGAATGAAGAGACTCGGATCGGCTGAGGAGGGGTGGAAGTCGAGTGACTCGAGGGTTGCTTTCAGCTTCTTGTGCCATTCCCGAGGAGCCTGCTTCAACCCGTAGACTGGTCGATTCAGCTTCCAGACCGTGCCGGGTGGAAAGGGTAAGGGAAATCCTTGAGGACGTTCCATGTAGATGTCCTCGGGGAGATCCCCTTGGAGAAATGCAGCAGAGACGTCCATGGAGTGAACGTCAAAGTTGCATCGAGCAGCGATGTCCAGCAGGGTCCGAAGTGTGGGCAGTTTGGCTGTCGGAGAGAATGTGTCGAAGAAGTCCAGGCCCTTCTTCTGCGTGAAGCCTTTTGCACAGTATCGCGCCTTGAAGACTGGGAGTTCGCCAGGCAGCTGCTTGACGCGGAAAACCCATTTGCCACGGACAATGTTAACTCCTCGCGGAGGAGAGACGTCCGTGAAAGAGTTGTTGCGAATGAATGCTTCACACTCCGCGATCATGGCTGCGAGCCACTGGGGGGAGTGTGGTCCAGAGATGGCTTCATCATATGAGTTCGGGGTCGGGATGGATGGATTTTCCGAGAAGTTAAGAGTTAGAGCGTCGGCAAGGTCGGGGAAGAGATGGCAGAGCTGACGGATGGCAGCATTGATCTCAATCAGCTCCTCATGCCTATCCTCCAAGAGGCCAGGCATGGATGCACCCCCGGCAGGAGGAGGCGGATTGAGGGAGATGCGAACAGAGAGGGCGAGAGGCGGAGCGGGACCATGAGAGCGGGTGCGGTGAGCAATAGGGACAGGAGAGGAGGGAGGTGGCGGGGGAGCAGGTGGGACATCGACATAAGAGCGTCCGTGGCGACGGCGACGATAGGTGATGGGCGAGTCGGGAGGAGAGGTGGAGGTTGGAGGCGGAAGCGGAGGTGAAGGCGGGGAGGGAGGCGCGGGGGCAGGGGGAGCCACAGAAGGAGAGGGAGGTGGAGGGGCAGCTGCAGGAGCGGGTGCAGGGGGAAGTGCAGGCGCGGGCGGAGGTGAACGGGCAACTGAGCCAGTGGGCGAAGAGGGGTGAGAGAGAGTGGAAGGAGATGGGGAAGGTGAGAGTGAGGGGGCCGCAGGAGCAGCAGAGGGAGGAGGTGGGGTGGGTGAAGTATCGAAATCGGCCCACACAAGCGAAGGTGGAGCGGTGGGGGGTGGTGAAGAGAGGTAAAAAGGGCGACTCTCGTCAAAGGCGACATCGCGGCTGCGAATGAGCTGATTGGTGGAGAGATTGAGGAAAAGGTAATCGGGAGAGTCCAGGTTGTGGCCGAGGTAGACACAGGGTTGAGCTTTGGGTGCAAATTTGCCGCCGTGGGTGCGACGTTCCTGAGGGTTGAGGAGGACATAAGCTGTACACCCCCATACGCGGAGAGGACGTGCACTGGGCTTGGTGCCGGTCCACAGTTCAGCGGGAGTAATGGCAGGCCGAAGAGGGTGAGGGTGAAGGTTGTACAGCAGCGTGGCATGAAGGAGGGCGTAACCCTAAAGGGAAGGTGGTGCACCAGCGTGAGTGAGAAGACAGCGAGCGATTTGCACGAGAGTGCGATTGCGACTTTCGGCAATGCCATTCTGCTGCGGACTGTGGGGAAGGGTGAAGGTCTGGCGAATGCCTTGGGAGGCACAGAACGCTTGAAGGGAATGGTTTCGAAATTCGCCACCGCCATCGGAATGGAGGCACTTGACTGAAGTGCGGAAATGATTTTGGGCTTGTCGAAGCCATGCGATGACGACATCTGGAACAGCTGCTTTGGAGGAGAGTAGGTGGACGGAGGCATAGCGAGAGTGATCGTCAACGAGCACTAGGAAGTAAGAGTGCCCGCCACGAGAGCGGACTGGAGCTGGGCCCCAGACGTCCATGTGGACGAGGTCAAGCGGGGCGGCTGCAGCAGAGGGCGAGGAAGGGTGAGGCAACTGGCGTAGTTTGCTTTGCGCGCAGTCCAAGCATGGAGGAGCGGGAGAAGTGGAGGGTGGAGGAAGTGTGTCGGGCAGGTGAAGAAGCAACTTCTTAGACGCAAGCTCGGAGAGCATGCGGAAGTTGGGATGCCCAAGACGATGGTGGTAAAGAATGGTTGGATCGGTGAGCTGACGGCAGGAGCACGATGATGTGGTGGAGGTAGAGTGTGCTTCTGTGGAAGATGGAGGTACTTGGAGTGTGTAGAGGTTGTTGGCGGTCAGTGTGAAGCGTGCAAGTAGGGCATTGGTGGTGGGCTGAAGGAGATCACAGTGATTGGAATGAGCTGGGAAGATAGTGGTTACCCCTGCTCGTTGAATCTCATGTTGTGCAAGTAAGTTGTGCCGAAGAGTGGGCACGCATATGCCAGTGACTGTGCCAGATGGGAAGGCTGGGCATGGAAGAGTGGAGGAACCATGGGCGACAGTTGTGAAGCTGGAGTCAGCGCCCAGAAGAGGAATAGGTGCTTGGTATGGTTTGAAAGACTCTTTGTCTCGGAGGACCGTGTGGGTTGCGCCACTGTCCAGGACGAATTCAAGTTGTTTAGATGGTGTTTGTGGAGACGTCGAGTACTGGGAACTGGTTTCATTGATCATGGGAAGGCCAGGGAACAACAGGTTGAGACGAACATCAGGACTAGGGGCATGAACGGCTGAGTCCTGACTATCCTGTGCCTCAACCTGGTTGAGCTGGCGCATGCGAAGCCAGTTGGGCGGCTTGGAGTTGATACCATTCTTGGCGAACCAGTCGTCGTCCTTCTTTTTGAAACAGGTGGCGAGCGGGTGATTGGTGCCGCCGCACACCTGACCCGCACGGGGTCCCATTTTGATGACGTAAGGACAGGGTGGGTAGCGGTTACGAGTGGGTGGCGGATTGGGACGCGATGCTGGAGCCGGGACAGAAGCGCGAAGCGCATTTGCACGAGCCTGCGCAGTGTTGTCTTTTTCAGCAGAGAGAAGTGCGGAAGAGACTTTGGCAAAGGTTAGCTCTTCTGGCGGGAGATGGAGAAGCATGGAGCGGGTGGCATTGTAAGAGGGGGTCAGCCCAACAAGCAGAGCTGCTGCAGGGGCTTGCTCTGGGAAGACAATGCCGAGTTGCTTCAGCTCCTGATGAATCCCTTGAATTTCAGCGACGTAATCTGCCATTCCAGGGCACTCCTCCAGACGCACTTGAAACATGCGGGGGATGAGGATCGCCACCCCCACAGCGGTTTTGTTGAGGAAGCGGTCGTTGAGGTACTCCCAGATGGCGTGCGCGGAGGGGTAGTTATGGTAAGTTTTGACGAGCTCGGAAGGGGTAGTGCCGACGAAGACGCCAATGATAGCGGCGTCGGCTTGCTCCCACACGCTGTAAGATTCCTCATACTTGGACATGGATTCCTCATGGGTTTTTAACTCTTCCCCTGTGGCTGTGGCCGAGAGCTTCTTGGGAAGGATCGGCATCTTTCCTTTGCCGCGATTGAGGAGGACATCCTTGAGGCAAATCCCCTCAATTTTGCGGCTTAGGAGATGCTTATCAACCCCATAGCTCCACTCCTTGAAGTTAGGGCTTGAGCCATTTGGGTCGAGGCGTAAGGGAGTGATCGGGTTTGAGAGAGACGCGGAAGGATATGCCATGATGCTCCAAGGACCCTTTCTCCGCGCGTAGCGCAGCTCTTAAGTCGCCGATAGGCAAACCCGCGATGTGCTGCTGCAATCCCGCTGCTCCGCGACCCCCCCTTTTCCGCTTCGCCGCTGCCCCCTTTCCGCTTCGCCGCTGCCCCCTTTCCGCTTCGCCGCTGCCCCTTTTCCGCTTCGCCGCTGCCCCCTTTCCGCTTCGCCGCTGCACCCCCCCGCTGTTGCAAGGGCGACGGGCGACAGCCCGTCCAGCTTCGACGAGCAGATGCGGGGCGACAGGCTCAGCCCGATCAGGTGCGACGAGCAGATGCGGGGCGACGGGCTCAGCCCGATCAGGTGCGACGAGCAGATGCGGGGCGACGGGCTCAGCCCGATAAGAAGCGCCGCGCTGAGTTGAGGCGACTAGAAAAGCTTTGCGTCGTAAGACGCAAATGCTAGGCTCCAACGGAGCGAGAGGATCAAGAGCCGCTTAGGCGGAAACGAGCTCTGATACCATATCAGAAACTGAGAACTTGATTGATTAAAATGAGCAAGAGCATACATCCTTAAGTACCGAGCATCGGAGATGATGGGAAGGGATAAGGGAGAATCGGAGGGAATCCCAAAGGAATCCTCCCAAATCGTGGGGATTTGGGATGGATTGGGTTGGGATAGGTTGGGGATGAAAACATAGCTACACCCAACCTAACAAATATGAGTATCCCTAAAACCAACAAAGTGTCAACACACAAAATTGTGCCAACCGAATTGCAGCCTATCTCTAACAGGAGGGGAAGGAGAAGAATATTGGAGGGCAAGTCGCAGTGCCACTCCCCACTGCCCTGGTCGTCTGCTCGGGCGAAGAACATCGCGTGAAAGCCGCCCTGGTGGCGGGATTACGAGTGAGGGAGGGGGGAGAGAGGGAGGTGGGGGGAGAGAGGAGGGGAGGAGGGGAGGAGGGGAGGAGGGGAAGGAGAAGAGGAGTGGAGGGCAAGTCGAAGTGTCGCAGCACCCCCAGCAGCACCCACCAGCCCCAACCAGCACCTAGCAGCACCCACCAGCCCCCACCAGCACCTAGCAGCACTCACCAGCTCCCAGCAGCACCCAGCAGCACCCACCAGCCCCCACCAACACCCAGCAGCACCCACCAGCTCCCACCAGCTCCAACATCCAGCAGCACTCACCTGCGCGGAGATGAGGTAGCCTTGAACGGCCGAGTGGCCGAAGGGGTCGATCTGCCAGGCGATGCGCGGCACGTGGCCGAACTGCTGGCGGATGAGGCGCAGTCCGAGCGACATCTGGTGGACATGCAGCACTCCAGCAGCACTCAGCACCCACCAACATCCCACCAACACCCACCAGCACCCACCAGCACCCACCAGCATCCAGCAGTACCCAGCAGAACCTACGAGAGCTGAAATCAGGTAGCCCTGAACAGCCGAGTGGCCGAAGGGGTCGATCTGCCAGGCGATGCGCGGCACCTGGCCGAACTGGCGGCGGATGAGGCGCAGCCCCAGCGACATTTGGTGGACCATGTCCGCGTAGTGCGTCGCCGCCTCGTCGTGCATGCACCACCCGCCGTTGCTGCAGCCACGCAGCACGAGGCGAGAAGCGGTATAGATTTAGCATGAAGGACGTACATGCGAGCGGAAATTCGCCAGGCATGCATGTGGCCTTCGCCGGAATAAGAGGAAAAAAACAGACTTCACTAGCCCGAATTCTACGAAATCGAACGTCTGATGAGAAATGAAAGGCACCATCCGGATCTCAAGATGTCTGCAAATGAGATTGCTTCTCAGATTGCTACTGTTCGCCATTGCCGGAACCCGCATTCGTTTCCAACATTGCTGCCAGTATTCCGCGTGTATGTCCCTTCACAGCGCATCCACACCATACTCTTCTACAGCTACTTTCCCCTGACTCACGTGAACTCCAGTTGACCGTTCTTGACCAATCGCCTGACAACACGTCGCACGTCCTTGGGCTGGCGGCGCCACCAGCGCTGGAAGAACCCCTGCTCCACCTGAATGAACTTCCTGTTGGGGTCCAGTGACAGCTGTTCCACCACTGTATCGAGGATGTACTGTACTGCAGCAACCTGGACATGATGTCAACGGATCCAGCGTCAGAATATCCCACAGAACGATAAAAAGTGTGATCACGGTTGGTTAACAAGAAGATTCGGCGAAACGCGAGTGCAGGGATGTCCGAATCGCATTACCTGAATCGAGTTATTCGACCCGACGTAATACTGATCGACGGTCTTGAGCCATCCCACGTCATCATGGGAATGCGCGACGAGGTGCACGTTGAGCTTCCCCTCCACGGGGCCGGCCCTCGTGTTGTACCTCCCGGGCCTCCACCCGCCTCCCTCATGCTCGTGATCGTGGTGATCGTGATGATCGTGATGACGCTCGCGGTGGTGGTGACGATGCTGCTGGTGATTCTCGTGTTGCTTGTAATGGCGATGCTCGTGTTTCCCGGCAATGACAGCCGCGATAGCAGCGAATCCGATACAAGCTGCTAGCACGAAGGATAATATTCGACAACGCGAGCGCGAAGCGCATCTGGAAGAACGCTCCATCGCCACCAGTGACAGGAGCACCGGGTGTAGATTGAATCAGGAAAAGATTCCACTTTCCGTCTAGATCCACAAGGAGCCAGCGACTACACGCGAGGTAAGGGACCGGACGGATGAAACGCAGCAGTGAGAACAAGACATTCTCAGCTGCTGAATGGCAAGGGCTGGCAAAATGTTTGAGAGATGGTGATGCACACAAATTGGGAGATTCGGAAAATGGACCTAGAGATGATCGTGATGGGAAGGCGCACTGCAGTGGAAGCTTTTCCGACGGTGAGCGGGAAAGCGCGGAATAGGGGGAACTGGCAGAAGCGAATTCAGCGCCAGGCGGGGACCCGTGTGCGCCAGCCAGGAAGTACTGTACAGGCGGTTGCGCGCAACCTGCTGACGTGCTCTGCGTACATATGTTCGGGCTGGCGGAATGGAAGGGGAGGGGGGATTGCGATGGCCCAGTCACCTTGCCCAGCTCAGCCTGGGCCAACGCCACGTCGGATGGCAGACACGGGACAAGAGGAAGCAATTTGCAGAACTGTTGTTAGGAGGAATCGCATTTTGTGCATTGTATCTGTAGTCTCTCTATGATCCAGATTTGCTTTTGAAGATCCAACATTTAGCACAAAGCTACTACCATTGATATAAGGCACATCTACAATGCTCGCAGCCCAACAGAAAAGATCGCTTCTTCAGCTTCCCAGTTGTGTTGACCATCCCGCGCAGTTGTGATGTTCTTCCATTCGAAACCAGCCCACCCACCGAAAGTTTCACCATTAAGGCAGGTAGAGGCCTGGCTGGCCCACGTAGGGCTCCGTTCCTCCGGACCTGATGCTGTTGATGCGTGCTTTCGTCACAACAACGTAGATTGCAGCTGCAGAGTGTCAAATTAGATATATATTATATATATATATGTGTAGGCTTGGTAGGTGTGCTACAGTACTGATTCCTTCTGTAGAGGGTACAACACCCTTCTTGGATCTCTCTCTCTTGTCTAGTCTACCCTCTTTCCTCTCGTCACTTTTCTCCCTAGCTAAAACCTCTCGCTATTCCTAATGCCTAGCTACCTAGCTAGCTCCTTCTAATATGGTATCAGAGCAGGAAGATCATGCTGAGCCTCCTATTCACACTTCCGCCGCGTACTCTCTCCTCTCCTTTCACCTTCGCGCCGCCGTGACGGCCTCCATGTGCTGCCGCGGCGGCCACGCAGCGCTGCTGCGGCGACCTCTGTCTCGCCGCGCTGCCACGGCGACCTCGTCGAGCAGCCGTGGCGACCTCGCCGCGCTGCCGTGGCCGCCACGTTCTGCTGCCACGGCGGTCTCGACGCGTGGCGGCCTCGTCGAGCAGTCGTGGCGGCCTCGCCGCGCTGCCGTGACGACCTCATCGTGTTGCCGTGGCGTCGTCGTGCTGCCGCGGTGGCTTCGATGCACCAGAGCACGGATGGCTGCGGCCAGCGCACTGGTTTAGGCGCCAGCCAGCACGCCCGTACGCCAGCAAGTGCCGCGCCAGCCACGGCGCCTCGCTGAAGACACGCCCCCTCCCCTGCGTCTCCCCTCATCCTAGCCGCAGCTGATGGCTCCCTTCCCGGTCGTCACCGGGCCGTGCCACGCCGCCGGGTGCCGTGAGCTTCGCTGTCGCCGCCGCCGTCGTCGAAGTCGCTGCTGCCACTGGCTGCGCCGCCATCTGCCACCGCCGCCTCCCCTGTCGTCGTCGTCGTAGCAGCCGCTGACACTGTTGCTGCCACCCGCCACCGATGTTGCCGCTTCGCACGAGGGGTAGAAGCCACAGCTGATGCACGACATGGGGGTGCAAGGGCTTGGGGGTGTAGCGTGTGTGGTGTGCTAGCGCCTACCAAACCTAGGGGGTGTGTCAAGTTATATATTACATATATATATATTTGTGTAGGCTTGGTAGGTGTGCTACAGTACTGATTCCTACTGTAGAGGGTACAACACCCTTCTGGTATCCCCCTCTCTTGTCTAGTCTACCCTCTTTTCTCTCGTCACTTTTTTCCCTAGCTAAAACCTCTCGCCATTCCTAATGCCTAGCTATCTAGTTAGCTCCTTCTAACACAAAGGCCCTACTGTTGAAAGGAGTTTAGGCGCTAGGTAGCCATGAGAGGGCGAGAGGTTTTAGGTGCTAGGAAGAGAGAAGAGATACAAGAAGGGGGGGGGATTGTCCCCTCTATAGTAGGATCCAGTAATGTGGCACATCTAACTTACCAAGCCTATACAACTAGGCTTGGTAGGTTAACACACCCCCTAGGCTTGGTAGGCGCTAAATAAATAATATATATATAAGTTGACACACCCCCTAGGCTTGGTGGGCGCTAGCACACCACACACGCAGCACCCCCAAACCTTTGCACCCCCATGCCCTGCAGCAGCAGTGGCATCTACCAGCGGGTCGACCCCTCGTATCACGTGATCGAATGCGCTATGCGGAGTGTGAGAGAGAATGTAACTATAGAATGAATGATTGAATTACAATCCTGAGGAACAACACAATTTATAGGCGAGCACTCGCGACGTCCTCCGAGCAAGGCGCGAGTCTAACTAAAATGTGAATGTTCCAGAAAGGAACCATTTCCCTTTAGAAACAAGTGTTCTAGAAGCACAAAAGGATTCGTCGAAATATGGTGAACACTCGGTGCACGCAACAGTTAATCTAGATAACACATACACTTATTATAACCAAGAATAATCCAAATAACCATTTTGGATAAAATAATCAGAGTGATTGAAAGGAGTATTCTAGGTAATCAATAGTGTCATAGAAAATATAGAAATAGTCCTCTCTCCTAGAAAACTTGTCCTGCTCCCACACTTCCCCCCCTCAAACTAGGTGGTATCTGTAACGCCCTGCTTGAGTAAGTACTGTCGGAGAGCACGAGTAGCGTTTCCCATGTCGGATTCCTTAACCCAGCTATCCTCAGACGGGTCATAGCTCTTCCAACGGATGAGGAACTCGATGTGGCCATGACGTCGGCGTCGATGAGCATGTACAGACTCGATCTCATACTCAGGTTCTCCGTTGACGATGATAGGAGTAGGCGACGGAAGCTGTCGTCCTGCGTAGAAGTGATTCGAGTCCTCGTAGGGTTTCAAGAGTTGCACATGGAAGGCATTGCGAATCTTCCATGTGGTCGGGAGTTTAAGGCGGAAGGTTACAAGAGTAACATGTGCCTCAACGATGAAGGGTCGATAGAACTGAGGCCGAAGCTTAGAAGGGATGTGGCTAAGGTCAAGGTTCCTCGTATCCAACAGAGAGTCTCCAATGTGTATCTGATGGTCCCTTCAGGTCTTATCTGCTTGTCATTTCTGGGAGGTTTGCATCTTCTGGAGGCACTTCTGCGTAGTATCACAGAGTTGATGCATGGCAATGACGAAGTCGTGTGCCGGTTGGACTTGAGCAGGAACAAGAGGCTGTTGTGGAGTGAGAGGATGCCATCCGTAGCAAAGGAATAACGGTGTTTTCCCCATAGCAGAGTGGGTAGCATTGTTGTAGGAGAATTCCAATAGAGGTAACTGTTGGTCCCACTTGCTTGTTTCATCCTTGCAGACAACCCTCAGCAACTGTTCCACAATCTGGTTCAGTCGTTCTGTCTGCCCATCAGTATGTGGATGGTAGGCGGATGACATCGCTAGACGGGTTCCAAGGAGTCGCATGATTTCCTTCCCGAACTTGCTAGTGAACTTTGGGTCTCTGACAGAAATCAAAGTCCTAAGGATCCCATGGAGGTAAGCGACTCGGTGGAAGAGCAGTTGAGGTGTTTCTTTGTTAGTGGCGTTCGCGTGCGTGGTGATGAATGGTCCATCTTTGGGAATTTGTTGATAACCACCATGATTGCATTGTCTCTTGCTGCCATAGTCCAGGCTCACTGTATGCCAAGACTGTTCAGGAAAGGGTAGTGGTTGGAGGAGGCCACGTTCTTCTGCTTACAGCTCTTCATTCACTGGCACGTGTCGCAAGATGTAACAAACTCCTGGACATCTGTCGCCATATTCGGCAAGTAGTAATATTTGGCAATGCCTGTCAGGGTCTTGTTGCTGCCAAAGTGTCCAGCTAACGTGGTGTCGTGATATTCCTCTAGTAGTAGTTGCTTCAAGGGTGCATAGTTAGGTACCCACAGCTTCTTAGTACCCTTGTTATACGCGACCCCTTGGTCCCATAGAAGGAGTCTATATGCTGATGGAATCTCTGGGTCAGTGTTTTAGCCGTGCTGGAAGAGGCCTTTAAGGAGATGATTCATCCCTTGCACTTGGAGGGAGGCAAGGTTCGGCAGTCTGCTTACTGCGTCAGCCTTGTTACGCCACCCAGGCTTGTACATGATGTCATACTTGAAGTGGGTTTCCATGAAATCCACCCACTGAACTTGACGTCGTGACAGAGTCGGTTGTGTTTTCAGGTACTTCAAGCTGCAATGGTCGGTGTAGACCGTAGTCGTCGGTCCTTCCACGTAGCAAAGCCAATTCTTAAAGGCGAGGATGATGGTCAAAGCCTCTTTGTCGTGTATGGGGTAGTTTAGCAGCGCTCTATGCAATTTCTTGCTAAGGTATGCGATAGGTTGCAACCCTTTTCCATGATCTTGCGTGAGTACTACTCCCACGGCTGCATTACTGGCGTAAGCTTCGAGAACATAGTCCTTATCTGGGTCAGGTAGGATCAGGACTGGTGCCAAAGTTAAGGCTTGTTTCAGCTTCTCCACAGCTTGCGTGTGCGTCTCCCCCCACCGAAAAGGTAAACATTTTTTCAGTAGCTCCGTGAGCCGTACTGCTTTCTCGACATAGTTGGGAACGAAGCGGTTGTAGTAGTTGGCAAAGCTGAGGAATTGCTGAAGCTCCTTCACATTCTTAGGCTGCTTCCACTGCTTCACTGCTTCGATATTCTTGGGATCCATGTGTACTCCGCGTGCGCTGACGACGTGTCCCAAGAAGGGAACTTGGTTCAACGCGAACTCGCTTTTCGAGAGTCTGGCGTAGAACTGTTCCTTTCGAAGGATCTTGAACACTTGCCGCATGTGACGTATGTGTTCGTCCATTGATCGACCAGGTACACCACGACACACTCGTCAAGTAGCGGGCGGAGAATATGATTCATCTCGGCCTGGAATGTGGCGGGTGCGTTCGTGAGTCCGAACGGGATCACTAAATACTCTTAGGAGCCATAGCGCGTCCGAAAGGCGGTTTTCTG